CCAACTTCTCAGACCCCGAGGGAAAGAAGCGGCAGGCGATCCCAACCGCGCGCCCGCGAGATGGAAGTGTGACACGATGCCACAAGCGTTACACGATTGAGGCATAGGCGGAGCTCGAGCGCGAGCTCTGGGCCAAGGAGGATCGGGGGCAGGCATCGACAAACGGGCGATGAGTGGGCGAAAAACATCGACATGCGATGGGCAGCCGCAGCGCATTTGTCTGAGAGGGCTTCTTTCCCTAGCTACGAGTACCTAGGTACAGTCGCGCTCCCAATACGTGCATCACTTTTGTGACGGTGTTACAATGTCGCCGCTCATGAAAGTAGACCCAAGTCCCAAGAGTTTATCGATCGATCGAGCTCTCCTCCGCAAGGTCCACATTCTGACTCCCACTCCGACCATTTGCCGCCAAGTCATGTCGCTCAGGTCCACTCTCGTTTCGAGCACTTACCAGGGCGGATTACACGAACGTTCTTCTTTCGAGTGTGTGTGCCACTCCGCGCCAGTCCGCGCCCTTGTCGTGCCAGTGTGCTGTGACCTCCGAGGAATTCTTCTTTCGTTTCGGCGCTCTCTGTCTCCTTGCAGCGCGCGCCGGCGACAAAGCCCACAATGGCCGACCATGGAGAGGCTGTGCGGCCGCGAGGCCCACGGCCTTCATCGCTGCGGCCGGACGAGCCGTCCTTCTCTGCGATCGAGGGCAGCAGCAGCAGCAGCGCCACGCTCGGGACCACTCCGACCACTCCCGGCTCCTCGGCGCGGTCACTGAGCACGGTCTTCACCGGGGCGTTCGCCCGTCTCGCCTCGCCGCGCAGCACGAGCCGCTTCTTTGGAGGGCACCAGTCCTCCGATCTCGACGACGAGCCGGAACCTCCTATCCGCCTCGGCGTCTTCACTTGGAACGTTGGCAACGCTCCTCCGGACGCGGCGCAGCTCTCGCTCTGGCTCGCCGAGGGCGGCGACGGGTTGGATGTGCTGGCGGTGGGCACGCAGGAGAACAAGTTCTCGACCAAGGACAAGGCGAAAGGCGCGAGCGCGGCCGCTCCCCACATCTCGCTCAACGGGCGCGAGAGCGACGGCGAGGATGAGACGGCGGAGGAGGCGTCGCTCTCTGCTGGGCCGGCGCGGAACTCGGCGGCGGACGCGGCGGACGCGGCGGTGCAGTCGATCCGCGGCGGCGGCCCGCACCGCGTGTGGGAGAAGATGATCCTCGCGCGGCTGGCGGGAGGAGGAGGAGGGAGGCAGTGGGTGGTGCTCAAGCACGCGTCGCTGCGCCAGATGCAGCTCGCTCCGTCGGTGCGCGCCCCGCTGGACCGGTTCCGCGCGTGACGCATCGCTGGTGGAGTAGGCACCTCGCCGTCTTCGTGCGCGCCGCGCTCCGCACCTCGGCCCACTCCGTCCGCTCCGCCGTCTCTGCCACCGGCCTGGGAGGCGTGGTCGGCAACAAGGGCGGACTGGCCATCTCCTTCCACCTCGGCACCACCTCGCTCGCCTTCGTCTCGTGCCACCTCGCGGCGCACGACCACAAGAACCGCGAGCGGAACGAGATGTGCAAGGAGATCCTCTCCGAGACGGCAAGATGCAGCCGAGATGCAGCCGAGATGCAGCCGAGACGAAGCCGAGACGCAGCCGAGATGCAGCCGAGACGCAGCCGAGATGCAGCCACGGTCTTGCCAGACTATCAAGCCGGAGACATCGAGATGGCGATGCTCGAGTCGAGATGCCGAGGGACGTGCGCGGTCTGCACACCTCGAGACGGCGGGCGGCGAGCAGAGGCCGGCCTGGTCCCACGCTCGACGCACCGCTGATTCCGCTCGCTAGGCCGGCGCCATCGGCGAGCAGAGGCGCGCCGCGCGGGGGAGGCTCGACGTCGCGTCGCAGTTCGACCACTGCTTCTGGTTCGGAGACCTCAACTACAGGGTCTCGGCCGGACGCTCGGCGAGCAGACCCGTGCGGGCGGCGTCTCTTCACACGCCCTGTCGTGAACAGGTCGACCTCAAGCTTGGCCAGCAGGCGGCCGGCCTGCCAGTGTCATTGGTTAAAATTGAGTGGCCAAGTCATGAGTTGAACTGGTGGCCAGCAGGCGGCCGGCTTGCCGGCCGAGGCGATCAAGGAGCACGAGGCCCACCACGCCGCCGTGCGAGACTTGGTGGAGGAGGAGGATTGGGAGGCAGCTGCGACGTCGGCGGGCCGGCCCCCTCTCCCCTCGCGGCGCCTCTCTTCACACCCGCCGCCGTGAACAGGCGCTGTGGGAGGCCGACCAGCTTCGCCACTCGCAGCGAGCGGGCGACGTGCTCGCTCGCTTCTCCGAGGGGCAGTACTCCTTCCCTCCGACCTTCAAGGTGCTGCGCCAGCGCGGCGCGCACTACAAGCAGCAGCGCATCCCCTCGTACTGCGACCGCATCCTCTGGCGATCAATGCCGGGACGAGGCTCCTCTGCCGTAACGCAGACCAGCCTCGCCGCCGTGCCGGGCGCCCTGCCCCCCGCCCGCACGCTCGCACCCGCTGCGAAGCCTCGCCAGTGCCGCTGCTGCGAGCAGGCGTCTCCACCTCGGACCACAAGCCCGTCTTCGCCACTTTCGAGGTGGCCGCTTCGGCGCGGCTGCACGGCGCCGCCGGCCCCAGAGTCGCGGCGCGGGGAGGGGAGCGCTTCACGGTGACCGGCGACTCATTTAGGCGCCGCCGGCTCGAGCCGCGCGCAGCACGAGGCGCAGCACGAGGCGCGTTGCGATGTCTTCCTCTCTGTCCCCTCTGCGACCCCTCCGCGGTCACCGCTACACTAGGCGACCGCAACCACGTGCGCCCGGCTCGGCTCCCTCTCCCTGCAAGGCATCATCCCCGCCGACCTGAGCGGCCGCAGCGACCCGTGCGTCCCACTCCCCCGCCCCACACCCTTGCGGCGGGGCACGCCCTGGACGCCTCGTGGACGTGTGGCTCGCAGGTACATCGCCTTCTTCACCAACCCGCCCGGCCTGCTCGGCGGGCCGGTCCCGACCTCCTCGGTCAAGAAGGGTGTCCTCGCGACGGGCGCACCCGGGGCGGGCGAGGGAGGTCAGCAAGGGGCGCGAGAGCCCAACTCCTCGACTCACTCCACTAGGGACCGCCGTGACCGGCGAGGCGAGGGCGTGGCGCGCCGTGATGGGCGGCTCGGTGCGCGGCCCGTCGGCTGGCTTCGGGGGCGAGGGCGCCGACGATACGTGCAGCTGGTGCGAGGCGGAGCTGCCTCTGCTGCGCTTCTCGTGCTCGCTCGCAGACTTGCGGCATGTCACGCTCATCCTGGCTGTCTTCGACCGCGACATCGGCTCGAAGGACGACCCGCTCGGCGCTGACCGGCGGTGCTGCTCACCCGAGCGAGGGGGGGAGGGTCGCCTCACCCCCCGCCCGTTCACAGGCACGGCAATGGTCCCTCTCTCGGAGCCCGTCGAGCGGTTGCTCCGCGCGGGGGGGGGCGCCGCCGGCCGCAGCAGCGGCGAAGCCTCCGGAGAAGGGCCGAGGCGTGGTGAGGGGGGCGGGGGCGACAGCAGCGGCAGCGGCGGGGCGCTCGCGGAGGCGCCTGGCGGCAGCATCGGCGCGCAGTCGCACTCGTGGCCGCGCAGCTCCGCGAGGGGAGCGTGGGGCCGCTGCAGCACGGGCGGCGAGGGTGTGGGCGGGCGGCTGGAGGTCTCTCAGCCGCTGGTGTGGAAGGGGACGACGCGCGGCACGGGGCAGCTGAGCTGCTCCCTGACCGTGGGGGCGGGCCTCTCCTTCGTCGCCGACGCGGTGCAGTCGGGCGCGGGGAGCCGCTCGTCGCACCTGTCGAACAACGTCTTCCTCTCCGTCCCGCTCAAGCTGCGCGCGCTGCGTGCCCTCGCCCCGCGAAAGGTCGGCCAACCTCACACCCCTCCCGTCTCTCCCCCGTCTCTCGCCTATACCTCGGCTGCGTCTCGCCCATCTCTCGCCCATCTCTCGCCCTCGCCCCATGCCAGGCCAAGGCGCTCACGCAGACGGCCTCCCGCCCGTCGCTGCTGCCGAGCCGCTCCTCCATGCCTCCACTCGCCTCGCCCGCCGCCTCCCGCCCGCCCGCCGCCTCGTGGGGCGGGATTGCGGAGTCGAGCTGGTCGGGCGGGTCCACCTCTGGCCGCACGACGGCCTCGTGGGCGAGCAGACTGACGAGTGCGAGCGCACCGCCCGGCGCCTCCCTCTCTGCCGGCGACAAGGCGCTGGCGGCGGCGGGCGTGCAGCTCCGGCCGCGCGTGCGGCCGCGGTCGCGATGGACATCGGCCCGCCTCACGCTGTGAATCGCGTCTCTATTCACACCGCACTGCTGTGAACAGGTCGCGGTGGAAGTCGATCCGCGTCAAGCTGAGCGCGAGCCGGAGGGTGAGCTAGCCGCGAGTCGCCGGCCGGGCGGACCTCGGTGATCCCTCGGCGGCGTGTCCGAGCTGCTTCTCGGCTGTAGGTGCGAGTCGGCTTGGTGAGCCGGGAATTCATCGGGCTCGAGGAGCCGCAGCAGCAGCAGGGTTTGGCCGAGACGGAGGACTTCTCAGTATGACGCGCGCCACCACATTAAATGCGCGCGTATACACTTTTTTCAGATATTCAGTGCTAAAAACCTGTGAGTAGCGCCCCGTCGTGTCCCCCCCGCCATCTGCCCGCCATTGGAAACAATACACCTCCCAATGAGGAATGAGCTCACTGTGACTCCCCGACTCTCTTGACGCTCGCATGTGATCACAGCGCTGAGATCGCTCCTCCTCGTCCAGCTCACCTCCCTCCTGAGTCCTGTCTGGATTGTCTATCGTGTTTGCTCTCCCTGGCTCTCTCGCTATATAGGTAGGACAAGAGGCCAGAACGGGCGGCACTCTACCCAAGGGACTGGTGCGCTGGAGAACCCGTCCCGACCACGACGGTCGATGACTTCCTCGACTCTTCCGCGCTTCCCTCTCTCCTCCTTCCCCTCGCACCTATCTCGCAATCCTGCTACCTGCTAGCACCCTGCTGAGCCCTCTGAGGCCTGAGCCCCCTCACCGACTCAGCAGTAGCAAGTCCTCAGCAGCTTCTGCCTCGGCCTGCGTCCCACGTGGGCGTGCTGGCATGCTCGCGGCCGCGGGAGGGAATGGCGCGACTTGGCAGATCGGCACCGGCGCCGGCGCCTCCAGCAGCATCACCGGAACCGGAGGCGCTGCCAGCACTGCTACAGCGGCCACTGGCGAAGCCGCCGCGACGACAGGCCGCTCCCGAGAGATGGCGGTCCCGCGCACAGTTGGAGGGACGGTCAATGCGGGTAGCATGGGCGGCGAGGCAGCCGCCGGCGAGGCGGCAGCGAAGGCGTAGCTGCCCTGCATAATGATGCCACAGGGCACAGCGAGCGGGAGTGCCAGCACCGGCACAGCCACTGCCAAGCTGGGATCCGAATCCTGCACGTCCGGCTCGGTGGTCGCGGGCGCTTGGGCGCTAGCCACTGCCAAGCTGGGATCCGAATCCTGCACGTCCGGCTCGGTGGTCGCGGGCGCTTGGGCGCTACCCACCAAGGGGGACGCCAGCACCGACGCCTCGAACGCTCTTATCCATTTCCTCAACTGGACCTATGGCGAAAAATGGGTTTCAGGAGGGGCGGAGCTTGGTGGGGCAATTTGGCAGGTGCGTCGCGCCGGCTCAACCTCGGGGAACTCGCGACAGGTGGGCTTGATTCGTTGTCCGCTCGGCCGCGAGAGTGCCAGCTTGACAAGCTTGATCTTAAACTCTGTATTGTAAGACTGACGTCGCCGCCGCTTCGTGGGCCGCTGCTGCAGCAGGGTCGAGCATCATGACTCGCACCTCATCCTGGGCGAGGAACTCGCCCAGGGGACCAGATGTTGGCGTCGCCGTTTTGATCGAGCTGCATGCACTGCATGGTTTCGTAGTCAAGCGTAAACGCCCAGGAGTTGGTGCCTGGGTGACTTGCTGATGAGAGCGCCTTCCAGGCGGGTAGTCGTGCCCCTCACCTAAGGTCATACGGCGGCGTCAGAGGGGGGGAGGGGCGCGAAGCGTGAACATGGAGGCAAGCAGGTGTTCGGCTGCACCTGGCCAAAGCCGGCGACCTCAAAGTTGTCGTTGCTTGTGCGGATCGTGAGAGGGACCGGATCGGCAGCAGCGCGGGCGGCAGCGGCCGGAGAGGCCGGAGAGCCGTCCGACGGAGCCCGGTCGTGCATCGGCGCGTCGGCCGTAGGGGCCGGGGGGGGCGGCGGCATCCATCGCTGCGGGTCGCTGCGGGCCGACGATTGTGGACTGATCCGTGATCGATCGTCGGCGGGCGGTGTTCAGCTGGGACGTTCTACGGTTAAAAGAGCGACGGCGCCGACACGAGAGACTTATAAGGGTAGATGGGGTTTACTTGTAGCTTGAGCAGAGCACTGGATAGGGTCGATTCCGCGTGGTACGGGACCCCTCGATCGTCTCGCTTCTTGTCAAAGGGAGATCCGGCCGGGGGCTCTGACTTCACAGCTGTCGACTACCTCCAGCCCCACAGCCTCGCCGACACCTCCGCCAGCCCCACAGCCTCGCCGACACCTCCGCCAGCCCCACAGCCTCGCCGACGGCGTCACCTACCGCCAGGATCACAGCCTCGCCGACACCTTCCGCCAGCCCTAGACGAAGGCAGCGCTACGGCCCTGGTAGCGAACATCGATTCGCGACCCAATGCAGACCAGCTGCCTGAGTGCCGCCGAGCGAGACGCAGCAGCGGCGGCGAACGCGCTGCAGGGCGCGCGCAAGCGGGCTGAGAGGTACGGCCGCAGACGCCTCCTCACCGCCTCCTCCCCTGCGGAGCCGGCGCTGCCGCCTGCCGAGTCGTCGTCGTCGCCGCGCCGGCTCTACTCTCCGCGCGACCGCGCTTTGCTGATCATCTACACGACAGTCGCCATTGACATGCTCGGCTCGGCGCTCACGGTCCCGGTAATGCCTTTTCTGGTAGAGGCGCTCGGCGGCGACGCCTCGAGCCTCGGCCTCCTCTTCTCCACCTTCGCCGTCGCTCAGATCGGGGCGGGGCTCTGGATGGGAGCCGCCTCCGATCGACTCGGCCGCAGACCCATCCTCCTCGTCTCGCTCGCTGGCTCCGCCGTGGGCATGCTGGGCTCTGCGCAGGCGCCAACCTTCCGCGCGCTGCTCGGCTGGCGCTTCCTGCTCGGCGCCTTCTCCGGCACCTCCGCCACCGCCAACGCGTACATCGCAGACATCACCGCGCCATCCGAGCGGCCCAAGCTCATGTCGTGGATCGGAGTCATCGCCTCGCTCTGCTTCATGTTTGGGCCTGGCGTCGGCACGCGCCTCTCCGAGAGCTGCGCGTGCGGGGCGGTCCCGCGCCTCTTCACACCAGCCACGCGGTGAACAGGCGCCGGCCTCTCCGAGCTCGACGTACCTCGCGTCCTTCCAGCCGGAAACCCTCTGTGACCAGCGTCCCTTCACAACCCGCGGGCCCCTGCACACCAGGTGCGCGCGCCCTTCTACGTCGGCGCCGCCGTCGGTGTCGCTCCGCTGCTCGTCGCCCTCCGCCCCTGCTCCGGACTTGGGTGACGGCTCGCTGCCATAAACAGGCTTCGCCGCGCTGCTCGTCGCCCTCTTCCAGCTGCCTCCGGCCGAGCAGTCGGGCGGCCTCGCCTCGCCGCCTCGCGCCGCCGCCCCGCCGAAAGGGGCGAGGCCGGCGCTTGCGCGGCGCGCGTCGTCCGAGCAGCAGCCGGAGGCGACGCGCTGGCGTGTGGTGGTGGTGGTTGGGCTGGGCTCCTTCCTCTCCAACACGGCCTCCTCCTGCCTGATGACGTGCCAAGCCTTGTGGCTCAAGGAGGCGAGCCCACGCCTCCACCACGCCGGCCTCTCCGGCCAGGCGGCTCTTCACACCGCCTGGCATGAACAGGTCTTCGGCTGGACCTCGCTCCACTTTGGTTTCGTCATGATGGCGACCTCTGTCCTCGGGCCTGCCCCTCTGCCCGCTCGCTTACCTCACGCCTGTGAGCAGCCGCCTTCACGCGGCGGCAAATGTGCCCAGGCTCACCCTTCGCACCCTCGCCTACGACTGGCTGCAGCGCAAGCTCGGCCTGATGCGCTGCGCTAGCTTCGGGGCACTGCTCTCGACGGCAGCCTACACTGGCTACTCGCTGGTGCGGCGGCCCGCAGGCTTCGAGTGGCGTTTCGCCCTCTTCGCCGCCTCGGCCGCGTGCGGCACCACGGGCAACGACCCCCCCCCACGTCCTCTCGCGGGTCGGACGAGGCGCCGCTCACTCCCGACGCTGCGCACCAGGCATGATCCTCACGAGCGGCTCCGTCGCGCCCTTCCTCTCGCGCCTCTCCTCCAAGGAGGCGAGATTCGCCGAGATTCCTTGAGATTGGCCCCGGGGCGGCAGTCGCCTCCGTCGGCTGCGAACGATGTCTCTACACGACATGCTGTGAACAGGCGATGGGCCGCGTGATGGCGGTCGCCTCTGTCACCGCCTCCGCCGGCCGCGTGATCGGTCCTCCGCTCTACGGTCGCAAGGGCGCGCTGGTGGTCGCCGCTACCCGGGCGCCGCTCGGACGCTGCTATCCTACCCTCAGGCCGGCTCTACGTTCTCGAGCAGCCGCTGCCCTACCGCGTCGCCGCCGCCTTTGCCGCCGCCGCCGCGGTGGGCTACGTGGTCGCGCAGCGGCTGTACGTGGTCGCGCGCTGCATTGCCAAGGGCGGGCGCCTGCACGCGGCACCGCCGCCACGGTTGGGGTTTCGCCCCGGCGGGCGACGAGCTGTGAAGAGCGCCTCTTCACGCCTCGACGGCGTGAACAGGTCCGCCCTCGCCCCGGCGGACGAGGCGGCGCTGGGCGAGCTGCAGGCGATGCTACGCGAGCTGCTGGTGGCGCGCGGCTACGCGATCGCGGCGTCGCGGCTCCAGCTGGCGGCGGCGCTCGAGGCGGCTTTCCCCGGCCTGTCTCCTGCCGCGGACCCGGAGGCGGTCGGCGGTCGCAAGGGCGTTGGCGCTTTCCGCGGGGAGGGGCGCGACCCGGAGGGGGCGGAGGAGGAGGAGGAGCCGCTCGAGGCGACCGTGCACCACTCCGCGGCGCACCACCACCACACGTGCGTGCACGAACGGGAGCGGGCGTGAGTTCACGAGAGTTGCGAGAGGCGAGAAGGAGAAAAAAAATGTTGGAGTTACCAGGCGGGAAATTTCTTTTGTGTACACGAGTCTCGGTGACGTAACCATGGTGCATGGACGTAACTCAGTATTGTTATTACACATGCCATACTACTCATCTCGCTCTCACAAGTCACATGCCAAAGTCGTCCGATAATCGAGATTGTGCGCACGTACGACCCAGGTGCACGCACGTATCTCGTATGTCACACAGCACACGCCCTGAGCCGTACTGCGTAATCATCAGACGACACACGCCGACATCCTCACGACGACAACATCCGCTCCTCCGGCTCCGCTTGTCGTTGTGGCGCCACGCGCGGCGGCGCCGCTCTGTTCGCCGCCCAAGCCTCCTCCGCCGCGATCCTCCTCCTTGTCTGGCTCGTCCCTCTTCGACTCCTCGCCCGCGCCGTCGCCCCGTCCCTCCTTGGCGTCCGACGGCCGGATCGAAGACACCGTCGACTCGCGCGCCGTCACCGCCGGCGACCCTCCCCCTCCCCACAGAAGGCCGAGCCCGGCGGCGGACAGGCGCGAGGAGAGCGCGGGGCGGCCGCCACCCCGCGTCGACCCGTGCCTCCGCGAGTGGCGGCGGCGCAGGATGGTGCGCACGAGGAGGTTGAAGGGCCCATGGTTGCCGAACGCCGCCTCGATCACCGCGAGCAGCCTCTGCCGGTCCTCGGTGCGTGCGCACTTTGCGTGCGTCACGTCAAAGGCATCGAACTTGTCGAGCACGCCTGCGAGCCCGCGCCGCCGGTCGAGGGGGAGCACGTCGATCCGGTCGAGTGTGCCACCCATCACCGTAAAAGTGAAGAGCTCCACCGCTGTCCACAGCCGCTCGGTGAAGGTTGGGCCCGCCAGCACGACTAGCCGCTTGCAGCCCGCCAGGTAGATGGGCAGGCACGGCAGCGAGGCGGCCGGGTTGGTCTGCTCTATGCATGCCTGGTCGAGGGAGCGGAGACGATCAGCATACTTCACCCTCAAGGAAGCGTGAGTGGGCGGCTTGCTGCTCGCGCCTTGTCGATGAAGACGAGCGGCTCGCGCCCGTGTTCCGCCTCGAACCCGGTCGCCCACCTCTGCAGCGCGGCGTACCTGCACACAGTCCAGAGGCGTGGACGAGGAGGGAGGGGTGGCAGCCCGCCTCCGCGCGCTGTTTTCACTTCTCCCCTCCGTCGTCGTGCCAGGAGTGGGAAACAAAGGCGTCGCAGCTGCCGAGCGGCAGCTTGACGGTGCGCGCGTGCAGCCCGCTGTCCTCGGAGGAGCCGAGATCGCTCGGCCCGATGGCGCTGATCGGCAGGCCACGGAATGTCTTGCGCGCCAGCCCCAGGGCGTGCGCCGCGTCGAGCCCTCCGAGGAGCGCCGCGATGACGGCCGCCTCGCGCTCCTCGCCGCCCGAGAAGAGCCGGCTGACACAGGCGGCAAAGGCGCGCCGCGTCGGCCGGCAGAGCAGCGCCGGCGAGACGAGGCCGTAGGTGGCGGCGAGCGGGAGGTGGAGTCCAACGGTCGACCAGCCGGGCGCGCCGCGCTGCGAGGCGACGGCGAAGGCGGCGAGGAAGGCGACGCCAGTCATCACAAAGACGAGCGAGACGGAGGTGTAGAAGGTCTCTGCCGCCTCGCGTGGCGCGACGGCGAAGTAGCCCTCCCCCTCCAGCAGATACGCGGCGCGAGGCCACCCCTCGAGCCACTCGGTGCACGGGATGGCTCCCCAGTCGCTGGCGGACGGCTTGCCGCCTCCGCACGACTCGCCGACGATGCGCATCTGCCGCTGCAACAGGACCGAGACGCGGGGCAGCGCACGCGTGCGGCTCGCGAGCAGCAGCGGCAGAGAGAGGGCGAGCAGCGCCCACATCGAGGCCGACAGCACGCCAAAGGTGAAGGCGAGCGGCCTCGATGTGGCGAGCCGCGGCGAGAGGGCGAAGAAGAGCGCAAGTCCAAGGCTGACCGACCCGCAGAGCGGCATCATCACGACTACGATGCGGTGGAGCTGGCTCCTCATCCGCCGAGGCAGCGCCGGGTCGAGGCCTAGGGAGCTTCCGACAGATTCAGGCCCAATCAACCGCGGCTGGAGAGGCGCTTGGGCTGAGACCGGCGAGCAGTGCGCACGACGGCGCAACCACCACCATCACCGCAAAGGGGAGGGTGAAGCGGGTGAGGAACTCGCGCGCGGTCGTGCGGCCCGGCGACGTGTCCTGGGCCGTGAAGCCCGCCATCGCGATCCCGAACCCGCCCAGCACGCAGCAGAGAAAGAGGGCGCGCACGAGGCTGTTGAAGCTGCGCCGAACGCGATTCTTGGCCTGTTGCGCCCGCACCAGAGCCGCCTCCGCCGCCTCGCGGCACGCGGCGCTCTGCGAGTCCTCCGGCTCAGCGACCGATCGCGAAGAGGCGACCGAGCGCTGGGCTCTGTGCCCTTCCGTGGCTGCGGCAGCCCGCTGCCGGGAGCGGTTGGTCCGCCTCACCAGGCAGCAGATTGCCGGCGTGGTGAGGCAGAGGCAGGCCGTGGCGGTGCCGAACGAGGCGAGGTAGAGCTCAGCAGACTCGCCAAGAGGCATTAGGCCAAGGTACTTCTCGAGGTTCTCGAGGTGGATTGGCCGCGTTGGGTAGCGAGGATTGGTGTGACGCGATCCACGCAGGCGTGCAAGGTACTTCAGCTGGCTGAAGATTTTTTATTACTCGTTATTTTTGTTGAGTATTGAGCGACCCACCTCGAGGGTTGCTCCTGACTCTGGCCTTTTCTGGGTCACGTAGCCACACCTCGCCTCCTTGGTGCGAGTGGCTGCCAGTTCGACTCTGGGGAGGATCGAACCATTAACAATTTTGCGCTCCTCTGAAAAAAGAAAGAAAACAGACGACCCAAGGGAGGGATGGCGCTCCTCCGCTGCTGTTCACCCGCCCCCGAATTCTTTCTCTTCTCCTTCGGCCTGCCGGCACTCGAACCTGGCTCCGCACGCGCGATGGCTGACTCGGGGTCGCAGTCCGGCACCTCCGACTCGGGCCGCCCATGGGAGGAGGAGCACGAGGTCCACTCGCCTCCCGCGCCGGAGGGACCGACAGCCGTCGACTGGGCCGTCAAGGCACCGGCGTCACCGCTCCTGCCACGTGTCCCCTCCCCACGTCCGCATCCCAAGCCATTGCTGCAGCTTTTGGCGTGGCAGCGAGGGTCTCGCCGCTGCAACCCTACGCGGCCTGCATCACACGCCTGCCACTCCCGCCGCTCAGGCCATCGCGGGGTCCATCTCGGGCGTCTTCTCGACGACGCTGTGCTCGCCGCTCGACGTGGCCAAGACACGCGCGCAGGTCGAGAGCGTCGCTACCGGGAAGAGCTCACACCGCTACGACGGCCCCCTGCTCTCTGCGGCCGCGGGTACGCGAGTCCCGGCTAGGCTGACAAACGGCGGCGCGTGGTAGGCGTGCTCTCTGCGCTGCGGCTGATCTACCGCGAGGAGGGCATACGCGGCTGGTACCACGGGCTCACGCCCTCCCTCTGCTCCGTCGGCATCTTTTGGGCGCGCTGCCTTCGAGCAGCCCGCTGTCGCCAGTCAGCGTCAACTGTTGACGGCCGTAGCTGCGAGCAGGCGTGCTACTTCCCGTGCTACGAGCACGCCAAGTCCGCGATCGCGCGCGGCAGCGGCGCGAGCGGCGAGTCGCCCGGCGTCCACCTCACTGCCGCGGGCCTCGCCGGGCTCGTGACGGACGTCATCACCAACCCGTTTTGGGTGGTGCGGACTCGGCTGACCACGCAGCACCTCTCGTCCGCCTCGCCGCAGTACCACTCGATGACGCACGCGATCCGGACCATCTACGCCGAGGAGGGCGGCCTCGCCTTCTTCGCGGGACTGCGCGCCTCGCTGCTCGGCCTCTCGCACATCATGATCCAGTTCCCGCTCTACGAGCGCTTCAAGCTCATGGGCGCGGGCGGGAGGGCCGGAGGGCACATCCGTGACACGTCCACACCACCTCCCGGGGCACATGCCCCGCAGGCGCGAGCTGGCGGGCGGACCGAAGGGGGAAGCAGGACGCGTCGGGCCCGGGCGTGTACGGCTCTGTCGAGCGCGGCCGCGGCTCGAGCAGCAGCCACGCCCCCGCCACGCCCGCCCTCGGCGAGGTGATTGTCGCGAGCGCGCTGTCGAAGCTGGTGCCGCCCCCCTCCGCCTGCCCGCCCGCCCGAGGCTTGCGCGGAGGGCGGTCTCTTCCCGGTGTGAACAGGTCGCCTCCACGCTCACGTACCCGCACGAGGTTGTGCGCGCGCGCCTGCAGTTCGACAAGGGCGGCAAGCTCTACGCCGGCACGCTGGACGCGATCCGCCAGACGGCGCCGGCGGCGTGGCCGCGCCGGGGCAGCGAGGGGCCTCCCGCGAGCCTTCTCGGACCCTCCCTAGGTCCAGTCCGACGGCGTCGCAGGGCTGTGGCACGGCTACCGCCTCAACATTGTGCGCACCATCCCGCAGTGCATCATCACCTTCACTGCGTACGAGACCGCCGCAAAGGCGCACCGAGGGCGCCGCGGCGGCGCATCCGGACCGCGTCTCTTCACAGCCTTTGGCCGTGAACTCAGGCGCTCACGGCCTACTTGCAGGGTGGCGACGCCGCACGCAGGCACGGCGAGGAAGCCGGCGCGCCGCCACGGAGCGTCTCTCGCCACCAGCGGTCGGAGAGCGAGGGGGTCCTCACGCGCACCAGGACCGAGAGCAGATGATGCTGTGTGTGTGTTGTCGCGTGTGGTATCTTTGTACCGTGTGCGTGAGCCGTGACTGTGTGATGTGTGTACTCTCTTGGGGAAGTCTTGTGTTCGCAGTCGCACCCGCCCTATCCCGTTTCCTCTTTCTCGCATCACGGGTCGCCAGAGGTCCTCAATGAACAAAGAGAGCAGAGCCCAGAGCGCGCGCGACGCGCGTTTGATCTCTACTGCCTATACAAAATACAACTACAACCACCCCTCACCGACACGTGTGTGCGGAGTGCGCGCGCGCAACGGCACAAGCGGGTCGCTCCAGGGATCTCCCCATTCCCCAACTCTCCCGCGCCTCGCTGCACGCCGGTCTGGCGAGACACGCAAGCTGGGACCGCGGGCGGGGCGGCGTGCGAGATGAGAGTCTCTCTCAGACAGAGAGCTAGCAGAGAGCATCGCAGCCACCGCCTCGCACTCGCGCTTGTGCGCGACTTGGCGACTGCGACGCACGCTCGGCTGGCATCGCCTACGTGCTAAGAGTCCAAACGCAAAATCGCCCCCCCCAGTGTGCGCCCGGAACTCGAGGAGATCAAGGCGCACACCGGGGGGGGCGACGCGAGAGAGAGAAGTGCTACTCCTAGGGTCAGTTTTACGGCTTGACCCAGGCCGCTCAATAAAAGACTGGTAACAACACACATCAAGATACAATCAATCAACTAGAGGAGAGCGACGGCGGGCTCTGCTACAGAGACCGCGCTCCCCTCCGAGAGGCCACAACCGCGCGCACAAGCCCTGTAAACCCCCCCCGCCCAGCAAGAGTGCATGCAATCATGTCACACAGTGCAGGCCTGTCCTCCGTCCGTCCTCAGTCGCAAGCCAGGCCCCATGTACCGGACACTGGAACCGGTCAGTGCACCCACACCTCGTCGTGGCCCGCGCCGTCCTGCTGGTGGCGGCGGCCGCCCTCGGCCAGCCACGGCGTCGCCGCCTCAACTTCGTTGTAGGCGGGCTGCTGCATGTCGAGGCTCGCGCGCGAGAATGCGTCGCGCGAGTTGCGCCGCTGCACCTCGGCCTGCCACTCGCGCTGCTCCGCCTGCTGCTCCGCCTCCCACCGGATGTTGGAGCCGCGGTCGTTGCTCTGCCGGCGCAAGCTCGCCAGCGCGTCGCGCCGGTACTGCCGGCCGCCCTGCAGCCAGTAGTCTTCGTACTCGGCGGTGGTCCGCTGCGGCGGCAGCTCGAGCCGCGCGCGCGAGAAGGCGTCGCGCGAGTTGCGCCGCCGCACCTGGCCAGACGAGGGCCGGGGTGGAGGGCCGGGGTGGAGGGCCGGCGAAGCCGAGGTGGAGCTGCGATCGAGCCGAGGCGCGGGGCCGCGCCTCCTCCTGCCACGCCGCCCTGCCCTGCGGGTCCTCGAGCTCGACGTAGTCGAGCTGCTCGGGCGCCTGCTCGCAGCCGGGCGGCGGTGAGGCGACATCGGCCTCACGCCGCGGTCGGGAGGTGCGAAGGTGCCTCGCGGTACGTCGTCTGGCCGTAGTTAGCCACCGACCGCCGCTGCGCCGGCCGCCCGACCAGCCCCGGCCTGCCGACTGTCTGGCCAACCCCGACGCCGAGCGGCCGCCCGTTCTGCAGCCGGCCGGAGATGCCGTCGCCCGAAGCAGACTGCCGGCCCGCCGCCCACCCGCCTCCTCCTCCTCCTCCGAACTGCGACTGGCTTCCGCGGCCCGGCTGCACCCCTCCGCGCGAGGGCTGCCAGTCGTCCCCTCGCCGGCCCGACGACATGCCTGCGGGCACGGGCAGGGAGGGGCACGGAGCTGGGGGCAGGGAGCTGAGGGCGGGGAGGTGGAGGGGCGAGGGGCGGCGAGGCGCGTCTCTCCGAGTGTGAGCCTCTCGCGCGGGGGTGCCGCGCCTCCTCCCCGTCCCGAAGACCCGAACCCGCCCTGCCCGCCCCGCTGGCCGCCGAAGCCGGGCGAGGAGCCAAAGCCTGCAGGAAGAGGCTCGACAAGGCTCAGGGAAGGGAGCGCCCGCAAAGCTCTGGGTGTCGCAACACGCCTCCGCGCGACTGCTGCTGCTGCCCGAAACCTCCCGCCGGCTGGCCGAAGCCTCCTCCCCCGCGCGATGGCGGAGCGGCGCCGCCAGGCCCTCCCCTCCCCGGCGGCCCTCCCCCTCGAGGCGGCGGCCCTACTCGCGACGCGACAGACGACGTGAGACGCGTCGCGGACGTGACCCTTCCCCCTGCGCGGAGCGGCGGCCCGCCTCCGCGGCCGGGCGGCCCTCCCCCAAAGCCGGGAGCGCCTCCGCCTCGCGGCGGCGGCGCCCCGCCTCCGCGCGAAACGCCGCCAAACCCGCCCGGCGCAGCGCCGCCAAACCCGCCCGGCGCAGCGCCGCCAACGGCCGGCGCGCCTGCGCGGCGGGAGACGCGAGGCGAGTGAGCGGCGCGGGTCGGGGGGAGGGGTGCGTGTGCGCAGCCGAGGCGAGGCGGACGGCTCGCCTCCGCGGCCAGGTGCTCCGAGGCCGCCGGGCGGCCCCCCCCTCCCGGGAGGACCTCCGCCCATCCCTCCGCCCATCCCTCCGCCCATCCCTCCGCCAATGCCAGGCGGCCCACCTGCGCGCGGTGGCGGGCCGCCGCCACCCATCCCGGGGGGGCCTCCTCCCATCCCGCCGCGAGGCGGGGGGCCGCCGCCGAGAGGGGGCATGCCAGGTCGAGAGGACTGGAAGCCCCCAGCGCCCGGCGGACCTCCTCCCATGCCTCCTCCCACGCCTCCTCCCACGCCTCCTCCCACGCCTCCTCCGGGTCGCGGGGGCATGCCTGCACCTGCAGACAGAATCGGCGGCGTGGGAGGCGTGTCACGGACGTGTGCGGCGGTGTCTTCTCTCAGCAGGGGTGTCTTGGCCGGGTGTCTTGGGGGTGTCTTGAAGTGGCCGCTCACCTCCCATCGGCCCTCCAGGTCGGGAGGAGGGGTTGCTGTTCCCGAAGCCCATGCCGCCCATCGGAGGCGGAGGGGCCATACCCGGCCGGGAGGGCTGGAAGCCACCGGGCGGGCCGCTGCCCGGAGGACCTCCACCCATCCCTGGCCTCGGAGGCAGCCCACCTCCCGGCCCGCCTCCAAGACCGCCTCCGGGCGGGGCAGGCATGCCCGGTCGGCCACCGGGCATGACGCCACCCCCCATCGGAGGCGGCATCCCCGGCCGCGCCATCGGCGGCGGCAGCCCGTTCATCGGCGGCGCCATACCTGGCCGCGCCATTGGTGGTGCCATCCCAAACGGAGGAGGCATCCCCGGCGGCGCCATGCCCATCGGCGGCGGCATCCCGCCCATCGGCGGCGGCATCCCGCCCATCGGCGGCGGCAGGCCCGGCCGCGGCATGGGCGGTGGAAGACCAAACGGCGGAGGCAACCCCGGAGGCGACATACCTCCCGGAGGCCGCGGAGCCATGGTCGGAGTGCCTCCGCTCGGCCCAAAGGCCGGCGCGGACTGGCGCGCGAGCCACGCCTGCTTGGCGGCGTCCTCCGCGGTCTGCATCTGGAGCAGGCCGCCGCGTGGGGGCCGCGGCAGCGCCAGCGGGCCGCAGGAGTGGGCCGGGCCAGCGGGGAGGAGCCCGACGAGCCCGAGCAGTAAGCCGACCCCCACCATTTGTGCGAAGCTTCCCCTAAACGCAATTGGGGAGAGAGAGGGGTGGGCGCAGACAGACAGGCAGGGAATGCCGCTCGTTTGAGCGCAGAGGCTCAGAGCCGGAGGGTGGCTGGCTCATGTAGGACTGTAAAGGACCAGAAAGGCACGACATCTAGGACATCGCGACAGACAAGACGCGCCGACTAAGGGACGTCCACGTGACACGATTGTGGCACAGAGGGTGTGATGCTGGAGTATCGACATTCATGGGGCACGGCGCAGGATGCGCCGTGCTAGTACACCGTGTGTAGCGTGTGTGAAGGGTAGCACAGGCGTCCGAATTCAGACGCCCCCCCCAGGACCGATGCTGAAGGCGTCGGGGATGTGCCGTAGATCGCGACGCCTGTGCGGGCAAGGCCGAAGGCGGCACGAGGAGGGGGTAGTTGACATTCGAGAGTCGCCCTTGACGGAGGCGAGGCGCGGCGCGGAGCCGGAGAAGGCGCGGGCGCGAGGGCGCAGGCCGGAGACGGCGCGGGCGCGAGGGCGCAGGCCGAGGTCGCCCTTGACGGAGGCGAGGCGCGGCGCGGAGCCGGAGAAGGCGCGGGCGCAGGGGCGCAGGCCGGAGACGGCGCGGGCGCGAGGGCGCAGGCCGAGGTCGCCCTTGACGGAGGCGAGGCGCGGCGCGGAGCCGGAGAAGGCGCGGGCGCGAGGGCGCAGGCCGAGGTCGCCCTTGACGGAGGCGAGGCGCGGCGCGGAGCCGGAGAAGGCGCGGGCGCAGGGGCGCAGGCCGGAGACGGCGCGGGCGCGAGGGCGCAGGCCGAGGTCGCCCTTGACGGAGGCGAGGCGCGGCGCGGAGCCGGAGAAGGCGCGGGCGCGAGGGCGCAGGCCGAGGTCGCCCTTGACGGAGGCGAGGCGCGGCGCGGAGCCGGAGAAGGCGCGGGCGCAGGGGCGCAGGCCGGAGACGGCGCGGGCGCGAGGGCGCAGGCCGAGGTCGCCCTTGACGGAGGCGAGGCGCGGCGCGGAGCCGGAGGTAAAGCTATGAAAGCTGAAGCGTGAGGCACTGGCTGTGCGATGTGAGTTGTCACTCTCGATGACGGAAGCGAGACTCGAGTACTCGACGGTGACGGCGGCGGCGACGGCGCTGGTGGCGGAGGCGCTGGCGGAGAGCTCGGCTACGGTGGAGGCGGCGGCAGGGCGCGCCCAGTCGTAGTCGAGGGCGGCGCAGGCATCTCGCGCGCTGGCCAGAAGAGCGCCGGCCGTGCGAGGCGAGGCAGCGCACTTGTCGGTGGCGACGCCTTGCTCGACGGTACAGCCGACGGCGACAGCTCTGGCGGCAGAGGCGCTGGCCGATCGCTCGGCTACGGCGGAGGCGGCAGAGCACGTCCGCTCGGAGTCGAGGGCGGCGCAGGCGTCTCGCGCGCTGGTCAGAAGAGCACCGGCCGTGCGAGGCGAGGTAACACGCTCGAAGACGAAGGCGAGACTCGGGTCCTCGACGGTACAGCTGACGGTGACGGCGCTGATGTAGCAAATTCTGAAAAGGTTCCACCAGAGCTTGCGTGTGGCGGCGGCGGCTGGCGCCTTGGCTGGGGCGGCTGTGACTGGCGCCTCGGCCTCGGTTTTGGGCAGAGGCCTCGGCTGGTTCCTTGGCCTTGTGGGCGGCGGCCTCGGCTGTCGCCTCGGCTCTCCGGGTAGTGGCCTCGGCTGTCGCCTCGTCCTCTTGTATGGCAGCCTCGGCTGGCGCCTCGGCAGCCAGGTCGGGGGCTGCGCCCCCTTCCCCCGGGCCCCCCCACGGTCGTCGCCCCGGAGGAGAGGTCTGACAGGAGGCGTCGGCGTCGGCCTGCAGCCGATGGCAGTAGTGAAGGAGGCAAGGGGCAGCTGACGGCAACGGAGCTGGGCGGCGACCGGTAGACTCGACCGAAGCAACCCCCCCAACACGAGATGGCCCGCATCGTCGGCACCCTCGCTTGGGACTGGGGCAGGGCGGGTGATTTGAAGTTGAAGTTGAGCTGCGCCGGGTCTCGGCGCCGGCGATGATGTTGTTGATGGACGGACCTGTGAGGACGGTTGTAAACCATCCGGGCTGCCTTCCGGGAGCGCCTGGCGGCCTTCCTGGAGGCTGTGCTGATGCAGAGGAGCTGGTGAGCGCAAAATGGCAGGCGCCGTTGATGGAGATCGTGTCTGGAAGCGGCTCTGCGGGGACTGGCACTGGTGTTGGTCCAGAAACAGCGACGGCGAGGATGACGGTGAGCAGGATGGTAAAAACGCAGAAGACTCCGGAGCCGAAAGCGACGCGAGTCTTGGCGCGAGCCACGCAGGCCGCAGAGAGAGCGCAAGCGGCGGTGAACCGCTCGCGAGCGCACACAACGAGCCGGCGGGCGGCAGTGAGAAAGTAGTGGACAAAGTCGACGGTGACGACAAAGATGGAGGTGGCGATGGAGAGGGCGAGCTGGATGATGGGCGGCGCTGAGCCGAAGATGGCGCGGGCGCAGGGGCGCAGGCCGGAGACGGCGCGGGCGCGAGGGCGCAGGCCGAGGTTGTCGTCGAGAGTGACGGGATCACCGGAGGAGTCGGTGATGGGATTGGTCATTTTTTCGCTGGGCGTGGCGGAGATGTCCGCCATGACCTCGGGGGTGGAGTGCACCTCACCGTAAGGTACCACGTTTGAGCGCAGAGGCTCAGAGCCGGAGGGTGGCTGGCTCATGTAGGACTGTAAAGGACCAGAAAGGCACGACGTCTAGGACATCGCGACAGACAAGACGCGCCGACTAAGGGACGTCCACGTGACACGATTGTGGCACAGAGGGTGTGATGCTGGAGTATCGACATTCATGGGGCACGGCGCAGGATGCGCCGTGCTAGTACACCGTGTGTAGCGTGTGTGAAGGGTAGCACAGGCGTCCGAATTCAGACGGCTGAAGTGGTAATGCCAGCCAGGGTAATGCATCTCTCTGCTCGGCTGCTCTTGCTAGTACTGAGTGTATGTAAAAGCGGTGTGTAAGTATACAATGACAAATGCATCGGGAGGGCTGCTGGCGCTCGCAGCAGCGCCTCGGCAGCAGCAGCAACAGGGCTGCTCGACATAACGCTGAGTCGGGCGGGCTCGCCCTTGCCCGAAAGTCAGCCACTGACGCACGCGTTGTCTGGTATAGCCCCAGCCGACTCCGCGTGAACTCTCGAGGGATCTCGAGTTGCGGAGCTCCCTGCTGCTCGGGGTACGAACTCTGTTCACACCGAGCAGCTGGGAGTGGCTGCGGCTATAGCTGACAGACGCGCGCGGTTGGCACAAACCACAGCGGTGGCAAAAGAGAAATCTTGCACTAAAAACTTCTCATCGCAAACCCCAGTCCGCCTCCGGGAATGTTCGTAAGATCTCACTAGAATTTAAACAACAAGAACTCTCTCTGAAAAAGAAAGCCGAGGACGCGCGCTCTCCTCACCGCCGCGCGCGCGTTGCAGCAGGAGTGCCGCAAACCGCAATGCGGCATTGTGCGACTACCGCATCGTGCCGCAGCTGCACCGCTTCTCCTCGGACATCATCGTGAACTCGGTGGTCCGCTGCGAGGACGCGGTCAGCACCGCGCCGGATCTCTTCTGAGAGCCGGCGCGGATCGCGGATGCGGCTTGAAGGCTCTGCCGGCAGATCTGTGGCCTGGCGCCTGCCAGACTGCGGGTCCAAATACCCCGGCGCTCGCGCGCGCCACCGCCCCCGGCGCGGGGTGGGATATCAGTTCGTGAGTTCTGTGTCCCCGTCCCTGTGCTCCACCTTCTTCTCCCGTGTCGGTCCCTGAGAACCCCACTATACAGCGCCACCTCGTGAGCTGTCCTGTGAGCTGTGTGTTGTGCGTCCAGCAGTCCGGACCCAGTGCTACGGCCGGTGACAGCGTGCCTCGTGTCGGCTCCCGAGCCAATCGTGTGCAGCGTGTGTGTGCGTGTGGGCCCGTCCTCCTTGCTTGGAGGTGTGTAAGACTGACTGACTGGACGCCGCAATCACGCCTCTTCGCCTTCTGGCTCTGTGTGTTGTTGGTCGCTGCTCACAGCCATCATCAACAGCTCCGACTGTAGACATCATGGTCGTCGGTGGCTGTGCCGAGGTTGGAAGCGAGCTACGCGAGTCGATGTCGCGCATCCACACGCGCTGCAACGCGCACCGCGAACAACTCGAGAATGCCATGAGCGCCGGTGCTTCGCGCTTCGAGATGAGCTTCACTCCTGCTGTCAAGCTGGGCGCGGTCGTCGCCAGCATCGATAGGCGCCACCACGACGTGCTGCAGATCAGCACCGACACCTTCATCGACCTTGAGCACGCCAGCATCGATAGGCGCCACCACGACGTGCTGCAGATCAGCACCGACACCTTCATCGACCTTGATGAGCACGCCAGCATCGATAGGCGCCACCACGACGTGCTGCAGATCAGCACCGACACCTTCATCGACCTTGAGCACGCCCTCACCGTCGGTCACACCAAGCCGTCCGACAACCATCTCCTGAATAACTTTGGCATCGGCCTGTACGTCTTCCAGGCCCGAAGAGCGAAACCGCCGAACGATTGCCCATTTCACGCCGCCTCTATGCTCTTGCCACGTGATGCCCTGAGCCTGATCTGGAGGTTTCCGTGTTTGTTTGTTTGATCCCCTGAGCCTGACGCCTCCTCCCCCGTCTCAGGCGGGCCTCGGTGAGAAGACGCAGGCCTTCAATCCTTCAACCACCCAGCCGCAAAACAGCTCTCTTCACGCCTCCTCCTGTGAGCAGGCCATCATCTACACGGTCAAGAAGCGCGGCGGCGAGGTGGCCGCGCAGGTCGCCCGCACCGGCTCGCTGCAAGACGAGTTCTGGTCGGCGCTCTCCAGCGACGGCCGCAGCAGCTCGGGGAGCGGCGCACGCTTCATCGCGCGCACGATCGCCGACGTCAAGGTCGAACTGAAGGACGGCGCCGCCAGCGACGTCCGCTTTGACTGGGGCAGGCCGGCCAACCGCAACGCGCGCGGCGCGATGCTCGAGACGTACTCGCCTTGGCGCGACGAGAGCAACAACCTCCGCGAGGACGGCATGCTCGCGCCGGTCAAGATGCTGCTCCGCCGCCTGGGCGACGAGGACGGTGCGTGGACAGCCGTGGCCTCTCTGCTCGCCCCCGCAGCATGCACGGCCTTGCACGCCCGCTGCTGCCGCCGCTGCTGCTAGGCCAGTGGACCCTCTTCGTCTACCACACCGCCGACTTCCAGGGCTCGTGCCCCGCCCTGCCCTACGAGCTCGGCGAGCGACCCTCCTCCTCCTCCGCCTCGCCCTCGCGCGGCCTCTTCGTGCGCGACAAGCACACCAACGAGCTGCTCGACGTCGTCGGCGAGCTGATGCAGATGCCTTGCACCCGGGGCTGCACAGCCCCTCTCCCTCTACACACCCTCTCCGCCTGCGCCCACAGGCGGGCTGCAGCACTCCTACATTGCCGCCGCCCCGCTGCGCGACGACGACGAGGAGGAGGAGGTCGAGGCGCGCATCGAGACGGCCTCCGACACGGCGGCACCATCTCCCCCGGGCACCCCCCCTGCCGGCGGCGGGGGCGACACCCTGCCCGCCTGGGCGCGCGCGGCGCCTCTCCCGGAGGTTCGTTCGCACCGCCCTCCCATCACAGCGCGAGCGCTATATGCAGGAGGCATGTCGGATCTCGCCTTCCCCAGGTGCTCGTCCAAGGGGCGAACGTAGACTGGGGAGGGCACCAGTGGGCCGCGCTGCTGCAGGAGCCCGACGCCGCGCCGGGCGACTTCGAGCCCGTCTACCTCCCCTCGGACGCGGGCTTTCCCGAGCCGGTCGCATTTGCCCGCGTCTGCCCGCTGCCACGCAGCAGCATCGCCGGCGCCGGCGTCGACCCGGAAAAGCGCGCCGCGCCTGAGTAGTGGGGAACGCTGGCCGCGATGCGAGGCGGCGAGGCGTAAGGCCTTAGTGACCCGTGTCGACCCACTAGGTACCGTCACAACCAGCTGCACCTGCCCCTGCACAAGGCCGGCCTCGACGGGGCGTACTTCGTGCTCCACGGCACCAAGGTCATCAACGACCGGCCCGGCGCCGCCTTTGACGGCCAGGTCTTCGGTCAGAACTCAAAGGCGTTCAGCAACCTGATCGCGGGCTGCCAGTCCAAGGGCAACTGGCAGACCAAGATCGAGTACGGCAATTTCGCCGAGCACCTGCGCGCCGGCGACGACACGATCCAGCTGCCCGAGGCGATGAGCTTCAGCAAGTGGGCGAAGTGGAGCAAGATCCACGAGCTCTGGCCAAACCTCGGGCTAGGCGAGCGCACCGTCCCTCCTCCCAGCGCCGGACTCGCCCTCACGCCGCGTCTTCACGCCCCCGGCGACCGCGCTGAGCGTGCGCAGGCCACCTCACCCTCTTCCTCCTCAACCCGCGCTGCTTCGCCCTCGACGGCTCAAAGACGCGACTCTCCCTGCCCGCCGAGGGGATGCCGCCGACCGTCTCGCTTGCGCACCTCGTCTCGGCGAGATGCATGCCCCCGACGGCGCACCCCGAGCTGCCTCCCCCCCCCCCCCTCATCCCACCCCTGCACCCGCGCACACCCTCAGGCGCTGCGGGTGCACGTGGTCTGCTGGTGCATCGCAAACACCGCCCCGCCGGAGCCGCCAGCGCCCAAGCTCTCCGCGGCGTCCAAGGCGCGCGCGATTGCGCAGCTCGCTCCGCACAACGTCGACACTGCCGCCGCGTCGGCAAGCCAGGAGGCGACGCCCGGGGAGCCCGCCGCCCTCGCGACACAGCGGGCGCTTCCGGCGTTCGGGTGCAGCCGCCGAGCGACGAGGCAACGGGCGCTTCACGCGCTCCCATGCGAGAACAGGCGCGGCGCGTGGTGCAGCCCTCGGCACGGTTCGCCCCCGACACGTACCCGCACGCCGTCGAGGCCTTCCCGACCCCGACGCCGCCCAAGGCCAAGCGGCGCAAGCTGGGCGCGGTGGGCTATCTCCCGAGGAGACGAGTATTACCCCCGGCGTCACAATCCCGATCCCCCGCTGGCGCGTCGATCCACAGGCCGAGACCTTCAAGAAGGGCGCGCACAAGGTGGAGGAGGCGCGCGCGGCGGGCAACACCGCCGCCGAGCTCGCGGCGTGGCGCACCCTCGGCGAGCAGCTGAAGAAGGCCTTCGGCAGCCGCGGATAGCTTTTAGCCGTCGAGGGGGCACACGCGGCACTAGGCCGTCGCGTCCTGCTCCGCCTGGCAGGGACAAGACATTTACATCATACATGCACATGCACATGCACCGAATGGGTTCACGGGCTCGACAGCCTCGAGAGACAGCGCGCACGTCACCACAGATACCTGCGGCGCGCACGAGAGTCGCTCCAGAGAGTGAGAGTGAGAGACACAGTTGGTGCTCGCTGATGCATACCTCACGCATCTCACATGCATCGATGTACACCTCTCCTCTCTCTCGCGGACGGTGTTCGCTTTTACGATTTTTATTAGTCGTGTGTGCCGCGACATTGCGACTTTACGACAGTACTCACTCACTATGGATCTATCACCGCCGCACCACTCGCCGCCTCGCCGCCCCCGCCCTCCGCCGCCCTCTCCTTCGCGCGCCTCCTCTTCCGCTGTTTCGACGTCTCCTTGCCCCTCCTCTTCCTCTTGCTGCCCCCCGCCTCCTCTCCCTCTCCACCCGCCCCGCCCGCCCGCCCCACACCCTCCGCCAGAGCAGCCTCAGCAGCCTCGCTCTCGTGCTGCGGCCGAGGCTGCCCCCTGGCGCGCCGCGCCGAGAGGCGGCACTGGAAGCGGCGGCTGAAGCCGCGCGCCGCCCACAGGTCGTCGAAAGCGGACCGATGGCTCGGCAGCGGTCGCTCGTGCGTCTTGTAGTGCGGCGGCCCAAACGCGGGCTGCCAGAGCGCCGCGAGGGCGGGCTCGGAGACGGCGCGCCTCGCGACGCTCGCGCAGTATGCCTCGTCGTCCGAGGTGAGGGTGAGGGTACCTGCGCGAGGAGGCGGGAGGAGGCGAGGAGACGGATCGGGGGAGGTCCTCTGGGCCTCTTCGTCGAGGGCGGAGCGGCGAGCGGCATGCCTCCCGGCTGGAGGATGGCGTGAGCCGCCTCGAGGAAGGCGCGGTTCACGAGGTGCCGCTCGCTGCCCTCGGACTGCGGCGGCTGCGGGAAGTTGACATGCACCTCCGCCACGGAGCGAAGGGGCAGCCCGCCGCTCAGGATCCCGTGCGCGTCCCCGGCGAGCACCGCGAGGTTGCGCAGCCCGCGCATCGCCCCCTTGGCGCGGATGAGGCACGCGCGGTCGTGACGCAGCTCGAGCGCCGCCCAGTTGGCGGTCGCAGCGTCGGCCTCCGCCCGCAGCGCCACCCAGTCGCCGGTGCCGGCGCCCACCTCAACCTTGACAGCCCGCGACGCGTCCGGGAAGAGGGCGCTCCAAGACACCTTCGAGCACGAGGCGCCCGGGGTGGAGCCCAGATGCAGCCGAGCTGTGCAGCCGAGGCTCCCACACCCTACCTTCGCAGCCGCAGCTGCCACCGGAGGGAAGCGCGCCACCGCGGCGGTCGAGAAAGCCGCCGCCGCCGCCTCGCGCCCCTCGCTCTCCAAGAAGGCGCGCACGGCGGCGAGGCTGCCCTCGAGCATCGAAACCTCCTGCGCCGACCCTTCCCCGCCACCGCCGCTGCCACCGCCACCGCCGCTGCCGCCACCGCCGCTGCCACCGCCGCTGCTGCCACCTCCGCCTCCGCCGCCGCCACCTCCGCCGCCGCCGCCGCCGCCTCCGCCGCCGCCGCCACCGCCGCTGCTCTTGCCGCTGCCGCCGCCGCCCAAAGCCTTGAGCGCCTTGGCGCAGCGCTTGAACTTGCCGGTGAGCGCGAGCGCGATGCAGACGTCCGCCGCCGCCGCGTGGCTCAGCGATGCCAGACCTCCGGAGGCGTGGGCCTCGAGCGCCCGCCGCAGCCTCTTGGAATCGAACGCCGCCGCCGCCGCCCTCACCGCCGCGTCCCTGGTCGCGCGGTCGGGCTCCAGGCCGAGCCGCGCCGCCGTCTCGAGCAGCCGGTCGACGCCCGCGCCGTCGCCGACGTAGAGGCAGCCGCGCAGCATCGTGTTTACCGTCCGCAGGTTCGGCTGTGCGGCAGGGTCGGATAGCATCGCCTCAAAGTGCGACCACGCTGCGGACAGTCCAGGGACGTATCAGATACGCATGTCAGCGGGCAGCGGAGGACAGCTGCTCTCGGAAGGTCTTCTCTCGGAAGGTTCACCGGATGGCATATCGAGGGCGTTGACTCGGCCCTTGATGACGGTGGTGTAGACCACCGCGCTGACGGGCACGCCGCTGCCCTGCATCTCGGAGAGGATCTGCCTGCATCGTTCGCCCGCGCTGTAGTCCGCGAGCCGCACGTACGCGTTGAGGAGGATCCCGTAGGTGTACTCGTTTGGCTTGAGCGGCGGCCGTAGCGCGCACAGCGCATCAAACGCCTTCTGGACCCGCTCGACCTCGCCGAAGCGTGCGTGCCGGGAGAGGAGCGAGTTGAAGAGCTTCACATTCCGTCTCTGTAGGGCCGCGGCGAGGTCGGCGTCGAAGCGGTTGGGCATATGGTGTAGCAACGTCGTGCTCGCGCTCACGCACGGCCGCTGCTAACTTGAGTCGGTGTGAAAGCGCCTCCAGGGCTCGCACCTCAACCTCTCACAGACCAGCGCATAGCGCCATAGGACGTATTTTCTTCTCACAACAAGGCTGTGAAGTGTTTATGTGCTGCATCTTGAGTGCACTTTAGCGCGAATTTCACCATCAGCAGAAGAGGGATTAGCCTAAGCACGCTTTTCTCGCCAAGTACTATCTATATTCTTTTGCTTATATTCTCGCCAGACCATCTATATTCTCGAGAATATTCTCGAATATTGAGAATATTTTCCCCACGCGAGAGGTCAGCGGACGCCAAAAATCGCTCTAAAGTAGAGGTTTGTGCTCCCAAACCGCTCAGGAACGTCCAAAACTTAAAGATTTCCGTCTGCATCGACCCAAAACCTACTGTTGAGGGGGCAAAAGAGCTGCTTCGAGAAGCTGTAGTCAAGACCGTTATAGACGCCGCGATGTAACGTCGAGAATATTCAAGAATATCTTGACACTCGAGGTCAACCAAGGTCAAGGGCTGAAGAAATCTCGTAGATTCTTGAGAAAAAGCCGCGCCGGGGCATCTATATTCTCGAGAATATTCTCGAATACGAAAGTGCGCGGGACCATCTATATTCTCGGAGATATTCGAGAATATTGTGCTTAGGCCAAAAGAGGGAAGAGGTGAAGAGAGAGAGAGATGTGAAGAGCCAGACAGAACATAAAGTACGCACTCAGCTGTGATAAAACAAACACCCAAATGACGTGTGAGTGTGAGTGTTAGAGTTGTTTGGTATTGCTAAAAATCTCTCTCTCAGCTGTGCGCACTCGAACACGCAACTAAATAGCGCACTAAACTATCACTAGGATTCCTAAAGTTCATTCACACGCACTCTAAATTTAGACCCAAGCGCCGTTGCTAGCCAAACTGTGCCCGATGGTGCTGGAAAAGCGTTCTACCATTCTCGCACTGGCAAATGCGCGATCTTCAACACTGTGTGTGCGGCGATCTGCTCCTGCTCAAGCCGGGGGGCGCTCGCTGCTCCCCGGACCCCCCGCGCCTGCGGCGGGCCCTTGTGCCGCTGCGCGGGGCCTTTTTGCGCGTCGGGGAGGCGACCAGCCGAAGTGTTTCTTTTATCGCTTGGATGGCAGCGGCGCTGGATGGCGGCTAGCGGCGTCGAGCTTGGCGCTCTGCCCTCCGCCTACGAGGAGCTGGGCGAGAACTCGGCGCGCACTCCCTTCGACGACAACGCCGACCCCGCCGTCATAGCGCTCGAGCAGACGGTGGCCGACCTGCTGAACCGGCGCCGGCCGTGCCACCACTCGCCGGTGATCGTGGCGGTGCAGCTGCTGCTGCTCGGGTGCGCGGTGCTGCTCCTCGCGCTGCCGTTCGCACTCCTCGTCTGCCTCGTCCGCCTCCTCCCCTGGCTGCCGCTCCCGTCCTCGCTGCCGCACTCGGTGCAGACCGTGCTTCGAGGGTCGCGGTGGGAGGCGGCGGAGCGGGCGAGGCGGCGGTCGCGGCCGGTGGTGGCGCGGTGGGCTGCCGCAGCGACGCGGCGGCGGCCCGAGGGCCTCGAGCCGGACGACGGCGAAACGTCCGGGACGCCTCCGCTGCTTCCCGAGACTGAGACGGCCGGCTTGGACTGGGGGGAGCTGCACTGCGGCCTGTGGTGGGCGAGCGGCGGGTGGGACCCGGCGCAGCCGACGGTGGTGTACGTGCACGGCTGGGAGCCCGGCACGACCGCGCGCGGCTTCCGCGAGACCTTCAACTGGAGGCGGAACGTCAAGCAGCCCTCGCTCGGCGTCAAGGGCGAGAGGGTGCCCGACATCGACGCGGCGGAGCTGTGGGCGGCGCGCGGCTGGAACGTGGCGCTCTTCTACTGGAACCAGTTCGCGGACGACACGCTGCACGAGGCGGAGCGCAAGATCCACAGTGCAGAGGGCCAGCACGCGCTGCGCTGGCAGGCAACCTGACGCCGCACCTCGGCCGCACCTCGGCCACATCTCGGCCGCGCCTCGGCCGCACCTCGGCCGCATCTTGGCCATACCTCGGTCGTCACCTCGTCCACAACCCGGCCATCTCGGCCTTCACCCCAGCCACACCCCGTCTCTAGGTGCGGCAGGCGGACGGCAAGACCGTGTCGCGGGACGCGGCCGACGGGACACCGTGCGCGATAGAGCCGAGAGGAGGGGAGATACGGCGGCGATGGAGTGACCAGAGGAGGTATGGCAGAGACCTGGGAAGCGAGATACACGGCAGAGGTCTGGGGACCAGAGGAGGCTGGGGCCGTGACGAGCCGCTGCTCCCCTGCTGCTGTGGGCAGGTGCGTGGCGGACCAGCTCGCCTCGGCGCTGCTGCCGCTGTGGCGAGCCGCGTACGGCGGAGGACCCTCCTCGCCGGTGCGAGGCGGCGCAGGCGGTAGCGACGGCTCCGGGGGCGGCGGAGAGGCGGCGGCGGTGTCAGAGCTGGGTGCCGGCGCCGGAGGGGCGGCGCAGCGACAGGCCGCGGGCAGCGATCCGGATGGGTGGAGGGGCGGCGGCGGCGGCGGTATTGGCGGCGCAGGCGGCGCAGGCGGCGCAGGCGGCGGGAGCTGCGGCGGCGGCGAGGGCGGAAGCGAGGGCGGCTGCGAGGGCGCTCCGAGGCGAGCGGTGCGGCAGTTGCGGCTGGTGGGCCACTCCTTGGGCGCGCAGCTCGTGCTCGAGGTCCAGCTGTGAACAGCGTCTCTTCACACCTCTGCCAGTGAACAGGCGCGCAGCTCGTGCTCGAGGCGGTGGGTCGGCTGGTCGAGCGGCAGCCGCCAAAGGGGCGGCGCCACCTCCACCTGGCCGAGGTGAGCATGCAGGAGGCGCCGCTGCGGATCGCTCTGCTCGACCCATTCTTCAGCCCCGGCGCCAAGCAGTACTTGCCTCGCCAGACCTCGCCCGCCGCCAGGGGCGTCGCAAACCTCTCCGCCGCCTTGCGTTCGCTGCCGCACTTGCCCGTCGAGCTGTACCGCGCCTCCATCCTGGGCGACCCTCCGCTCTGCGCCGCGCTGCTGCCGCACCTCGGCGACCCCACGCCGCAGCTGCACGAGCTCGCGGCCTTCGGCTACGTCGTCCCGCCGGGCGTCCACCCGCTCTCGCCCCGCGCGCGCCACATCGCCGCCGTCGGCCTCTACTTCCTGTCGATCGCGCACGAGGAGGACGCGCACACGCCGTGGGAGGGGAGGATGCACCCGCGCGCGCACGACGGGCTCATCTGCGAGCGGATGGTCGCGCAGACCATCCGCTCGCAGTCGGCGCAGCGGGCGGCGCCGCAGCCGCTGCAGCCCGCCACGCCCGCTTCGCTGCTCGCCTTCCTCAGCCGCGCCGACCGCGACGGAAACCTCTCCGACGACCGCGGCTCGGTCGACTCGAAGACGGAGCTGCTCGAGAGGAAGGACTCGGTGCAGGAGTTTGACGACGCGCCGCACGACGCCGTCAAGCTCGACCTCGCCGGCTGCTTCGCCGACCCGTCGGTGCTCGACCCATCGCCGCCCGAGCATCGCGGACCGGGCGCCGTCGCCGGCGCGAGCGTGTCCGGCCTGGTCGTCGACGTGGTGTGAGAGCGGTGCACCTAGTCCTTAGAAGCTACACCTATAGAACATTTGATTGTCCAGTTCTCCTTAGGAGAGAGGAGTGTTGACTGTTGTGTGCGGAGTTTTTCTGACTACCAGGACGCTTTACAACTGAAAGGTCAAAGCCGACACCGGATATCGTACTGTACTCTCTTTATCCCGCCGCACACGACACGCACGAACGCACCCGCCACCCGGGGGGGGGGGCCTCGCGACTGGCAAACGTCACACGACGCGCCTCAACAGGCACACGCGGCTGCGCTGTATCCGCCGGCTCATCTGTGGTCCGTGACGCCCGGAGCCCCTCCCGTTGCTGCTCGCCCAAGGACGAGCCCCTTGAGGAGCAGCGGCCACTCGGGTTGGTGCATCGCCGGCGCCCCGCCTTTGCACAGCACCTTCAGCCTCGCCTCGGCCCACTGCGTCATGCCGAGGGACGCAATGAGGCCGAGCTGTGTGCCCTGCAGCGCGCTCTCTCCCAGCTCGAAGGAAAGGGTCGCCGTTTTGGTGGTGCCCGCCTGCGCAGCAGCGCCCAAGGTCGGCAAGCCATTTCACAACCCTGTGCTGATCTAGGCTCCGACTCCCACTAAATCTCGGGTAAACCTCGCCTCGACGCTCAGTTTCTTCGGCTCGACCGAGAACCCCACCTGCACAGCCTCCTCCGACAGGCCCTCGAAGCTCACCTCCAGTGGGGGTGGCTTCTTTGCCTCACCGCTTGCATTGCCAAAGGTAAGCTCATACACCGCCTTGCCGCCTCCGCCGCTAGGCGCCAGCTCGATGACCATCTCCTCGGCCTACGTGAAGGACAGCACAACATCTAGGCCTCGACCGCCCAGCGCGCCTCTCGGTGCGACCCGGCCTCCTCAGAAGCTGCGGCGGCCGCGTCCCCGCCCTCTGCGGCGGCGGACACATCGAGCGGCGGCGGCGCGAGGAGAGACTGCGCTCCACTCATCGCTGGAGGGAGGACAAAACCGCTGGAGAGCCAAGCGCGGCCAGTGACAAAAAGCTGCAGCAGCGGCGCCGATGGCTCCCCCGCATCGCTGCCGCCGGCCATGGCAACCTCCACGAGCTGGAAGAAGTGCACCGACGCGTGGTCGGGGGCAAAGGTGAAACTGAGCGGCTGCGCCCCGCCGGGTGGGATCTCGCCAGCCGTGGGCGAGACATCGAACGGAGGGAGCGGGCCGAGGTTGGCGTGGCCGCTCTTCACAGCGCGTAGGGCGAATGTGACCGGAAAAGCGGACTCATTCACGAGGTCGAAGGAGCGTGTTGCGCGGTCCGCCACGAGGACGTCACCAACGTGGACGGCGCGGGTGGGGGCCGCGGCAGGGCCGAATGAGACAGGAGGGGCCTCCTCCTCGGGGACAAGCCTGAGCACGGGCGAGTCGCCGCTGCCTCGCAGGCTGAGCGTCAGCCGGAGTGGCTCACCGCACGCGCCTTCCGTAGCCACTATGAGCGTCTCGAAGGACGGCACGGGTGCCACTGGCTTATACCTGAGGTGATGAAGGCATGGAGAGCGTATCGCAGGCTAAGGTAGTGCACAGTAGGGCTGGACTACCCCCCCCCCCCCCCTCCTCCGCCCAAGGCCAAACAGGAGTCCCACGCGTGACGCACCTCAGAGTGAGCTCGGCGGAGGCGCCCGGCTCGAGGGCGGGCGGCGCGTTGAGCACAGAGAAGGGCCCGGCGGGGCACAACGGCTCGAGTGCGAGGTGGGCCGGAAGGGCAAGCCGCGACTGCACCGCCACCACCACCTCCCGCGTCTGATCGACAGGCACATTGCCAAAGTCGACGCTCTGCCGGACGAGGCCGTTGCTGAGAACAACGCCCGCTGCGACGCTCGTCGTCTCCACCTGCGGACCGCGCCGCACGAATGTCAATTTCAAGCTTGCCTCCCGTGGCCACGTTGATATGTGTACCTCCAAAAAGAAGGAAGTGTGCGGCGCCGGCGCATCGCTTGCGCCCCCGCTGGGCCGCACGTAGCAACACACGCAGCTAGTGGCGTGCTGAGACCAAGGCTCGACCACGTCCCTGACCGGATCGGCAAGGCCGTCGCGGCGGTCCTCGCCGGCGTTGGGCTCGGCACCTCGTGCCATGAACTTGCCAAACTCGCCCGCCGACACGTGCCCTCCCCCGTCGTCGTCGAGCACCAGCCACACCTGTGACAGAGTAGATGGAGAGAGAGAGAAAGAGAGAGTTAGTGGGTGAGCGTATGATACGATTCGACAGGCGTGTGTCGGGCAGGCCCCGCCCTAGCAAGACTACTCACTGGCCACACCTCTCGCAGCTCCTTGGCCGACAGCCTGCCGGGAGACAGCTTGAGGTCCTTCCGTACCATGTGCTTGAATTCATCGAAGGAGATTAGGCCTGAGCCATCCGCATCGACCTGTCGCCAAAGGCCCGAGGTGTAGCCGAGAAGTGGCCGAGGTGCAGCCGAGGTGCGGCCGAGGTGCGGCCGAGTTAGCCCCTAGCCACCGCTGCCCCGCCTGCTTGAAGAGCTTGAACCAGCTCCGCTTGGAGGGGTCCACCGCCAACCGCTCAAGCTCCCGATTCAGTAGCGCCGCCACCCTCACCACCATCTCGTCGCTCGCGGGAGGGCCACGCTGCGGTTCGACAGCCTCGGGGTGCGTCGCCTCATCTGGGCCTTCATCGGCCAGTCCCTCTGAACCGCCGCCGTCGCCGCCGTCGCCGCCGCCTTCCGCGTCCTCGCCACCGTCGCCACTTGCTGGGGATGCCTCCTCCACATCGCCCGATTCCGCCGCTAGCTCCCCTGCGGCTTCGACAGAAGCGCTCCGCTGTGGCGCTGTGAAGGAAACTACGACTCTCACCGAGGCGCCGGCGGCCAGCGTGCCGATTTGGGGCGCGACGGCGAGCCCAGAATCCGCCGGCGGACGGAGCTCATAATCGTGCGGCTGAGAGGAGTCGTTGGCGAGGGATAGCTCCACCGAAGCAGTGTCGCCCTCGGCCGTCGCTGGAAGCCGCAGTAGCGAGGTGGAGAGCCGCAGGGGGGGCTTGACGCCTGGTCACAAATTTGGACGTGTGAAGAGACGCTGTTCACACCACCGGGCCGGGTGTAATCAGGCGGGTGTAATCAGGCCGCGGCCGACGCATCGGAAGGAGTACTTCCGGTTGTGGGAGGTGCGGCACTCGAGGGAGAGGGAGAAGCGCGTGTCGGCCGAGGGCGAGAAGAGGACACTGCGCTGCAGCGTCTCGCCCGGCAGGATGGTCCCCAGCCCGTCGCCTGGCTGCACCTGCAGTACCTCCGGCTCCGTGGAGCTGAACCCAAACCGCTGCGGCAGCGACGAGGGGTTATGTAGCGAGATTGGCAGCTGACGCCGCGCAGTGACCGGCACGTCGCCAAAGTCAAGGATGTGGAGCATCGTCTCCCCATCGGCGCCGCAGATTAGCAGCTCTGATGTCGTCAACGTGGCGCGTAGGGTGAAGCGCACCGGCGCCGCCTGCCCTCGGACGGTGAGGCGGATGGGGAATGCGATCGTGTCTTCCTCGACCAAGTGCTTGGCGCAGCTCTCGCGCAGCGTGTCGAGCACAGTAAACTTTAGCTGGACGCCGACCGAGCCGTGCGCCTGCACGAGCGCCGTCACAGGCGAGAACTCGAGACAGCCCTCGAGGCTTGGAGGCACGCGGAGCGCCACCTGCGGCAGGGCCGAGGGGAGTGAAGAGTCCCGGGGGAGAGGCGGCGGGCGAGAAGACCGCGCGCCACGAAAGCCGTGCGCGGTGGGGAAGAGGTGGCGGCGCGGACGGATCAGAGGGGAGTCTTTGCCTGCTGCGCGACCGCCGAGCGGTTGCACACCCTCAACTCGTCGCGGTAGAGGGCGCCGACGAGGCAAGTGCGCAAGTCGATCATTGGGCGGGGAAGGTAGATTGGAACCTGCGCACCCGATCCCGACAGCTCCACGTGCTCCGCCCTCCAGTCGCCCCCAAAGTCGAGCCGCAGCAGCGCGGATGCGCTACCCGCCGCCGCTGGGGTGAAGCGCAGCGAAACAGTGGCCTTCGAGCGCGGCGCGAGTGTGATCGTACCGCCGCTGCCCGCCTCGAACACGGCCTTGCCTGCTTCGTCGGCGGCGTCGCCCGCGCCCCGCTGAAGACTCACAGCAAAGGCCGTCCCCAGTGCGCCGCTGTTTTTCACCTCGAGAGTGAGCGAGGCCGACTCGCCGAGGACGACCGTCCCAAAGTGCAGCGCGGACGTTTGCAGTAACACTGCGAGCTTCTTGGGCGCGCAGCGGATGGGAACTGACATGGGCCCCGTGTGGGTGAGCAGCAGGAGCACCGTGTCGATGTCCTCGCCCAGCTTTGGCGTGAAGGTGAGCTTGAGAGAGACGGAACGGCCAGCAACCATCCGGCCAGGCGGCTGGTGCTCGAGCAGAAAGAAGCTCGCAACCTCGGGGGGGAAGGCCGCCGGCCGGAAGGAGTTGAATGAGTTAGAGACGTTGGTGAGAGCGAAGGTCTTGACGTACGTTTCGCCCGCCTCAAAGTCGAGGAACTCGAGCACCGGCTCGCTGGGCACGAACGCGGGGCCGCGCCAGGTCTTGCCGCACACCGTCTGCTCGACGACCACGTTGTCTCGCTGGCGCTGCCGCGCTGCGGCCATGTACCGTTTCTCGAGCACCGAGAGGGTTGCGCCCTTGAGCGGAGATGGCGGCCCCGGAGGAGCGGGGACGCCGTCGTCCCACAGCCCGGGCAACTCCGGCTCGACCACCTCATCGGCGGGCTCGCCGCGCTCCCTCGCCTCCTCCGCAAGCGCCCGCGCCGACGCCGACTTTAGCGGCGACAGGGTCAGCGAAGCGACAGGGTCAGCGAGGACCGATCTTGCTGCGACGGGCTCGGGGAGGGCGGCGGCGCGCGCCGCAGCTTCTGCCCGGCTGGAGGCGGCCGTGTTGGGGTACTTGTCGGCCATCATGTCCAGGATATCGCCGTCCTTGCCGAGGCCCAGGCCGAACTTCCAGTCCTTCATCGTCACGTGCTGCGAGGGCTCGATCCGTGGCCAGCGCGAAGTCGGGTCGAGCAGCGTGGCCCCTGTCTTGGTCACGCGGCGCATGTAGCTCTCGCTCTTGACCTGGCTGCCGACGGAGGTCATCTCGAGGGCGGCTCGCTCGGCGGCCTCCCGCTCCCGCTCGACGCGTCGCTGCTGCTGCGCCTCGGCCGCCCTCTGCTTGCCGAGCCGCGCGTGCATCTCCTCGCAGTTGGCGGCGAGGCGCGCCTCCACCTTTGCGCGATCGGCAGCCGCGCGCGCCGCCTCGTCGCGCTCCCGGAAGACGCGGTACGGGTTGCCGCCCTTCTCCAAGATCTCCACCTTCTCCGCCGCACGCTTCTCCTCGCGCCTCGCCAGCGCCTCAGCCCTGCGCTCGCTGGCGCCCCGCGCGGCTGCCGCGGCCTCGGCGGTCGACGCCTTGAGCTGCAGTACCGCCTCGGCGCGCCTCGCCGTCCGCTGCGCCTGCTCCTCCCGAAGCTCCTCCACCTTTTCCCGGATCCGCCTGTGGCTCTCGTTGGCCCGGCGCGCAGCCTTGACGTGGGCATCCCGCGCGGCAATCAGCTGCCGCTCGGCTCGCTCGGCTCGCTCTGCAGCCGCCGCCTCTTCGGTGGCTTGGGCGGCGTCGCGAGCCGCGACCTGAGCAGCGGCAGGGAGTGGGCGAGCGTCACGGCTAGGGCACCCGGAGGAGCGAGACAGGTGTGCGGGTAGACGGCGGCTGTTTTTGAGGCAAGGTGCCACCTCCCGCTGAGAGCCGAGCTTCTCCCTCTGGATGCGGCTCTGCGCAGCGGCCTCGTACAAGCGCGCGTCCTCCTCCTGCCGCGGCAGTAGCGGTTCGAGCTCGGCAGAGGCTCGGCTCAACTCAATGGCGAGCCTACAGAGTGAGCACAAAAGCAGTGAAGACTCTTGCAGAGCCTCTGCGTAGCTGGCGTCCGTGGTTCCGTGGAGCCTTTCCGCTTCGAGTCGCGCAGAGTCGCAAGCCGCGTTCGCCTCGCCGAGGCGTGCTGCGAGCGCCTCGCGCTCAGCGGCAAGGGAGGCGGCCTAGGACGGAGGCACGGGCGTTGGGTCTCGGGATCGCTGGGCGGCGCTCACAGCTGCGTCGTGCGAGGCCGGCTGCGTCTCCCTCTCCTCACGCCACAGCTGATCGAGCCGCTCCTCCATCTCTCGCGCTGCGTGGCCCGCGGACGCACTTGCCTCGAGCGCCTGCTGCCTCTCCCGCGCCAGTGCCGTCACCCTCGCTTCGGCGCGGTTGAGGGCAACCCGCTCCTCACGAAGGCTCCGGTCGGCATAGGTGGAGACCGCCAGCGTGGCATGGGGTGCGGTGTCGGCAGAGAGCGAGACTTCCCCGCCAGGGCTGGCCCACGCCACTGCGCGCGAGTCCATACAGGAGTGTTTCGCGGCGGACGGAAACGTTACAGCGGGTTTATTCACAGAGCTCTCTCTCTTCACAGATAGGTTGATCAGAAACAAGAATCACACGTCATCGCAGACAGAGGCTGAGGGTGTGAGCTGGAGAGCGAGAGGCGAACCTAAGTGGAAGGTCCTTCTTGATCTTTTACACACAGAAAAATAATACGCGCGGCTGGCGGGAGGCGGGGGGCTTGCCGGGGCCCGTGGCATAAAACTCTGTCTAACCTGTGCGTTATTCTTCTAAAGGCTGATACACGTATAGCAGGGCCCAGACCAACAAAGGCGCGCGGACAGAACGCGGCGCAGCAGCAGCTCACGAGACGAGGGTCGACGCGGTGGCGGCCTCGTACTTGAAGTTGGGCGCGACAGCCTTGACCTCCTTGTAGTAGCGCGCGAGGCGGTGGATGCGGCTCTCGATCAGAATGAGGCGGAACTTCGCGTCCTTGTCCTGCCGGAATTTGTCGAGGTGCTTACGCACAGACACAGCCTGCGGGCGGCGGGGAGAGGCGGGCGGCGTTAGGGGGGCGGAGAGCGGGCGGCGACAGCGGCGGGCGCGTCCAGCAGCAGGGGGAGGGGCGGCGACAGCGGCAGGGGCGGGGCGGGGCGGGAGGGGGGAGGGGTGGGGGGGGGGGGGGCAGGTGCTAGGGGGGCCCCGCCTTCTTGATGAGGCAGTACAGGTCCTCCGGGATCTCCGGCGCGAGGCCCTTCTTCTTCAGAATCCGAAGAATCTTGGAGCCCGTCACATGGCACACCTGCAGCGTCGCGGCGGCCGCCTCTCAGCGACACTCAGCCGGCAGCTTCAGCAGCTGCGCCCAGCACCCCCCCCTTCCCCCCCCTCCCCCGCCCATCAGCCGCAGTCGGGCTGACTCCCCGCCGTACCGCCCCCCTCGCTCCGCCGTCCACGGGAGCGTCGACAGGCCGGCGGCCGTGCACGCTGGGCCTGGCCCTCTCCCCCGACCTCCCACGCAGCGCCTCTGCGCCGCTGCAGCGCCCATGCCCTACTCCCCCCTAGGCGAGCGCGCGCCTGTGCAATCCCGTGCGAGTCCCGCAGGATCACGCCAATCTGCGACGGTGTCAAGCCCTTCTTCGCGAGCTTGCACACGTGCTCGTTCACCTGCAAGCCAGCTGCGGCGGTCAGAGCGCGTGCCCAGCGGCGAGCGGCCAGTGCTGCAGTGCCGCGCCTCAGCCGGGTTCTGCTTGAACCAGGAGGGCGTCGACCGCCGGTACGGCAGCGCCGACTTGGAGATGCCCTTGCCCTTGCTGTGCATGCGACCCATGGCTGCCGAGTCTGCGGGCGGCCCTGCGCAGGGAGGAAAGCGTGAGAGGCTCACCCGCGTGCCGCGCGAAGCGGCGCTTTTGCCGCATAGGATGCGCGCAGAGCTGCGCAAAGCTGCCCGCATTACTTCCGTACAGAGGGGGACGGCGTGCGGCGCAGGCGGCGGTGTGAGGGGGGGTGGGCACGCGGGCTCCCGGCCGCTTGGCCCCAATGGCGCCAGCTGCGCACCTCTCTCCACGCGCTCTATGTGCGTTTCCGGTTTCTTTTTTCTTCGTATTTTCTTAAACCGCTGGAGGCGGAATTGGGGGGGCCACCCCCTATCCCCCTACCCCTGGCACCTTACCCTACCCCCCACACAGCCGGAACCCTGAGCCTCTTTGTCGATTTCCGATTTCTTTTTTGGGGCTTTCTTTTCTGGTTCTTCTCCAATGACGCCTCATGAGACATGTCGCGTAACCCTAGACCGTAGACGGCTAGCGAGCCGGCTCGGGCTGCGCCTGCGGGGCCTCCCTTCAGAGCGCCGTGATCCCACGTGGGCGTGGTTTAGAAGCAAGGCAGACCGTGCGGTCTCTTGTCGCCACCCTTCACCCCCAAGGTACGTATGTGCGGACGCACCACCGGCGCACCGCTGGTGGCTGGAGCGCGGCGCGAGTGGACTTCGCTCACACGCGTGCGACCTGTGAATCCAAGATCCCCCAAACCATGGATAGTAACGGTAAGTAGGAAGGCGAAGAATCGAAGAACAGCCAGGGCGCACCAAGGCCCGCAGCGCGCGCAGCAAATAGCGCTCGCTGTGAACAGAACGAAACTCCTGGCAGGAGGCTACATCGCGGCGGCGACCTTGCGGGTCAGCTCGGCGAGGCGGCAGGCGTAGCCCCACTCGTTGTCGTACCACGCGAGCACCTTGCACTGCGTGCCTGGTCACAGCACCTCGCGCGTGAAGCGGCGCCGGTCACCACGCCGGAGCCGTCCCCGGAGCCGCGCGCGCCTCCCATCACAATGGTCGACGCCGCGTCGATGATCGTCGAGCGGCCTATCCGCAGCAGCCCGCGCCTGAAGGGACGCCCTTCACGGCCCGCGCCGCCAAGCGTCGAGGCGCCGTCGTTGCAGTAGTCCGCCGCCGTCAGCTTCTTCTCCTCGATGCCGAGGATGCCCGCCAGCTCGCCCTTCTCGGCGGCGGCGAAGAGGCCGTTGACCTCCGCCGCAGTCACCTCGCGCGCCATCTCGAGGGTGATGTCGGTGAGCGACGCGGTGGCCATTGGTACGCGCACGGCGTGCCCGTTGAGCTTGCCCCTGAGCTCCGGGATCACCTCGGTCACCGCCTTGGCCGAGCCGGTCGTCGTCGGGTAAAAGTTGTTGATTGCGCCGCGCGCGCGCCGCGGCTCCTTCTCGGCGCACCACGCCGCGTCGAGCACGCTCTGCGTGTTTGTGAGGCAGTGGATGGTCGTGATCGAGCCGTGCTTGACGCCGACCTTGTCGTGCAGCAGCTTGATGACTGGCGCGATGCAGTTGGTGGTGCACGAGGCGGCAGTCACCACGCTGTGCTCCGCGGGCACGTAGGCCGCCTCGTTGACGCCGAGGACGACGTTTGGCACGCCGGCGTCCTCCGGGGGCGGGCAGTGTGCGGTCGGCTGGTGAGGTGCCGTCAGCCGGAGTAGGCGCAGAGGAACTCCGAGAGCGCGGCCGCCCAGGTGTGCGGAGTGGCAGGCGGGGTTGAGGGTCTGCGCTCGCCTTTACGGGCGCGGAGACGACGACCTTCTTCGCGCCGAGGTCGAGGAAGGGCTGCACCTGGGAGGCGAGCAGGCGCCGAGACGCCTCACGAGGAGAAGCCGAAGGGGCGACCGCCGAGGAGGGTGCTGCCACGGAGCAGGGCTCGCCACTGCAGGTGACGGCACGAGCGGGCGGCTGAGCCGTTGCGATTGAGGGAGGACGACGAGTGCCGAGTGTGAGAGGAAAGCGTCCCGGAGGCGGCCGCGCCTTTGCGACGGAGCAAAACTTGCCGGTGCACTCCATCACGACGGTGACACCGAGCTCTGCGATCGGAACGTCGGCCGGGCTCGCGATCTGCAGGAACTTGACCTTGGTGCCATCAAAATCGATTATGTCGCCCTCGGTGCTAATCTTGCCGGAAAGGAAGCGGCCGTGGTGCGTGTCATACTCGGTGATGTAGGCGGACGTCTCGATATCGCCCTGCGGCGGCGCAGCGCGGAAAAGTGAGCAGCGCACGGCGGCAATCAGGCCGACGTCAGTGACTGTCGATGGCGGAGGGTGTGCAGGAGGACGTGGCCACCCGCAGCTCGTTGATCGCCACCACTGTCACCTCGGTCTGGTTGAGGAGTGTGCGGAGGGCCAGCCGGCCGATGCGGCCATTTCCGTTGATCAGAACCCGCTCCGGAGCCTTCTTCTTTTTGCTAAACATCGAACACACGGAGAGAGAGCAGAGCAGTGCACTCTGTTCAGGCGCCACGCTTATGCCGACGGAGGTTACGGCGAGCGGAATGGAGCAGAACGCCCGCTTTCTCTTCCCGTTCATTTTTTTTCTTGATCGCCGGCAATCTCGGAGACGGGACGGTTCCCCTTCAGTAAGCTCACCCATGTCAGCCGCCATCCAGTCCGCGATCGGCGCTGCCGTCGGCTTCGCCGCCCTCGAGGCGCTCGATACTGTCGTCAAGCCATTGGGCTACGGCTCCAGCATGTGTCCTCCGCTCGGCGCGACCGCCGTCCTCCTCTTCTGTCTCGCCAAGGTTAGTCGCGGCTCTGCCCTGCATTCTCTCCATCACGCCCGCAATGCTCCTGCGCGCCGCCCAGTCTCCAGGATGAGCGCTAGCTGCCGTTGCCTGCAGGCGCCCGCCTCCTCGCCGTTTGCCGTGCTTGGAGGCTACATCGTCTCCTCGCTGGTCGCCCTCGCCGTCGTCACGTTCCTGCCGCCCGACTTTTGGTTCCTCGCAAAGGGCCTCGCCGTCTCGGGCGCCATCGGCGGCATGGCGCTAACCGGGACCGTTCATCCTCCCGGTGGTGCTTACGCCTTCCTCTTTGTCGCCCAGAAGCTGCCCGCGCAGGCGATCCCACCAGTGCTGCTCGGCGCGGTGGCGCTGATTGTCGCCCAAAAGGTCGTCCAGGCCGTCGTCGCGGCGACCGTCGGACCCGAGCCCAAGGCCAAGACGAAGTGAGGCCTGATGAGATGTGAGGCTTACTGGCTCACATGCGGCGGATGCCTGTGTCCCTCGAAAGAGCCGCCTCCGGCCCTCCGCACCCTATGGTCCCTAGTGGTGAGGCCCAATCGGCCGTCTCGCACCTACGTTTGGCTCAGTACGTCGTGGCCCACTCTTGCATATCCGTGTTCGTCCAGATAGCAGTTTGCATCCATGCACACACCTGCGACCTGGGTGTCCTGGTCCACACACCCCCACACATATTTATGATTCACGTAAAGCCGATGGTAGACGGCTCATAATACATAATCATAAATAACCTCCACGTGCACCGACGACCGAGGTTTAAACTGCCTCGAGCTCGACGAGGAAAGCGGATCTCGTTCCAACAGTATTAAACCAAATCCAAAAGTTTTTGGATTTTGAGATTCGCCTCGCAGTTTACCCGGCCAACGATATTTTCCTGCTTAGCGCGATATCCGTCAAACCAGTTTACCCAGTCTCCCACAATTCATGTTTCAGCTTACCCGGTCGCTAACATTTCTCATGTCAGATTACCCGGTCGGCCAAATTTCTCGTCCAGATCACCCGGCGGCTAACCTACTTTTCTCTTCAGCTTACCCGGACACGGGGACGGCTGCCTAGCTAAGCCGCCGCCGCCGACGCTTCCTCCGACGCCACCCGTGGCACCAGACACGTTACCCGTGTGGCCTGGCTTCAGCATATATGAGGTCATACTGCTACCCTTCCTCGTGCGATGGCCAGCTCGGCCGTGGCTGCGCGTGGTCATAGATGCAAGACCATTGCCTCGCCGAGAGCTCAGTTGCATGCTCTATCCCCTTCAGCCCTCCAATTCCCATCTCTCCTTCGCGCCCATTCCCCCCGTTTCCGCGACCAGGATCCTGATTGCGCTCATCATCCTGTGCGTGCCTCTGCTTGCGATGCTCTTCTGCTACCACTTCTCCCTAACAGGGTCGCATCGCGGGAGCTCACTGCTGGTAGAGGACCAGGGCCCGCCACGCTACCCACCCCGAGCATACTCGGGTCACATCTAGAATCAAATTTTCTGTGGCCTTTCGTCGTGACTCGTGCCCGCACGATGAGCCATGTGCATGTCGTGAGATGCGCGGCTCGGGCTGCGCCCATGAGCAACGCATGTTAATGTATGTACCAATACTCAGCGCGAACCAGTACGTGAGCGCACAAAGGCCACACAACCCGCAACCCCCGAGAGATACGTATGTTAGAGCTCTACACGGCGCGCTATCTCGTCCGGTCTGCGCAGACAGCACGCACACTCAATCATGGTTCATGCGCGCTCTGTGGAGATAAGTCCGATCCGCCCTCGTCAGAATCTAGATTCGCCGGCTCACGACGCCGCCATCACCAGGCGGGTGTACAAGCCACCAAGAGAGAGAAGCTCCGCGTGCGTTCCCTTCTCGACGACGCGGCCCTCGCTCAGCACGGCGATGCTGTCGGCGTTGCGGATGGTCGACAGCCGGTGCGCGATGACGAGCGTCGTACGACGCGTCTCCGCCACCACCGCATCCAGCGCCGCCTGCACGACCCGCTCGCTCTCGTTGTCGAGCGCCGACGTCGCCTCGTCAAGCAGCAGCACCGCCGGCTTGCGAACGATGGCGCGTGCGATCGCCACGCGCTGCTTCTGGCCGCCCGAAAGACGACTGCCCTTGAGACCAACTTGCGTGGCGTACCCGTCGGCGAGGCTGCTCGTGATGAAGCCGTGCGCGTTGGCCAAGCGCGCCGCGCCCTCGACGTCGGCGTCGCTCGCGCCCGCCTTGCCGTACCGGATGTTGTCCGCCACCGAGCCTTGGAAGAGGACCGGCTCCTGCCCCACCAGCCCGAGCTGCGCGCGCAGCCAGCGCACGTTCAGGTCGCGCAGGTCGACGCCGTCGAGCAGGATCGCGCCGCCCTGCGGGTCGTAGAAGCGCTCGAGCAGCGCGACGAGAGTCGACTTGCCGCTGCCCGAGGCGCCGCACAGCGCCACCGTCTGCCCCGCGGACACCGAGAGCGAGTAGCCGTTGCAGACGAGGTGGTCGGGCGCGGTGGGGTACGCGAAGACCACGTCGCGCACCTCGATCTCCCCCGCCACCGCCTCGGGCGTCTGCCCAGCCTCGGAGAAGGAGTCGATGGCTGGCGTTTGGTCGAATAGCGCGAAGAGGCGGGAGGCGGCGCCGATTGCGCTCTTGAGGCTGGCGAGCTGGCCCAGCTTGAGGAGCGGCACCATCGCCCCCGTGAGGACGAGCAGCGGCGCAATGGCCTGGGGCGGGGAGTGGGCAGAGAGAGGGGTGAGGGCGCGGCAGCCAGCCACGACACTCCTTTCACGGACTCTCCGCCGCCGCCTGCACGAGAGTGATGATGCCCTGGTCGGCGAGCCAGACGGCGTAGTAGAATGAGACGCCCACGAGGCACATGAGCACGCCCATAGTCAGCCCGTTGAAGAAGCCGCCTACGGGAGCGGTGTGTGTGGCTTTGTCGTGGACACGTCCCTGGACGTGCCGTCGCCGTCGGCCGTACGATGAGGACCGACGATCGCATCGCGCTTGCCGTACCGTGCCGCGTCGGCGCTGGAGGCGCAGTAGCTCTCGTAAAAGTGCTGCTCCAGGTTGAAGGAGGCGACAGTGCGGATGCCAAGCACCGCCTCGCCGATCGCCTTGCTCGCGCTCGCCTTTGCGACGAAGCGGCGCGAGGTGACCTTCTTGCCCTGCGCCGCCTTCTTCTCGTCCGCCTGCTCACGGCACGAGCTGTGAAGAGACGCTGTGCGCCGGTGGCGGGGAGCGCCGCCTCCGTCGCGTCTGCCGACGTGCCGCTCATGAAGAGGGTCTGCATCCCCATGATGAGGCCGAGGACGGGCAGGATGGCGCACCAGACGAGGAAGAGCTGCCTGCTCACGGGCAAGCGGGCGGTGAAGCAAGCCTCCCTCCTCCACGGCGCCGGCCGAGCTCGAGGGCTGCGCGCGCCACGAGCACTTCCACAGGATGATGACGAGCACGGAGCCGAGCCCGCCCACCAGCTGCGCGACCAGGTCGAGCTGCTCCGTCGTGATGGTCTTGACCTTGTCCACCTTGTCCGCCAGGAAGGCGGTCAGCTCCGACGCAGAGTTGGCCTGCGGACAGCCAAGCGGCGTCAGAGCAAGGCGCCGCGCAAGGCCAGGGCCGTCGGCTCCGAGGCCCGACTCGCCTCCACGTCGAAGAAGCCGATGTCTTGGCGGAGCAGCGCGCCTGAGGAGCAGTGCGTCCTCTCTCAGCCACGAGGCAGTCGTGAATCAGTCTTCGTGGACCCGGCGTCGCGGCGGAGCAGCGCGCCGAAGCCCCGCTGGCGCAGCTTGGCGGTGAGCGAGGCGCCCGCCTCGCCGTTGAAGTAGCCCGAGCAGAAGAAGGCGAACGTGGTTGCGCCGGCGATGATGGCGAGGCGGGTGGAGAGCTCGACCGCGTCGGATCGCATCCGGCTCGGGTCGCCGTCGTACAGCACGACCATCACCTGCGCGTGACACGAGCGCTGCGTCAGCTCTGCGGCAGGGCGGCGGGCCGCCAGTCCCACAGCACCGCCCTCGCCTCGGTCACGAAGTAGAAGCCGATGGAGGGGCCGACGCACGCCGCGCCAGAGAAGAGGACCATCAGCAGCAGGTGCACCGCGCGATCCGACTGCAGCCGGACGGCAGCCGCGTGAGCGGGAGTACGAGGACTATATGACTATCTAGTTGCGAATGAGGCGGGCCTGCAGCCCGAGCAGCCTCCGGAGCGGGCCCAACGCCTCGCGCGGCAGCGGCGCCACCCGCGCCAGCCCGAGCCCGTCCTCTCCCTCCTTTGTGGAGGCCGGGGGGGGCTCCAGCGCCGCCGCCACGGGCCCGCTCGCCGAGAGCGAGTCGCCGCCCTCGTCGCCCGCCGCGCTCGCGATCGTGGCGCGGTCCTCCTTGAGCAGCTCCTCCTGCTCCTTTGCGAGCTTGGCGAAGACGCCGCCCGGCCGCGAGACGAGCTCCTCGAAGGAGCCCTTCTCAACGACGCGGCCCTCGCTCAGCACGGCGATGCTGTCGGCGTTGCGGATGGTCGACAGCCGGTGCGCGATGACGAGCGTCGTACGACGCGTCTCCGCCACCACCGCATCCAGCGCCGCCTGCACGACCCGCTCGCTCTCGTTGTCGAGCGCCGACGTCGCCTCGTCAAGCAGCAGCACCGCCGGCTTGCGAACGATGGCGCGTGCGATCGCCACGCGCTGCTTCTGGCCGCCCGAAAGCTTCGAGCCGCCCTGGCCAACTTGCGTGGCGTACCCGTCGGCGAGGCTGCTCGTGATGAAGCCGTGCGCGTTGGCCAAGCGCGCCGCGCCCTCGACGTCGGCGTCGCTCGCGCCCGCCTTGCCGTACCGGATGTTGTCCGCCACCGAGCCTTGGAAGAGGACCGGCTCCTGCCCCACCAGCCCGAGCTGCGCGCGCAGCCAGCGCACGTTCAGGTCGCGCAGGTCGACGCCGTCGAGCAGGATCGCGCCGCCCTGCGGGTCGTAGAAGCGCTCGAGCAGCGCGACGAGAGTCGACTTGCCGCTGCCCGAGGCGCCGCACAGCGCCACCGTCTGCCCCGCGGACACCGAGAGCGAGTAGCCGTTGCAGACGAGGTGGTCGGGCGCGGTGGGGTACGCGAAGACCACGTCGCGCACCTCGATCTCCCCCGCCACCGCCTCGGGCGTCTGCCCAGCCTCGGAGAAGGAGTCGATGGCTGGCACGCGGCTGATGATGGAGAGCACGTCCGCCGCCGCCTTTGTGCCCAGCGAGGCTCGGTGAGCCCGCACCCCACGCTCGCCGCCCCTCGCACACAGGGGTCGCACCCTCGCTCGCCGCTGATCTCGGGGCACCTCGCGCCACCTCGGGGCATCTCGCGCCATCTCAGGAGGATCTGGCGCCTGCTTTGCGACGACGAGCAGCTGCGCCGGCGGGCCGGAGAGGGAGAAGCCCTCGCCCGCCATCATCATCGCGAGGATGGCGATGAGGACCAGCTTGGCCGCCATCCGGCACGGGTGGTACCCGTCATTGTCGTACCCCGGCGGCGAGGAAGCGACGACGTACGCGTTGAAGGCGCCGACGCTCTCGAAGCCCATCCCCTCCAGGAGGGTGAGGTTCGGCCCGCCGAGCTGTGCGCTCGACTCGCCGCCTCCAAGGGGTGTGGCGTCGAGCGGCGTCGAGGCGGCGGTGCCGAAGAGCTCCGCCCAGTTGCAGTTCATCTCGAACGGGACGAGCGGCGCGCACGACGCGTTGGGCGTCGCGCCCGCCGGCGTGTTGTCTCCGTCGTACGCGCAGTAGCGGATCCCGTCGACGACGTACTCGAATGCGGACTCCTCCATCTCGTTTGAGAGGGTGAAGGAGCCGTACAGGATGCCTGCCGCTTGGCGGGGGGCGGTGAGGAGGCACCGCAGGAGGCACCGCCTTCCGGAGGGGCGGCAGGGGGCGGGCGGGGAGCGTGCCGGCGACCATCATCACCAGGTACGCAGAGAGGGCGAGCCCGGTCGTTGTGCCGACGACGGTCGCGTTCCGCACCTCCACCCACCGCACCGCGCGCAGGGCCTCCTCGTACTTGGCGGCGAAGTGCCCCTCCAGCTCCAGCGCCACGACCGTCCGCATCGCAAACAGCGCCTCGGTCGCGTACCCGCCTAGCCGTCCGTCACTCTGCTCTCAGTGGCTGCTCAGCTCGCAAGCGGCGCCCCGGCGGCGACCCCGCCAGCGGTGGCGTACGCCCGGCTGACCATCTTTGAGCCTGCGAGGAGGGCGCGGCGAGGGCTGAGGGACGGCTCCTCCCGGCTCGCCCGAGCAGCCGGCCCGCTGCGAGCCGTTCTGCAGCACGTACATGAGCGCCGAGGCGGGGAGGATGAGGAGGGGGACCGTGGCGAGGGTGATGCCCGCGACCTGCTCGCAGATCGAGGTGTGAGGAGGAGGAGGGGGAGGATGGTGGCGAGGGGTGTGGTTGGCGACCGCAGGCTGGTAGATCAGCCCGACGACCAAGCCGCCCACGCCGTAGCCGACGCCCTCGAAGAGGACGAAGACCGAGCCGCCAAGCCCCTTCTCCACCTGGCGATCAATGGTTGACTGGTGTGACTGGTGGTGATGATGACTGGGCTTGGCTGTGACTCCTTCTCCACCTTGGCCATCCCGTCTGCGATGCGGGCGGAGAGCTCCTCCGGCCGCGCGCTCTCGTACCTAACCTCGCGGCGGGAGGGCGTGGCGAGAGCGAGGGCCGGGGCATCCTCGCGCCGCGCGCCCCCGCACCACGCCACGTCCTGCCGCAGCACCGCCTTGAGGAAGGCGCGCTTGTAGCGCGCAACCTGCGCCTGGCAGGTGTACTCGCCGATGGTGTAGGAGAGGGCGCGACCCACGAGGAGAGCCGCGCCTGGGGCAGGGGAGAGGGCGGGTGGGAGAGGGCAGCGGCGGGAGAGCACAGAGAGAGTGGGAGAGCAGTTGTATATGCGCAAAACTTGTTTACGGTGATTACTGCACATGCGCGCCGATGTAGATGAAGGTGAGCAGCATTTTTGTGACCGAGGAGCCGGTGTTCCTCGCCCCGGGCAGCGTCGCGCTGAGACCAAGCTGGTCGAAGGCATCGCCAAACGCAAGCAGCATCAGCGGCATCGCGGCGCCTACGTGCACGCTTCGGGCGGTCTCCCTTTGTGTGTCTGCATCATGGGACGTCGCTTTTGCAGGCGCCAGTCCCGAGAGCCGCGAGGGCTGCAATCACGAGGAGGCACTTCTCGACGGGCGTAGCGAATTGCAAGAGCTCGGCCAGCGATGCGGAAGGCACCGGAGGCGGTTTGGCCTTCTTCTTCTTGGGCGCTTCGGACGAAACCGACGGATCACGTGCAACCGCAGAGCCCCGAAAGTTCTCGCTGCCGCCCACTGAGGGCACGGTCTGCCCGATCGATGGGGCAATCTGGCTGGCCCCGGAGTGAGGGAGCGACGGCATCGGAGAGGCGAAAGGCAGCGGCAGTGGGTTGCCAAGGCAGCTATGGAGCCAACCGACCGTAAAGTCCGTGGGGAAAAAGAAATAAAACCCAATGGGCCCGCCGCAAGCCGCGTGGCGTGGGGCGGTTGAGCATCCCTCCGGGGGCCCCTCTGCGCCGTGGAGGCGTTGTTGGAGGCTAGGACGCAAGCGTCCGTCGCCTTCTTCAAACTCGGGGCCCACTCCGGACCGCTGCGCTCCGACCCGAATTTGGTTTTGGAGGGCCATGAAGTTTAAGGTGTTGCTGCGCAAAAGGCGCGGGGCGTGTAGACGCCTCTGACGCCAATTCTGCAGCCCACAGCCCTGGCAACTGAGGGCGAGGGCCAGCAGTATACGACGACGACAACATCTCACACCCCTCGCTGGCCAGCGCCATCAGCCCCTCACGGCCCGGCCCAACCTCCCTTTGCTAGCGCCATCGCCTCCAGCGCCTCCAATCAAGTCGCACCACTCTTCTCTTCTTCAGCCAATGCAGCGGCAGCACCTCGTCAGAGGCCGAGCCACTGGCGGACCTGCAGCCAGCCATGCCCCCCCCCCTCCCCACCCGCTTGGATAGACCAGGCTCCACCAGCTCCACCACCGCGTCTCGAACCTGGAGAGGGCATGTGGGCTGGACGGTACACCATTGTTTATCATCCCACGGCGACCTCCGTCTTCCAGGAACCGATCTTGCGACCGAGCTAGACGGCTTGAGCTTCTTCTACCCAACCACCAAAGCCCGTCTCTTCCGCCTCACCCACTCCCCTTCCGACCCCACTCTCTTCTCTCTGGATGTTCCTCTGCCCTTCGAGCCTCCCACACACACACCCTTCCTCTGTCGGGCCTGCACCAGCAAAGTCGCCGTGTATCGCCCCCATGTACCATCATGAAGCATGAAAGATAGACCATAGAAAGCATGAACCTCGAATGGTCTGGTCTCCAAAAAGAAACGTTGGATGATGCGGCGCTTTTTTATATGTGTCGGTTGTGTTTCTTTCTTGTCTGAAATCTGCGAGCTCAACTCCCCAGCTTGGCCGAGTGTAGCACGTCGTACAAAAAAAGTCGCACACGTGTGATCGGGTGGGTGGTGGTCGCCCCCTACCCCCCTACCCCTCATTTGGGCGTGTAACGGACGTCTCTAGTGGGCAGTCATAGGTAGGTAGGTAGAAAGGTGAAGAACAGCCAGGCTCGGACTGGACACCAACGCGGTATGGGTGGACGCTGGACAGATGATGACGACACGCACGAGCGACACACAGACACAAACAAGCTCACAAGACACACAGCCAGCTGGCTGCCACACACCCTGAGTTGGCGTACACATAACTCAAGGCCACATCCTCCCTGTCGCCCCCCCCAGCACTCCAAGGTGCCAAGAGAAACAAACAAGGGCACAACAAACAACAGACGACAGGAAGTGACATGTGAGGCTAGAGCAGCATGCTCCACCTCTAGCAATCAGTTATGCCCTACCCTACCCCCGAAAAAGTTGGAACCCAGCACCGCTTACGTGTAAATGGCGGCGCTCGGCGCCCTGCTCCTCTCCGGGAGCCTGGGAATCTACCCGGACGGCCACTTCGACAGCGTGACCAAGGTGACAACCGGCAACTTCGAGGGCCTCGTCAAGGAGACGGTCGATGCGGGCAAGACGTGCGCGCTCCCCGTCCACTGAAGCTGCGCGACACAAGTTTTACTCGCCGAGCTGGCGTCGCCACCCCGCGTTCCTGAGTCGCCCTCGACCGGCGCAGGCTCTTCGTGCGGTGGATCGCCTCCGCCGGGTGAGGCTGATGACGCAAGCAGGCGCCTGCGTGGAATGCTATCACGAAGGCGTTTGAGAACAACTCTGATGTGGCATTTGGCGATGTCAACCTGTGCGCCACGCCGCCGCCGCCCCGCCGCCCTCGCCCTCGCCGCCCTCACCTCACCTCCCTTCCTCTCCGCGCCTGCGCGGCCCACATTACCGCAAGGCCGCCGCGACGGCGGGCTGCACAACACAAACCAGACAACCTCGCTGCCATCAGCAACGACTGCGGCCCAAGCCCGCGCCCTCCGCCCCTCCGCCCCGCAGCTCCGAGGACCAAGTGCGCGGCGAGTACGCCGGCAGCCCTGGCGCGCGACCCTTCCCACACCCTTCCCAGACACAAGACACTCCCTAGACACCTCGCCGGCAGACCCTCCTCACTCGAGGCCACGGCCACCTCGAGGCCACGGGGCCGCCTGCGTGGGCTGGGCATGCCCTCTTCACGCCGTGTGGCGTGGACAGGCGCGGGCGGCTGGCCTACCATCCGCGTGTACAACAAGAAGACCGGCTACGAGGGCGCGTTTGCGGGCGACTGGAAGGCTGCCCTCTCCCTCCCTCCCCCTCTCTCCCTCTCTCCCTCCCCTCCCTCTTTTCCCTTTCCCTTTTTCCCTCCCCTCCCTCCCTTTCCCTCCTTTTCCCTCCCCTCCCTCCTTTTCCCTCCCTCCCTCCCTTTACCCCTCCACCCTCCACCACCCCCACGGTGGTTCCCCCCCTTGGCCTCCCTCCAACCCCCCCCCCTCCCCTTTCCGGTGCCCCCCCCCCCCCCTCTCAGGACGAAAACAAGCTCCCTGGCGCGATGTGCGACGTGTTTGGCAGCCAGAGGCCCGCCGGGCCGCACCGCCCCTGGGCGGCCTGCCGTCACACGCCTGCCCGTGCGCAGGCAAGGAGGAGACGATGCAGGCCTACGTCGAGGAGATGGGCGACACGTCCCTCTGCAAGGCGAGGGCTAGTCCCCACAACTGCAGTCCCCACAACTACAATCCCCACAACTACAGTCCTCACAACTCGAGGCCCCGCAACTCGAGGCCCCACACTCTACAGACGGGCGGCACCGCTCTGCAAGCCAGCCCGCGGCTCACTACGAGGCCGCGCCTCGGCCGCGCCTCGGCCGCGCCTCGGCCGCGCCTCGGCCGCGCCGCACCTCGGCCGCACTCGGCCGCACCTCGGCCGCACCTCGGCCGCACCTCGGCCGCACCTCGGCCGCGCCTCGGCCGCGCCTCGGCCGCACCTCGGCCGCACCTCGGCCGCGCCTCGGCCGCACCTCGGCCGCACCTCGGCCGCACCTCGGCCGCGCCTCGGCCGCGCCTCGGCCGCACCTCGGCCGCACCTCGGCCGCGCCTCGGCCGCACCTCGGCCGCACATCGGCCGCGCCTCGGCCGCACCTCGGCCGCGCCTCGGCCGCACCTCGGCCGCGCCTCGGCCGCACCTCGGCCGCACATCGGCCGCGCCTCGGCCGCACCTCGGCCGCACCTCGGCCGCACCTCGGCCGCGCCTCGGCCGCACCTCGGCCGCACCTCGGCCGCGCCTCGGCCGCACCTCGGCCGCGCCTCGGCCGCACCTCGGCCGCGCCTCGGCCGCACCTCGGCCGCGCCTCGGCCGCACCTCGGCCGCACCTCGGCCGCGCCTCGGCCGCACCTCGGCCGCGCCTCGGCCGCACATCGGCCGCGCCTCGGCCGCACCTCGGCCGCACATCGGCCGCGCCTCCCTGAAGGCGAGCGACGGCGCCGGCTGCGGCGACAAGGAGAAGGACTTCATCGCAAAGTGGACCGGCGGGAGAGTAGCAGAGAGGCGGCCGAGAGGAGACTAGCGGAGGGTGTGTCGAGAGGTGTGCCGATCTCGCAGGGAGATCGCGCACACGGCCGGTGGGGGCACTGGCTGGGGCGGCGGCTCCGGCAGCCTCGAGGGGCGTGGGGCGTAAGGCGGGGGCCTCGCATCTCGGCGCGATCTCGGCGCGATCTCGGCGCGATCTCGGCTGCATCTCCGCAGGCAAGCCTGCCGAGGAGGTGACAGCGCAGCTGACGCGGCTGCAGGGCATGGCGGCGGGCGCGTCGAGATCCTGCTCGCCCGGCGGCTCCGCTGAAAGGCGTCTGTTCACAGCGCCGCGTCGTGAGCAGGCAAGATGAAGCCCGAGCTCAAGAAATGGCTGTCGCAGCGCATCGCCGTCCTCAAGCAGCTGGCGCCCAAGGACGAGCTCTAGGCCGGCGGCGCCGCGACGCTCGCGCCAGCTCTCGCCGCACACGCCCTCGACACGTCCACGACGCGTCCCGTAGGCTGCCCCTCCCCGCGGTTCGGCCGCCGTCCCGCCGCGTGGGCGGCGGGCGGCAGAGCCGGGCGTGTGCTTCCCTCTGGTGTGCCGATGGGAGACGCCAGTCCCGCGCCCCCCGCCCACGCTGCTACCATGACGCCCCGGCACGCAAACCCGCGATCAGCGGGCCGGCCCGGGGTGGAGGGACTTTTGCAGCAGCGGTGGCGGGGGCCGGCACGCCTAGGGGTGAGCACATCGATTCCGGCTTGTGTGCCGCGGCGTTTTTTTCTTTGGTTCCTAGAAGATGCTACAATAAACCACGAGACCGGCCTGGTGTTTCGTGTGTGGGGATGAACCACATTAGTGATTACCAGCCTGGGGGGGGCCGGGGTACTGTACGGTCGCCCGCACGCGCAGGGCTTAGCCTCTCGCCCGTCTGCGAGCGTCTCTCCCCTCTCCGTCCGCACTCCGCAGCGCCAGCGCGAGGCGCAGTGCATCCGCACCGGTGCCCCGAAGAGCTCATCCGGATCGAAGAGCTCAGATGGATGGTACTTGAACCGCGATGCGGCGCGTCACTGGAATCCAGAGGATCTCAAACTTGTTCACCTTGATGTCGTTCTTCTCGAGGCCTATCTCCGCCTCCTCAGTCGCCTCGAGATCCTGCTCCTCCTATAACTCACACAGGCTTTCACGCGCTGACGCGATACGCTATTGACGACCTCGACCCCGAACCCCAGCCCTCCTCGGTCCGTATCTTGGCTATCTTGTCCTCCAGCTCCTCCTTGAGCTCCTAGGGGCGCGTGTCGAGCACATGTCACTCTTTGTCAGAGAGCAGCCTCGCCGACCTGACCCTCCCTCGTCCTCCCTGCCCCTCCCTCTCCCCGCGCCTCTCGTCCGCCGCCTCCTTCGTTTTCGCCGTCTCTTCTTCGTTTTCGCCGCTGCGTGTTGAGGCCTCGTCCGCCGCCCTCGTTTTCGCCGCGACAGCTGCGCCGCTTGACGCCTCGTCCGCCGCCTTCGTGTTCGTCGCCACAGCTGCGCCGCTGCGTGTCGCCACCATTTTACGGCCGTCCCTCTGCCTTGAACTCAACCATGAACGGCCGAAACCGTCGTCGGCACAATGGCGCGGGTGCAGCCTGGCGGCGAATGGTGGCAAGAGGGAGAGGACCGGCAGGAGCCGCTAGAAGTGCATCTCGACCGCGCGGATCGCGCCCAGGAGGGCGCAGCCTTCGCCGCACCCGTGCGCGGCGGCGTCGGCGGCGATGCCGACGGCGTGACTCGAGGAGACACCCTGGAGCAGCTGGACGGCCTCCTGAATGAGGTGGCGAAGGGCTTTGACGGCTGGGACGGCGACGGCGCCTTCAGTTCGGGACGAAGCGCTCGCCGCCGCCGTTCCAATAGGGTTCAGCCCGCCGCGGCCTTCTCTGGTGACCACGCCGATCCGGCGGTGGACGTTGATGCCGTGTTTGGCGGGACGGAGGCGCAGGAGGCGGCGGCGGCGGCGGCAGCAGCGAGGGAGCAGGGACCCCGTCTGACGGTCGAATTAGAGGAGCAAGTTCGTCGACTGAAGGAGGCACTGGAGGCCACGCGGCGCAAGCTGGACCGCTGCCGCGACGACTTGGACGAGGCGGAGGACGAGCTGGAGGCATATTCGGAGACACTTCCAATACACGTCCTAGACACGTCCTAGACACGTCCTAGACACGTCCTAGACACGCCTCGTAATCTGCTAAGGTACGCACCATACTTCGCAGAGTAGCGTCCGAGGCGTCTCGGGAGCCACCTCGGGTTCAGTAGGCAAACTTGCGCTAGAAGCTTTCCTTCACTCCCGAACGCACGCACCGCCTGCCGGGCCTCTCGATTTAACGCCTCCTCTCGCCCGACTCGAAGGCGAAGGAGGAGGAGCACGCCGCACTCAAGCGTGAGAAGGAGGCGGCTGACCGTGAGAGAGAGCAGACACGTCGCGAGTTCGAGCGCGCACAGAAAGACGCGAGGAGGTGACCGAGTGCCGTCAAGCGTGCTTCACTACGAAGCGCGTGGAGCCAACTCCAAACACGACACGGTGGCCGTAGGCGATCGAGCGCGGCGCAGCGCCGTGCGTCGGCGCTCGGCCAGGTGCTGGACGAGAATGAGGACGAGGACGAGGACGGCTTAATCGATGATGACGACTCAGAGCTGACGCCCCTCCAGCGGCGTCTTCGCCGATGGCGACGCCAATGGCGCCGTGTCGCTGCGCGGCTACGTCGTTTCTATAACCGCCGGTGGCCGCTGCGGCGGATGGTGCTGCACATCGACACTCGCTTTGGTTCGAGCACATCGGTCCCTTCGCCCTCGCCGAGCGGACGGAATGCTGTGAACAACGATGCTCAGCCTCAAGCTCTGAATAGGTCTACTTCGCTTTCGCCGAGTGGATGGCCGACACCGCGCTGCTACACTTGTTGGTCGTCTACCTTCCGCTATTGCTCGTGCATTCGCTCTCCTTGGTGCACGCCGTTGTCACCTCAAGCACCGCCTTTACCGAGGGAAGACGCATATCGGCCGATCTCTCGGCTACATCCGGCAACATCTCGACCGTAGGCTCCTCCATCACCGAGTGGAAGACCAGGGACACGCTCAACTCGAACTACGCCGACAACTACCTTGTCGCCGGCTACTATTTCTTCGGCGGTCTTCCTGAGCTGGCCAATTTTTACTACTCCGGGTTCTCGGGCGCTTGGCCAAGCATGCGGTACGTCTACTCGGCGACGGTTCCAGCCCCGTTTGTGCACGTATGTTTCGTGGCCGAAAGATACCCACACAAATACACCTAAGATGTAGGTCCTGGCTTCGCTCCTCTTCTACGCCTACGCCACGTACCAGCGCTCTCTCTCCACGTACCAGCGGCAGGCACCATTCCGAGAAAGAGTAACCGTGACTGCCGAGATTGCGCCGTGATTTTGCCGAGAGACCTCACAAAAGCGGGGTCTCTCATCGCCCTCGACTCACGTGGCAGGCGTATGCGGAGGTGCACAGCGGTGGACAGCGTAACAAGATCGGGTTCGCGCGTAATTTGTTGGCCGAGTGGGACATCGACGTCTCGAGCCCCAAGGAGCTAATCGAGGGGAGAAGCCGCGTCGCCGAGACCTTCCGAGCTCTCATCAGCGAGCTGAAACGGCTGCAAAACGACACCACAGCAAGGACAGCGCCTTCCACGCGTCTACCTGTGCGCCTAGGCGAGTCGCAGTGGCGCCAGCGCGTCCGAGATCGTTCGGCGTCGGATGCGCGGCGGCTGAGGTTGCGTCGCGTGGCGGCCAGCGTCGCGCACACGTTGCTTCAGGTGCATCTTCATCATCGCCAATAATTCAGCAACGAGGGCGCTTGATAGCCAAACACGTGAATAGGTCGGCGTAGTAATTCTCGTCATCTACCTTCTCGGAGGGGGCGCCGCCGAGCTCTCCACGGAGATCATCTGCTTGCCAATCCGCACCCTCTATTATCGGCTCGACCAATCTTGGCCAATCTCGGCCGCAGGTACTCACCTTCCTGCCGATGGGCTCGAGCGAGTACGTGGCCACTGTCGCCATCTCGGGCACCAATGCGGTGATGCCGACAGTGACGCCCGTACTGGTCGAGCCGCCGAGCGCGATAACCCGCTGCGGAGAGGCATTCTTCACGCATAATGCGAAAATTAGGTCAAGTTCGCCAAGTACGACAACCCTCTACACACGCGGATCCACATGACGGTCGCGTCGCATTTTCCTGGGCCGCAGGCTGTGAAGCGACGTACGCTCTATAGCAGTGTGACCTCTGCGAACAGGTTGGCTTCTTCCTTGGCCGGATGCTCACGCTTGGCACGGTCCTACAGTAGCCGCGATGAGCCTAAGAGATAGCTGAAGTTTGTTTCGCCGGAGTCTTCGGCATTGTCGCGCTTCTTCATCGCCCGCCCCGTCTAGTGAGACGCCCGAGCTCCACTCTGCCTTGTGTGAGCTCAGGTATTCCTGGCTTACTACGGTTGCTTCACCGGTGCGGACGTCATCGTGCCGAAGAAGCCGCTGCAGGTCTGTGGCGGCTCCGACGTTAATTTTGCCATCGGGGCGCAGGTCCAGCTTAGCGGAGGCCTTTCATAGCTACTCCAATAGAGCGGGTCGCTTCCCGCTGTGGTAGGACCACTTTGCGCAGACCCTGCTCCTGCTGGTGCTAATCGAGTTTGTGCTGCCCAAGCTCATCAACCTGGGGCAGGCGCTTATCGAGCCACCCCAGCCCTGACTTCCGTTCTTGACGACGTCTCTCCACACTGCACCACTCTGACTCAGGTGTTACTCAAGCTCGTTGTGCTGCCGCTGTTGCTGCGCCGGCCAAAGGGCGAGATCTACCTCAAGGTTGAGAAGCAGGTGTGTAGAGGGTCCTTGGCCGGATCAAGAGCTTTGAATGCTTCAGGCTGCGCCTGTAAATAGGTGATCCACCTCGTCTACTTCCAGAGCCTCTTTTGGATGCTCATGCCGTTTCTGCCGTGGGCATCGGCCCTCATGTGCCTCTGCTTCCTCGGCGATTTGAGCCTCGCCCCTCAACAGCATCGCAAGTCCACGCCATTCACATTTCCGCCGCCGGTGGATAGGCGACTTCTTCTTCGACCAGTTCTTCCTGCTGCGCTTTTGCTCTAAGGCGGCGGCAGGAACTTCGACTGCCACCCAGGTGAGAGAGAGTTCTATGAGGTCGATCCGAAAGCGAGGCCCCTAGTTCACACGCAACGGGGCCACGCGCAGGCGCGCATCTTCCTACGAAACTTCCACGTCGCCTTCTTGGTCTTTGGGCTGCTGTTCATGGGCATCTGGGTCTTCCAGGGCACGATGACGCACCTCAGCATCGCACGCGACGGGACCGCCGTGACGGGGCCCTTCTGCAACCCCGACTTTCAGGCCGACCCGGTGGGGAGTGGCTGCAGCGCCGCCTCGGGCGATGGAACCGCGCCGGCGAGCCCACTGCAGGTGCATCGCTCGTCCTGACACGGACGCGCCCACGACACGTCCACCCACACGTCGTTGACACGTCCGTGACACGTCCATGGCATGCCCGCGGTGTAAGGAGCTCTACTTTGGCTCGAGCTTCTTTGAGTCGCTCCTCACGCTGCTGCTATCGGTGTGGTTGTCGTATTGCTCTCGGTCGCGTCCAGCAATACCGGGGTGTGAGCCTCGAGCTATGAGTAGGTGCCGATGATGTTGCTCTTCGTATACGTGCTCTACAAGGAGAAGGGCGAGCGCGGATTTCGCGGCGCCGTGCTGCAGGAGTATGCGGCAGTCCAGGCCTCCTCGCTCAAGATGCAGATGGGCGCGCAACAGGTCCGGCTTACGAAGCTCAAGCGGGAGAACGACCGGCTGAAGGAGCAGGTGAAGCAGCAGGTGAACCAGATGCTCGCCGACGAGCCATAGCGGCGGCTCGCTGGCTCTCTTTTTGATGGCGCACGTCACTACCACAAGCACGACCATGTGTGTACGTTTTACACTGTCATGAGGTTTGTGTGTTAAACGAGCTGCGTTCCTCCTTTGTGGCTGGTGTCAGTGCCAGATATTAGATAAAGAAAGTTGAAAGCAGAAAGAAAACAAAAGGGATGCGAGGACGGCACGCCGCCACCACACAGGGATAACTCAGTGCCAGAGAAAGAAAGAAAGAAAACAGGCAACTACGTCTACAGGAGGGATGGGCCTGTTGGTGGCAGGTGCGTGTGCTCAAATTGTTTTTTGCGGCTCCCGTGGTGTGTACTTGTGTCAGTGCCAGTGCGCGCCCAGTCCCGTGCCTAGTGTCGAAGAAAGAAAGAAAGAAAGAAAACAAACCACCCAAGGGAGGGATGGGAGGACGGCACGCCGCCACCACACAGGGATTTTAAGGAGAGGAGTGTGATTTCTTTCATCGCGTTCAAATTTCTTTTTTGCGCAGGCTGTCGAGCTGCCCTCCGTGGTTTGTTTTTGTGTGAAGCTGCGGAGAAATCGCCGCAGGTGCGCAGGCGAGCTGCACGGCGGAGAACCATCGCCGCGCTCCTCTACCCCGCGGTCGCGGCCGCGATCGCCGCCGTCGCGGCGCTCGCGCTGTCAAGCGGAGAGGACGGGGACGAGGCGGCTGGGCCCGAGCACAAGGCAGCGGCGTTGCCGCGGCGGTGCAGCACGACACGTCTGCCGCCGGCACTGCCCCTGGACGAGGAGGAGGCGTCTCTGCTGCTGCGTGGGTGGATACCGGGCTACGACGGCGCTCGCGCGCAAACGTTGACGCGCGCAAACGCCTGGGTAACTGCCGTCGACACTGACCGCGGCCGGCTCAAGGTGTCAACGGCGCAGCACGGGCCGTTCCTTCTCTTCCGGGTCGAGGCGGAGGCAGAGGACAGCGAGGCAGCAGCGCTGGTCTCGCTCTTCCGCGAGGTGGACCTCCTCCCGCAGTGGAACCGCGGCGTCCGCTCCGCCGAGCTCGAGGAGCTGCGCCGTCCGAGCGAGATGGTTGCTCACGCGCTCGTCTCCTTCCCGTCGATCATGTGGATCCCTCTCCCGGCCTGCGTCGTCCGGCTGCACGCGCGGCTGCACGCCGTGCAGGGGCGGGGCGGCACCGGCGACGGCACGCCTCCCTCACTGCTGCTCATCGCAACCTCGGCCGGCGCAGGCGCAAGGAGTACCGCTTGCCGCCGATCCCTCAACCCGCAACCCTCAACCCTCAACCCTCAACCCCGAACCCCCAACCCTGGCCCCGTGGCCCCGTGGCCCTAGCCCCTCACCCAGATCCTGGCCCTAGGCGCCGTGCCCGCCTCCCTCGCCGCCCTGCTCGAGGCGCACGACGAGCTGCCTGTCCTTTCCTAGACCTTTCCTAGACCTTTCCGGGAACCTTCCTGTAGGCGCACGACGAGCTGCCCGTCCGCTGCGCGGCGGCCCGGCTCTCTCCGCTCGCTCGGGGCGGCACGCGGGGCGGCACGCGCGTCGACGCCGTCGCCGCCCTCGACTTGCGCGTACTCAGCGGCAGCGAGAGCGAGGACATCGCGCTGCCCGCCTGGCTTCTCGGCCAGCTGCTGCGCGTGGTCGAGCCATGGGCGTGGCGGCCGGCCAAGGCGCTGCTCGCTGCGCTGCGGTCGCCGCCGCAGCGCGGGGAGCCCTCCGCCGCCGGGCCGCTGCGGAGGCGGGCTGGAGGAGGGTGCGGAGGGGGGGGCGTGGGGTGTGTACCCTCACGGGCTGCCTTTGCGAGCAGGCGGCTCGAGGAGGACAGCAGCGGGCTGTACGCGATGCTCAGCGGCGGCGGAGGCGCGGCCGAGGCGGCGGCGGCGCGGGAGGGGAGGCCGTCGGGCAGGGAGCGCAAGGGTGAAGGGCTTCGGGGGGCTGCCTCCCACCCGCCACTCGCCGAGCGGCACCGCTCCCTCTCGGCAGCGCCGGAGTGGACGGCGACGCGGAGGCGGTCGGGCGGCGGAGGTGCCGGCGGGCTGCGCGCGTGCGGCCTGACGTGCGCGTCGGCGCTGCGCTGCCTCCGGTGCGCAGTGTGTATGCCGCCCGAGGGGGCGCCCGCGGGTGTGGCGGGCGCGGCGCGCGAGCAGGTGGGGCTGAGCACTAGAAGAGTGGCTGTTTGAGGCACTGTGAGGGCGGTGAGATTGAAGTGACGCGAGTGTCCCGGCCGAGACACTCGCGCACTGCATGGTCGTCGCGTTTACGGCTTCAGAGCGAACTCAAAAGAAATGTGCGCAACCATTGTGCGACGAAATTGTTTTGTTGTTTGACGATTTGCGAAGACGAAAAAAGGGGGATAAAATTGCGTTATTTTTTTGCACGTGTGCGTCCGTGTAGGCTCGTGGGGTGGACATGTTTCGCAGTTTCGGATTGTTAGTGAGAAAATCCCGCAGCTCCGGCACACACAGCTGGGCGCGACCTGCTCCCCTTTTACTCATCTGGGGTGTCAGTTTGTATTTATTCACAGCTGTGGTAGCACCCACTGGAGCACTCCACTTGGGAGTGAGGAGCACTTCGAGGTGTCCGTTTTATTGTTCGAGTCTACTCGCGTAGAGATGGCAGATGCGCGTGTTCATCCTTGAGCCCCGCAAGCAAGCCTTTGCTGCGGGTATTGGCCTGAAACGAACTGAACTGCCCGCGAAGGACGTGCGTGGTGGCACGGGCCGGACAAAGGGTCGCCCTAACGGGAACGAGAGACTGGCGGGCACATCCTCGTCTTCTCTTCAGGGAGACACGCCATGGACATGAAGCTCAAGCTCGTTGTCGTTGGACCCGCGCGGTGCACTTTGGTAGACCGACACGGCCCGTATGTGCACACCCACGAACATAAACAAGCAGCCGCTCGTGCACGCTGAGTCACCACACATGCAGCCGCTCGTGCACGCCAAGGGGCCCGGATGAGCTACAGCCGCCGGGCATAGTATGCTGCAGTCGCTTTCACGTCTCGACGTGTAGGTGCGGCAAGACTCGGCTGAGCGACTACCTTTCGGGCTATGACGAGAGCCCAAGCTATGACAACTACAGCCCCACGGCAGGAGTCCGGATCTTGGAGTTCGAACGGGAGGTGCGCAGCAAGGACGGACGGGTGACGCGGGTCTCAGCCGAGCTGTGGGACACCTCGGGTGATAAGAAGTACGAGGACTGCTGGCCCGCCATCACGCACAAGGCTTCGGGCGTGATACTGGCGTACGATCCAACGGTGGGGATAGACTTGACACGAAGCTCTGACGACACACGCCTTGTGACTTGCAGCGGTTCGCTCGGCGAGCTACTCTCGCGCTCGTAAACGCACACGGACAGCTCATAGCTGGGGACACGATCTTGACCCCGCCTGAGCCCCGTCGGCCGAGCTGCGCCTCCTCACGTCATCGCTTTGCGGACAGGCGAGGACGCAGGAGAAGGACATCGAGCTCTGGCACAAGGCTTTTGTCGCGCCGCTTCGCCTCTCCGACGCGCAGCAGCTGCTCTGCGCACACCAGAGAGACCCCGTTGGAAAGCGGAGCTGGCAGCCGCCCCGCGCGCTCGAGAAGCTGCCCTTTGTCGCGTCGGGGCTCGACAACGAGGACGGCGCTGCCGACCTGCGAAGGGCCTTTGACAGCTTCCTCGTAGGCGTGGTGCGCGCGGTCGCCGATGAGAGCAAGGCCGACACTGATGCGATGATGCAGTCGCTAGCTTGACCCCCCTGTTGTGTTGCGCGGGGGGCCCGCGGCGCGGCGCGAGAGCTTCGTGCGTCAAGAGAGAGCTTGTGGTACAGGCTCGGCTGTACGTTAAGGGGGATTATGTCTTGTTTTCAAACACTAATCGACTGATTCGGAGAAATAATATATGGATGGATCAGTAACCAGCCTCCGGCGGGGCCCCCCGCTACCATCCAAACCCGAGTACAAAGCGCCTCTCCGAGAGCGCTGCGCAGACGGTCTACTAATCATAGAGGCTCAAGTGCGACAAGTCCACACACATAACATGCGACACGGGTGCCTGCCATACACAAAGCATTACTCTCACGACACACGGGCACCGGAGCGGCGGCAGCGGCGGCAGCAGCACACGCGGGCGGACGGATTCGGACGGGGCGGAGCAGCGACCGCCTGGGCGGCCGCTGCTCTGTCTGCCGAGCGCGGTCAGGTGCAGGGAAGCGTGGCGGCGCGGGGAAGCGCGGCGGCGGCGGCGGCGGCGGCGGCGGCGGCAGCGGCACGCGCGGGCGGACGGACTCCGACTGGGAGGAGCAGCGACCGCCTGGGCGGCCGCTGCTCTGTCTGCCAGAGCGCGCCGTCTGCGCAGCGCGGTCAGGTGCAGGGAAGCGTGGCGGCGCGGGGAAGCGCGGCGGCGGTGGCGAGCAGGCGAGCGGCCCGCGCGCGGCGAGGCGGACAGGTGATCGGCAGGCGGGTGATGGGCCGGAGAGTGACCGCGCCCAGCGATCGGAGACGAGCCGATCGTCGCTCGGCCGCAGCTGACCTCGAAGGCGTGCGGAGCGCGACTGTCGGTGTCGGGGGGCGGCCGTCATGTGGCGAGGAGGGAGGACGACAAGTGCGCGTCGTACGGGTCGCTCTTCATCGGCCAGTCGAGCGGACGGTAGGTCGGTCACAGTGAGCCGGTGTGCGGTGAGGCCGGCGAGATTCGTTGCGAGATACGGTTCGCGCCCAAACAAGTTTGGACGCTCGGGGGACGCGCCGCAAAATCAAGCCCATGGAAAGGGGGCTTCTGGGGCGGCCAATTCACACCTCGCGGGACTACTTATGTTTTCGTAAACGTAGTCGTGGCCCCCCGCTACGTCGCACGAGTGCAACCGGGTAGCGGGGGGCTAAAATTATGCAGATGCTCACCAATGTACAACATATACCCGCTACCCGCGAGCACGTCTCGAGCTCTCTAGTCTCTAGTCTCTTACATTTCCTCTCGCCTGCGCTTTCGGCTCGAGGAGGTTGCCCAGTTCCACGCCCTCTGCCACCACCCCGGACGCTGCTGGGCAAGAAGCAGCTTATCGTGCTCCACCTGCGCCCAATCGCGGATGAGCACACGCAGGGCATGATTCGGCACGAGCTCGCGGTGTGGCATCTGCTCGCGTGTGCACGGGCTGTCAAGACGGCCTCTGAAGAACCACTCCTGGATCGCAGTGCGCTCGTACGTGCGACCGTCGGCCGCAATTACTGGCTCAATCATGCGCTGAAGACTGATGGGGCAGATGTGCTCGGTAGGGCGCTCAAACGGCAGCTCAAACGGCAGACCCGCCGCCTGCCGCTCCGCGCGCCTCCGCGCCTCGCCCTGACCCTCGACCGGCACCGGCTTATACCGCGCGCTTGCTCTCGTGACAAGGTTCTTGAGCTCGAGCAAATCCTGGACAAACGACGGTACGTAGCAGGATCTTGCCTCCTCATCACGCTCCTCATAGTCCACAGCCGACTCGTCAAAGCGGCGAAAGTCGGGGTGCGTTTGGGCGTAGAGGTACTCCTCGGCAACCTCAATCGTTGTTCTCAGGTCCTCATCTACCGCCACGGGCAGCCTCTCGATCAGCGTCTGCAGCAGAATGTCACGAAATTTCTCTACCACAGTCTCGTGCACGTAGCCGTCCGGTAGCTCAACTTCGCCTGCATCGACGGCTCGCAGGTAGTTTAGCTGCTCGGCCACACCAAGCCTCTTTTGGAGCTCTTCGCGCGCCATCATTGACCGGTCGTCCCTGCGGATCTCGCTGCTCTCACAGATTGCACGGAGTTGCGGGATACTCAGGCTCTCGTTTTCCTCGCACAAAAACTCGATGCCAAAGTCAGGCGGTCGCAGCTCCAGGTTGAGACTATGGCGCCGATCTGTTAAATCGCAAGCAATCTCAAATGCCTGGTAGTGCAATGCATCGGCCTCAGTCACTGGGACGATTGGGGTGGACTTGAGCTGGGCCACACGATCGACACCGTACCGCGGCCCGCGCATCCACTCGTTGTTGCCAAGACGGTAACCGGTGGAGTTGAGGGCATTGTAGCATCGCTGAGAGGCGCCATAAAGCTCATTATGGCCTGGCGCGTCATTTCCCTTCCCTTCTTCCGCGAGTGAGCGAGCGAGCAACGCCCGCCCCGCCAGCGCCGCCTCACGCACCTCCTCCATGCGAACAAGTTTCGAACTAGGTCAACCCAGAATTTCTTTTTGATAGGCCGCCCGGAGTATTCTAAGATCTGTTTGCCCTCCTCACATAAGGTGCGCAGAACTTTTGTATCTCCATAACTAACAACTAAGATCCAGGAAACATGTAAAAGAGGGATCGCGAATGTTGGACGGAGGGTGGACGCGTCCAGGGGGGGGTCAGGGGGGACGGCGGTTTGGGATTTTGCATCTCGGCTCTGCATCCAATGGCGAATGGGCTGCCCTCGAATCACGGTCACGTCGGCGAGGACAGCGACGGCGTCGTTGGTGGAGCGCAGGGCCAGGGGCGAGGGCGTCGACCGACGGGCGGCGCACCAGGAGCCCTCGCTGGCGCGGTAGGTCACGGAACGACGGGTCGAGCCCCTCCGCCAATCGCGGCGGCGGTCGAGACGGTGAGCGGCTGACGTCCTCGCGGGCGTGGCGGAGTACGGCCGACACTACGTGCTGCGGCAGCCCGCGGAGTTGCAGGAGGCGCATCGGAGCGGCTGCGCTTGGACGCGACGGCGAGGCCCTGGCCGGGCACGCTGTCGTCGAGACAGGCACGCTGGTCGAGATACCAGCGGCGAGGCGATACCAGCGGCGAGGCGAGCGACGGCGAGAAGAGCGACGGCGAGGCTGGGGACGGGGGACGCGCTGCCGTCCAGCGCGACCGACGTAGAGAGTGAGTGTGTACGTGGGTGGCGCATATGCCTTACAGTCAGCATGCAGTACTAACCTATAGCAGTGAGTGTGACACGCGTATAGTGCCAGGCAGCGACCACCGCCTCAGCACGACCTTCAGAACGCCGTGGAATCCATGGCGCGCGTAGCTATGAAAGGGACCGCGGCCGCGGAACCGGCGGCGGACGGGGTTGGTGCGCAATCGAGGTGCGCAAGCGCCGGCCACCGTCGTCGCGTCGTGCTGCCGGGGATGCGCAGCGGTACCATCACAGAAATGTGCGTAGCGCCACCGCACGCCGAGTCCACCCGGCGCGGCAGAACTATGTACCAAAAGGAGGGCTACACGACGCCCTCTACGCTACTGCCGGCGTAATTTATTTTGGCTAGCTGTGGCACAGGCCAAACCCCGGACTGCGCGGTGCGTGTGGCGGCGGCGAGCTGATGAGCGGAGCAAGCAGGCAGGGTGTTTAGGTGGAAGTGACGGTTAAAGTCGCGTAGATTTACGGATTTACGGATCGACCCCCCTCCCTCCCCGTCCCGTGACCCGGCCGTGAGACGCGCATCCGGGAATCAAGTTAAGGTTCCCCATGCCAGTTTCGGGGGGCAAACCCTGTCCGGCCCCTAGGACCCCAGGCAAGGCCCAGGTGTGGCCTAGGGCATCAGAAGGGACCAAGAGGAGTCCAGTCTGAGCCATAGAGCCCATGTCTTCGCCCCCGAAGGTCGCGTTCAAATGCCCGGAACGGCCGTTACAGTGGTGTCCGGCCGGCGCGATCACCGAGCTGTGAGTGACGCTCAGGGAAGCCGGTTGAGGTGCTGGTTTCTTTGCCCAGGGCTCTACGAGGAATGGGACATGGGGACCAGTCAGTCGGCGCCGCGTGGCGGCGCCTCGTTGAGCCCGCAGTGCGACGACATCGTCACATTACAGCGTTAGGCGACCTTGAATTAACTCTCCTCGCGGCGCGGACGGACGGACGCGGAAATTTGGAACCATGCTGATATCGCGGGCGTGGCGGTTGAGCGCTCAGCAAAAGAGTAGAAACATTCGTTGCAACAGTCCAGCGCGGAGGATAGATTTTGACTTCGACAAGGTCTTCCAGCAGCAGCTTTCCGAGGACCAGGCCTCCAACACAAAGAACCCCGAGCGAAAGCTCAAGATGAGCCTCGCGCAAATGGAAGACCTCATGTTGCAGCTCAAAGCTAGCCCAAACAACGATGCGCTGATCGGTAAGTACAAGCAGGCCCGACGTGAGGCGCTCACACAGCGGCACAACATAGTCATCGCGCGGGATGCGATGGGACTCACGGCAGGTAACGCCGAGCAGGTCTCGGAGATGTTCCCCATTCCCGGACCCTATCGAGTGGGGTGACGCTGTAATCAATGCATTTGCGGAGCTGTCCCCTTCCGCCTCCCGCCGCGCGGCGTGTGCATGATGGAGGGGTGCATTCTGTGAGTATTCCGGCTGGGCCCCGAGAACCGCACCTATTCGGCGGCTTAGCGACGCGGCGAGCGGGCTGGTGGAGGAGACTGTACGCACGGGCCGGAAGTCCAGGAGACGGCGGATCGCTCGCGCGGCCGGCAGTCTTGCGCTCCAGCTCAAGTGTGTGGTAAAACACCTCAACACGCTGCTTCATGCGCTGCGCTCAGAGGTGTGAACGCCTTGTTATCTCATCGGTGCAGTGAGCACGCTGCGCGCCCTCACTAAGCGTGCCCGTCGGCCGCCCGTGGCATATCTCGCAGTAACAGCTTCTACGGCCGTAACGCAACTCTCGGCGAAACAAGTGCGACTGAGCGCTCCAACCCTGCGCATTGTTCCCTTACCTGTGTGCTCCTTTACGTATATCACCCAGCGGGGGCATCTCCGGTCGCGCCGTTGGCGCTCTCTATTTTAAAAGGAGAACGGTTGGCTTCTCGGAGAAGGCGCCAAGGAGCAGCAGCCGCAGGGGGCATCTCGAAGCACACTCCACGCCGGCGCAAAACTATTAGAAAAGGCGAGGTGAGGAAAGACCCCCCCCCCCCCCCCCGGGCCGTGGAGCTACCTTATACCTGGTGTGTGTGCCCATCCACGCCTGTGCGCGCGCCCCGGCGCCTCGCCGCTCTCGACCTGCGAGAGTCACTTCTTGGGCGGTGGCACGCCGAAGAAGCTCTTGCCGTCGGGCACGAAGAGGAGGCGGATCGGGTCGCCCGGCCGCACGTACGGCTCGTCGCAGATGTAGAAGCCGCGCCGCTCGACCTGCAGGATGTCGCCGCGGCGCAGCTGCCGCATGGCCGCCTCGCCGCGGCCGCGGTGCACGAACTTGGTGTGGTCGTTGAGCACCTGGCGGCGTGTGGACGCGGGGCCCGCGTGGAGACACGGCGAGTGGGGGGGTGGGCGCCGGCCGCTCCTCTCCTCGCCTGCTTGATGTCGTCCTCCTCCTCGACCTTGTCCTTTGTGAGCAGGAAGTCGAGATCCACCAACTCGACGTCGACCAAGTCTGGCGTGTCGGCGAGCCTGTTCGCAGCAGCCAGAGGTGAGGAGAGGCGCCGTCCCCAGCGTGCTGTGTGGAAGGGGCGTGGCATGTGCGGCTTCACCAAGTCAGCTTCTTCTTGGTGCTCTTGACCGACCCCTCGAGGTGCAGCTGCCCATCTAGCCGCTTGAGCGAGCCTGTTCACGCCGCATCGCCGTGAAGGGCGGCTCTGCGACGGGGGAAGGGGGCGAGGGGCGGGCAGCGCCGTTCTCCGCCACCGCCTTGCGCACGATGGCGTTGCCCCAGCTCATCAGCGTGACCTCCTCCCCCTCGGCGATCAGCGCCGCGTCCTCCGCCTGCAGCAGCACCGTCGGCCCGAAGAAGCGAACCTTCTTGCCGAGCGACTCGTCCTTCGGGTGGGCGGCCTAGAGAGGCACCGCCGCGGCGCGGTCAGCACCCCCCCGCCCCGTCGCCGGCGACGCGTCCCTCCGTGGGCGGGTGGCCATCGTCTCTGCGAACGGGGCGGGCGGAGCCCCCTCGAGGGAGAGCGGGACGAGCCCGTCGGCGAGAAGCGCCGTGTAGCGCGGCACGGACGGGTCGATGACCGCCTTGTTGAAGGCCCAGATCTTGTCCCACCCCATCAGGTTCGTGTTCTTGGAGGCGCCCATCGACAGGATGAACGCCTACGGCGCGAGCTCGCGCCTCGGTCCCGTTGTGCCCGCGCGGGAAGTGAGCGCCTGCCGTCGGAGGAGGAGGGCGGGAGGCCTTGAGCCCCTGCACCGTCATCCCGCGCCGCAGGATGCCCGCCACCGTCGGGAAGCGCGGGTCGTCCCACCCGTCGGCGCGGCCCTCGTCGACCAGCCACTGCAGCTTCCGCTTCGAGAGCAGGGTCTTGACGAAGTTGATGCGCGAGAAGCCCCAGAGGTCCACCTGGCGAGGAGATAGTGCGAGGAGACAGGCCACGCGCGGGGTGAGAGGACTGGGCACTCAGTGGGTGCGGCGAGGGGGCGCGAGGAGGCCAGCCTTGCGCAGCTGCAGCGCCTGCTGGAACCAGACGTACTGGTGGTCGCGGTCCGAGTACTGCCTGTTCACAGAAGGGCAGTGTGAAGAGGCGCCGTCCGCGGGCGGGGCGGCGGCCGCGGTGGCGGCGCCGGTCGCGCAGCGCGTGCGTCACTCCCTCCCACGCGTCGACGATGGGGCAGGCGAGGTCGTAGGTCGGGTACACCTTGTACTTGTCCTTGGTGCGGTGGTGCGGCTCGAGGTTGCACCGGAAGATGGTCGGGTCGCGCAGCGCGCCTACTCGCGTGCTCGCGCGCGTGAGGAGAGCCCGCCCCTCGGCCTCCTGGCCTCCCGCCGTCGAGACGCAGCGACGCCGTTGTCGGACGCGGGGTCGATCTTTGCGCGCATGCAGCACTTGACCCCCTCGGCGGAGCCGGCCTGCATCTCGGCCCAGAGGCGGAGGTTCTCCTCGACAGCCGCGTCGCGGTGCGGCGAGGGCTTGCGCTGCAGCCGGAGGGCTTGCTGCTCCTCCTTGGGCGAGGGGTCGATGAAGGCGACCCCGTCCTGCGGCAGGCTCCGAGCTGTCGAGGCGGGCAAGGCAGCGGCGACGAGAGGGAGGGGGCGAGGAGAGGGAGGTGTGATGGCCTGGAGTTGAAAGGTAGAGAGGTGTGCGGGCAGGGGAGGTGCGGGCAGGCAGGACGGGGCGAGGACAGGTCCTGCAGCATCTTGGTCGCGAGCTTGAGGATCTTGTCAAAGTAGTCCGAGGTGTGCGTCACCTTGGCCGCAGGGCACAGTCAGAATCAGAATCAGAAGAGCTATCACAATAACGAGTAGTGTGGGGGGGCCTTGGCCGGCATTCAGGATGTCGAGTTTATTCTCTTAATTATATTGTATTTGCCTTGGCCGGCAGGATGTCGAGCCGCTGCAGGTCGCCGACGATCGCCTGCTCACGGCTGGAGGCGTGAAGAGCCGCCGCCCGCCCCATCGCGCCGGCGCAGGTCGCGGCGGGGCTGCCGTCTCGTAGTCTCCCTTCTCCTTGGACGGGTTGGTGTCGTCCAGCCGCAGGATCATCTTGCCCTCATACTGCGTCGCAAAGTGCGCCGACAGCATCGCCGCCTTGACATGGCCGATGTGGAGGTGGCCTACGCACGCGGTGCCGCGGACGCGTCGCGGACGTGTCCAGCCGAAGCCCTGGCCTGGCCGGCGGCGGGTGTCGCCCGACGGCTCCGGCGCGAAGCGAGTCACCACCTTTCCCCGCTCCGCGTTCGGCAGCGGGATCTCGAGCGAGCCGGCGTCCTTTGCGGCGCCGAAGAGGAGCTGCGCGGCCTCCTTGAAGGCGGGCAGGGCCTGAACACACCGCCACACGCCCGTGAAGAGGCGCCCCGCGCAGCCGCGCCCAGCTGGGAGGGCGGGGTGCGCCTCGACGCAGCCCCACCAGCGGGCGACGTGCACTCCCGCGCCGGAGCAGGCCTTGTCTGGCGCAGGCAGCTGGCGCAGGAGCAGCCAGGCGGCGGCGTCCGCGAGGGAGGCGGCGTGGCCCGTCACGAAGGAGCGCCTGTCCACACCGAAGAGCCGTGAGCAGCCGCAGATCGCAGCCGGAGGCGGCGGCGAGGCGAGGCGGAGGGCGCATGCGCAGGTGGCGGGCGAGGCGGGCGAGGAGGGGAGGCGTGGCGGCGGCGGGAGGGCCGCTGGCGGAGAGCCACTCGATCCACTCGTCCACCTCGCTCGCGGAGAGGGCGTCGCCCGCAGCGCCGTACGCGCCGAGCTCCGGCGGCGCGAGCCGAGCAAAGTAGCGCGCGATTGCGCCGCAGCCGCGCAGCGAGCGGGAGCCGCCCGGCAGGTAGAGGACAGAGTCGCAGCCGGAGGGGAGAGCCTTCGGGTCGACGCGGCGGAGGGCGACCTCCTGCCGCACGAGCCGCGCAGCGACGACGGCGAGCAGCGGCGGCGCCGCCGCTCCAAAGTGCAACTCGTAGTTTTTATTTGACATTGGCTTGGCATGCACCGGCGCGGCGGCCGCAGCGCCGCTGCCGTTCGGCTTGGCCGCCGGCGCCTTGCTGGCCGCGCCGTCCGGCTTGGCGCCGTCCGCGCCCTTGCCTGCCGGCCCGCCCTTGCCGCCGCCCTCCTTCACACCCTTGGCCGCCGCCGCCTCCTTCTTCTTGGCTCTCGCGGCGAGCTTCTGCTCCTCGGCCGCCTTGCGAGCCGCCTCCTTGGCGGCGTCGCCGTCCTTGGCGGCCTTCTTGTCCTTGTTGCTCGGCTTGGGCGGCGGCGGCAGCTTCGCCTTGAGCGCCTCCGCCTCTGGCGCGCCCTCTGGCAGCGCCGCCAGCGCTGCTGTGATGGCGTCGGCGAGCGCCTTCTTGGCGGCGACGAGGCCGGCGACAGCGGCCTCGACCTCCTCCTTGCCGGCGCCGGAATTCTTCAGCGACTTGACCGTCGTGCCCTGCGCCGCAGCAGCGGCCTCGAGCTTCTCGATGTCCATCGCAATTCGCACTCACCCTGCGCGAGCAGGAGTAGCGGCGCGTGCCGTAGTTATTTTTCTTTTTTTGCTGTTTTGCCATCGAGAAAGACGCACTTGTAACCGCGAATCGGCGGACGCTCGCTCATCGGACGCCGGCTTTGCCGCGGTGGCCCGGCTGGTGCGGCGGTGGTGGCCCCCGCCCGTTTTGGATGGTTACATGTACGAGCGATGAAGAGGAGTGGTTATAGGGGCCACACGCTCCTTAAACGTTAATCGCGTTAAAGATTCGCTCACCTGCCTCTAATTTGATAACTGGGGCATCCTCACGAGTCACGTGAAAGGAAACGAGACGGGGTGCGCGAGGAAACATGGATACAGCCTAAAGGGCGTGCAGCACACAGGTCACAGCAACACAAGACATATCTACTCGAGTAGGCGCTGTGCGCCTCCTCGGGATTTCTGGGGAGGTAGGAGTGTGTGTGTGTGTGTGTGTGTGTGTGTGTGTGTGTGTGTGTGTGTGTGTGTGTGTGTGTGTGTGTGTGTGTGTGTGTGTGTGTGTGTGTGTGTGTGTGTGTGTGTGTGTGTGTGTGTGTGTGTGTGTGTGTGCTCGCTCGCTCGCTCGCTCGAACGCGCGCGAGCGCGAGCAAGAGCGCGCGGGCGATATGCGAGCTATAGAAAGAAAGAAAGAAAACAGACACCCCAAGGGAGGGATGGATGGATGGGAGGACGGCACGCCGCCACACAGGGATTTTAAGGAGAGGTGTGTGGTGCGCTAGCCGTCGCCCACCCTAGGGAGTCTGCCTCTTCCTATCTCTCATGCGAGCTATGAAAGAAAGAAAGAAAGAAAACAGACAACCCAAGGGAGGGATGGGAGGACGGCACGCCGCCACCACACAGGGATTTTAAGGAGAGGTGTGTGGTGCGAGCTATGGCCTATGCCAGCCGAGAACTCGGAATTCTTTCGGCGAGAGACGTTTCCAGCGTGTTCGGCTTCCATCTGCTCGGTCGGCCCTGCGCGCCCGCTCCATCTCACGCCAGCGAACATCGTCGGCATGGTCCTGCTGCTCGTCTCACTCTCAGCGGCGGTAATCTCGCTCCGGGCGTCCCTTCCCGCCGCTCCACGCGCGAGAACGGCACTCGCATCGGCCGACAGTGGAGATCGCCCTCGCATGGCAGCCCTCGCCGCGGCCTCTGCAGTGGGCGTGGCGGGCGCGGCTGCGGCCGGCGCTGGCAGTGGACTTGTCGTGATGTACCGCGCATACGAGTCCGCGGCTCTCCGCACGCCCATCATCACCAAGGCGGCCACGAGCGGCGTGGCCTACTTTTTTGGCGATGCGCTTGCGCAGTTGCGAGTCGGGTCTGGGTCTGCGAAGCAGCGCTTCGACCTGCGGCGAGCGGCGCGGTCGACGCTGGCCGGCTTCGTGTCCCACGGTCCGCAGCTCCACTACTGGTGCCTCTTCCTCGACGCGCAGGTGCGCCTCGGGAGCGCGGCGGCCACGCTAGTTGCAAAGATCGTCCTCGATCAGACCGTCTTCTCGCTGTACTTGAACGGCGTCTACTGCGCGCTGGTCGAGGCGCTCAAGGGCGCGCCGCCTGCCGCGGTGTGGAGGCGTGTGCGCGCCGCCGCGCTGCCGTCGCTCGTCTCCTCGTGGCGCTTTTGGCCATGGGTGCACGCGCTGACGTACTCGGTGGTGCCTCTGCACCTGCGCGTGCTCTGGGTCGACTGCGTGGAGGTTGTCTGGGTCTCGATCCTCGCGACGTGCACCTCAAAGGCGGCGAGCGACGACGAGGGCTGCCTCCTCGGCCAGGGGGCCTGCAACCTCTCGCTCGAGGGGAGTGAGGAGGAGAGCGAGGAGGGGAGCGAGGCGGCCGGGCCGGAGGCTGCGCGCTCGGGCGGCGAGGGCAGCTCCGCCTCTGTCGTGGGGGTGCTCGGAGGCGGTCTCCTCGGGGCGGTGGTCCCTGTGGCGGTGGCGGTGCCTCTGGCGGAGGGTCTGCCGGGTGGCGATGCCGGGGACGGCAGCGGCGAACGCAGCGCCGCCGAAACCGCGGTATCCCGCGATGGTGTCACGACATAAGGCACAGGCCACACCGCCCGATGCCACCCAATTCTGCTGCACATGAGCCATGATGTGAGACTTGAGATGTCTGTCACCGTGATTATGCCAATGAGTATCGTCATATTTGCCAGTGTGGGCGATATGTGAGAGTATTTTTCTTTCCTTGCCCCGACCTTCGCCGCTGACCTTCGCCGAGCTGCTAGGGTAGGACCTTCGCCGAGCTGCGTCGCTGCACCGCCGAAGCTCCGCCAGCGTCGCCCTCATGTACACGCGTGTGCATGGTATGTACATTCCGCTCCTCTGCTGTTTCCTCCTGCCGACCCACGCCATCTCGACGCCCGATCGTCTCCAGCAGCTCCGCGTCACACTCAGCAGCGGCCGCGCGAAGGCCGCGGCGGGAACGGCCCTTTGTGCCGCGACTGCCACCTCATTAGCATGCGGAGGCGCGCCCAAAGCTCCGCTCGTGCTGGGCTCGCTTGGCGCTTCGGTCGCATGCACGCTGCCTGGGCTCGCTGACGCGCATCTCGCCTATTCATACGGCTACGGCTCCGCGCTCGTGTGCCAGTCGGCGCTCGCGTCGGCTTCGCTCCCCGCTTCGGGCAGCTGGGCTCGGCTGCTTCTGTGCGCCTACTGGGCCTACGGCGTCAAGGTCTGTCTCTTCCAGGCGGCGCGCGACGTGCGGCCCGACTACGTCGCAAAGGCGCTGCTGGCGCCGCAGGCGCAGGGCCGCAGAAGTCCCGCTCGCCTCAAGCTCCACGTCTGCCTCGCGGTGAGCCAGCTGTTCTCCGCCTCCGCCTCTCTCTCGGTCGGCTCTTCACAGTCAGCGTGTGGAAAGGTCGGCCTGCTGCTCTCCGCCTTCATCTTCCCTCTCTCCAGCGCCGCCGGCGCGAGCGGCGCAGTGCGGGAGGCGGCCGCGGCGGCGGGCGCGGCGCTGGCGCTGTCGGGCCTAGCGCTGCAGACGGTGGGCCGAGAGATAGCCGAGATCTTCCAGTGGCACGCGCCTCCTCTTCACGGCGGGTGGCGCGAACAGGTCGCCGACGCGCAAAAGTACCGGTGGAAGGCGCGGCACGGCGCGGACGCGCTGGTGAGCCACGGGCTGTGGTCCGTCTCGAGGCATCCCAACTTCGCGGGCGAGATGGTCTTCCACGTGGGTGTGATGCTGGCCGGCATCGCAGGGGCCACGTCCGCCGCGGCGGCCCTGCTCTCGGCCCTCGCGCCGTCCGCCTTCCTCGGTGTGATGCGCGGCGCGACGCGGCGGCTGGAGGAGCGGCGGACGCACCCCGCAGCACTCGCACACCTCGGGTTCCACGCTTCAGACCACCTCTCACTTCGCACTCGCACGCCTCCTGCTGCCCCAAACTCGTGTCCACATGGCCATGCACACACACACACACACGCACACACACACACACACACATGCTGCCCCACGCCTCGTGTCGACGCCTCCTCTTCAGGAGCGGCAGCTGCTCTTCTTCGAGCGCGCGCCGCCGGAGCTGCGTGACCGCTGGCGCGCGTACGTGCAGAGCACCCCGCGCCTCTTCCCGCTGCCCGCGGCAGTGCAGCCTCGCGCCGACCCGATCGTTGCCGAGGCGGGAGAGGGGCAGAGGTGGAGCGAGGAGGGCGGCGGGGGCTCCTCACGCGTCGCGCCGTGGACAGGTGGAGGAGCGGCAGGAGCAGGAGACGCGCGGCGACGAGATCGCCGGCATCCTCGGCATCACCGCGGGGGCGGGAGCCGTCACCGCCGCCGTCGGCCTCATCGGCTGGCTGCTGGTCTCGTGAGGTGGTCTGGCGAGAGTCTCGTGAGAGCGGGGGCCCTGGAGGTGGGCGAGGTGGAGGTGGGAGAGGAGGGGGCGGGGAGGGGCAGGCTGCCCGAGGCTTGCTGCAGGTCTAGGTAGGAGGCCGGCTAGCTGCGTCTGCCGTGGGCGGCTTTGAGGTCGTTGAGAGTCTACACACACACACACACACACACACACACACACACACACACACACACCGTCTTCAGAGTCGAACGCAGCTCGGCTCTCTCGCGCGGACACACACCCACTCCGTCGGCAGTGAGACACTCCGGCGCGCTCGCGGCAACGCGGCTCCGCGGCGAGGCGCGTCGTGTGGGGAAAACGTGGCGCTTGGCGCAGGCATTGCCATTGGGATTTTGGCTGTGTTGCGGTCGTTGCGCGCGGCCGCGCCTGCGGTGCGCACTAGCACGGTCCACCGCCACGGTCATAACGGCTTTTCTTCTTCTTTAGCGCTCTGTGTGTGCCCACACGCCACAAGGACGGCGCCTCATCAAATTACACGGACTCATCTCTCCCGCATGCTGCACTGACAGGTGACAGAGAAGAAGCTCACAGCTCACACGCAGCGCAGCCGCGTCGTATCTCTCGAGGACGCCGCCATATCAGCATCACCCCCGAAACCCTTATCAAAAGACATCCCTCTCTCACCCCTCCCACCCCTGCCGCCCCGTTGTCTCCGTCCCACGCCGGAGCTGCGCCCGCAAACGACACCCTCAGCTCGCGTAGATCTCCGCGGCGGCAGCGACGGCGGCTCGTCGGACGGCGCCCGCAGCGCCAGCGCCGCGCGAGGCGAGCAGCGCGCCGCTGGCGACGCCGATGGCGAGCGCGGCGAGGAGGGCGAGCCACGAGGGCGAGCCCGCCCGCTCGCCACCTGCCGCAGAGAGGGCGAGCGCCGGCTTGAGTGGCTTGGCTGCGGCGGCGCCGCCTCCGCCGCCTCCTCCGCCGCTGCGCGCGCCGCTCTCGCACGCGGGCGAGCCGGGGTAGAAGCCGACCGCCTTGTGGAGGTGTGAACCATGGATGAGTATACTCATATGGGTGATTCAGTACTAAGTAGTCAGCCGGGGTAGAAGCCGACGCGCCTTGTGGAGATCGCTGAAGGCGGAGACGGCGAGGTCGTCGATGTAGAACTGCGCGTACGGCTTGCCGAACGCAACCTGAGCGTCGCAGCCGCGGCCGTCAAAAGCCTCGGCCCGATCTCGGCCCGATCTCGGCCCGATCTCGGCCAGATCTCGGCCAGATCTCCTCGAGTCCCCGACACGTCCTGCGGGATGCTCCAGCCGGGCAGCGGCGCCTCGTCGTCTCGTCGAGTCTCGTCCTACCGTCTGCTCTGTCCTGCCGTCTACTCTCGCATCAGGCGCGCGCCTCGTCGTGCGGGATGCCGTAGTCGGACAGCTGCCGCAGGGTGAGGGCGCCGATGTCGGCGACGACGGCGGCGGTGTTGCCCCCGTGCGTGCGCATCCGCCGCCCGGTCGCGACGATGATGTGGTGCCCCTGCGCCTTGAGCGCGCGGCAGGCGGCGATGTTCTCGGCGAGGGGCTCGCAGGTGGTGTAGTCGCCCGAGACGCGAGGCGCCGTGACGAGGGTGTGGTCGAGGTCGAAGCAGATCCGCAGCTTGGGCTGCCGCTGCTGCGCGAGGCAGAAGGCCTGCAGCTGCGGCGGCGTCCCGAGCACGTGCATCCGCTTCGGGTCCACCTCGACGGCGCGGAAGGCGTGCCCCTCCTCGATCATCTGCGCGATGACGCCCGACGTGTAGAACTCGCCGATCGCGTCCTGCGAGAGCTGCGTCGTCTGCGAGTCGAGCAGCGCCTGGCACTGCGCCTCGAGCTCGACGCCGCTCATGAAGGAGTAGCATCCCGTGTTAGCGTGGTCCGAGATCTTGACTTTCTCCTTGACCTGCAGGATCCGCCTCGCCTCGTCGAAGACGACGTACGAGTAGAGCGGCTGCGGCTGCGTGTCGACAAAGTAAAAGACGCCGTTGGAGGTTGCGCAGATGTCGCGATACTTCCCGACGATGTCCTCGTCGTAGAAGGTGTCGCCGTCGACCAGCATCACCGGCCGCGAGCGCAGCGCGCGAGAGATGCCTCGCAGCCCGAGCAGGACCGTCTCTGCGGCGCCGCGGGTCGGGCCCGGCAGCTGGACGAGAGACACGTTCGGGTGAGCAGAGCAGACGGGCTCCCAGTACTTTGGAGAGATGAACTTTGGGTCGTACACGATCACCAGCGCGTCGCCCGGCCGCGTCTTGAGCGAGTCGATCACCCACAGGATCATCGCCTGACGACGTTACGCACCCGTGGTGGACACACGCGGAGAGGCCGCAGCGACGCGTATCCGCACAGCGAGCCGTCCCACTGGCTGGCAGGACGCGGCAGGGTGCGCGGTGTGCAGCTGCTGCGGCGGCGGCAGCACGCCTTGCCGAGGACGTTGACGAAGGGCTTGGGCGAGGTGTAGCCCTCCCGCTGGAAGCGGGAGCCGATGCCACCGAGCGGGATCATGATGGTGAGAGGCGGAGCGCCGCCGGTCGCCATCTTGCGTTCTGTGTTGTTGTGTGTGTGCTGATTCCTAGCGCGACGTGGTAGTAAAAGAATTCCCGCACGAGCCTCCACATCCCGTACCTGTGTAATTTCTTTTGAAAAATTCACGCACTGCCGCGCCGCGTGCGCCGCACTGCCGCCCACAAGCGAGCGCGAAGCGCTGAGTGACAGATGGCGGCGGCCCCTTCTGCTCCCACGCCTCTCCTGCTCACCTCGCTCCGCGACCACGAGCTCCAGTTTGTTTTTGCAAGAGTCGACTGCGCCCGCGCCCTCGGCCGCCTCTCCTCTGTCTCGCACCGCCTCCGCTCGCTGCTCGAGCGCGACGGTGGCGTGGTCGCCTGGCGCGGCTGCCGTGGCGACGCGCTGCCAGCAGGCACGGACTGGGCCGCCGCGCCGCGGCCCGCGCCGCCGCTCCAGAACCCGCACAACCCTGCCGCGCGCGCTGTGGCCATCGGCAGCGGCTGCGCGCTCTTTCCGGACGAGGAGACGTCGTGTGTGCTTGTGCGGGCGCCGGCGCCTGGGCAGCGATCGGCGGCGCCGGCGCTCTCGCTGCGCGACACGGCGGCGGCGGCGCAGGGCGAGCCGGGCAAGGTCCTCCTCGCCCTCTACCGCGAGGACGAGGCCGACCCGAGGCCTGCTCTCTCCTCTCTTCCTGCCTCGCTCGCTTCTCTCTCCTCGCCGCTGCGCGCTCACCGCCCGCTCCCCTCGCCCGCAGGCGCGGCCTCCTCGCCGTCGGCGTCCGCGCGAGCGGCGCCTCCTCGCGCGCCGTCCGCAGCACGCGGCTGCGCACGGCGACGCTGAGCGGGCGGAGCCGGAGGTGCGAGAGGAGGCGGAGAGGCGGCGGAGAGGCGGGAGGGAGGCGGGAGAGACGCGGGAGAGACGCGGCGGAGAAGGTGCATGACTTGTCCACGACACGTGCCCGCAGGACGGTCCGCGTGCCCGGCCAGATCACCGCCGTCGCCGTGGGGGAGAGGCTCATCGCGTGCGCCAGGCTGGGCAGCGGGAACGTGCAGCTGTGGGATGGAGACACCGGTGTCCTCGCGGCGACGGTGCCCGCACACCCAGCAGCAGCAGCAGCCGGCGCCGGCGGAGGAGGCAGTTCCGACTGCATCCGCAGTCTCCTTCTCTGCGGCTCTCTGCTGGTGAGCGGAGCCGCCGACGGCAGCGCCGCTGTGCACGGGATCCGAGCAGTCGCCATCGCCGCCGGCGCCGCCTCTGCGCTGGCGGAGGCGCTGGCGGCGGCCGAAGCGGGCGGAGGCTTGGCGGAGGAGGGCGAGGCGCCTGCCGTGGCGGCCGAGGCTGCGGCCGAGGCGGAGGGGGCGACGGCGGCAGAGGGTGCAGAGGCGGTGGAAGGGGCGGAAGGGGCACCCGCGTCGCCGCACCCGTCGAGGCGCGACGCTTCTCTCGCCGCCTCGCCCGCCCAGGCCATGCCGTCGCCCGCCCAGGGCCTGCCGTCGCCCGCCCAGGCCATGCCGTCGCCCTCCCGCCCCTTCCACGGCCTGCCTGCGGGCGAGGAGGCCCAAGGCCTAGCCACGCCCTGCCTGCTGCGCGTGAGCGCCGCCTCCGCCTCCGCCGCCGCCGCCAGCTCACCCTCCGCCGCTGCCTCCTCCACCGCCGCCGCTTCCTCCTCCACCTCCTCCGCCGTCAATTGCGTCGACCTGTCAGGCGCGGCTGCAGGGCGGCGGCGAGAGGCTGGAGAGGGCTTCAGAATGAGCGAGAGCGAGACTCGGCTGCGAGCCTTAGGCAACTGGCTCGCCACCGGAGACCAGGCGGGCGTGGCGCGCGTCTGGCTGCTGGGCAGCGGCCGGCTGGCACGCGCCAGCCCCTCCGCCTTTTCTCTCCCCCCCCCCTTCGCCCTCCCCCCTCCCCCCTCCGCCCACCGCCCACCGCCCTCCCCCCTCCGCCCACCGCCCACCGCCCTCCGCCCCTGCTTCGGCTCTGCTTTGGAGCCCTCTCGCACACCTCCCCACGCGCGCCGCGCACGCACGCACGCACGCACGCACGCACGCACACACACACACACACACACACACACACACACACACACACACACACACACACACACACACACACACACACACACACACGCACACGCACGCACGCACGCACGCACGCACGCACGCACGCACGCAACGCCACCCTCGCACCGCCTTCTTCGCCCCGCCACCCCCCCGGCCAGGTCCGGCTGCTCGACTGCGGCAGCGGCGACCCCTCCGCCTCCGCTTCGCCCCTCGTCTCGCTCCAGCTGGCGCGTGAGTGCGTGGTCGCCGCCAGCCGCGCGGGCGTGCTCCACTTGTGGTGCGTCAAGAGCGGGGTGCGCTTGCCGCACTCGAGATCTAGCAGAGGGGTAGCAGAGGTCCAGCCGAGAGACCAGCAGAAGGGCGAAAGAGCGGTGGGCTCTTCGCCTCCCACACTCATCCGCACTCGTCCCGCGCCGCCGCCCACCACAGCACAGGAGCCAATCCTGTCACGCGTAGGTGCGCGTGCACTCCCTCCGGCCGCTCGCTCCGGCGGCAGCCGTCGGTGGCGAGGCGCGCGGGCTCTCTCGGCCGCATTTCGGAGGGCACACCTCGGCCGCGTCTCGGCTAGACCTCGGCCGCGTCTCGCCCCAGGCGCTGCTCGACTTTCGGCTCTCGCGCGGGTGCGGCCTCGCCCTTGGCGCTTCGGGCCGCGTCACCGTGCTGCAGTGGGCGAGGGGCGACGGGGCCGCCGCCGCCGCCGCCGCCGGGGCCGCGGGGGAGGCGGCGGCGGGAGACTTCGACATCGCCCGGCTGCGGCGGCACATCGGCAGCTTCGCGCCCGAGGGCCGGATGGAGGGGGACGCGCCGGCGATGATGGCGGCGGTGCTCGAGACGGTGCGTGTGTGTGTGTGTGCTTCCGCACACTGCGTGGCCAGCGTTTCACCTCCCCCCCCCCCCCCCCCCTTCTCCTCTGCTCCAAGGTGGCTGCCAAGCTGCTGCGCTCGGCGGCGGACGCGGCGCGCCAGAGCGAGCTCGGCCGCATCGAGCCGCAGCACATATGGCGCGCCGCGATCGCGCCGAGATGGTTCGCGCGGAGAGGGGTTTTGGTGAGAAGAGTCTCTCCACACTCGTGTGCAGGCAAGCCTTCAATCAGGACGTGGAGCTGTCGGAGCTGGCGGCGCTGCCGGCGGCGCGGCGCGTGTGCGCGGTGGCGCTGCTGGCGCTCCAGTCCAAGGGTGGGGAGGCGGGAGGGGAGGCGGGTGCGGGCAGGGAGGGGGAGGGAGAGGAGGCAGAGGAGGGAGAGGGCGCAAGGATGGAGGAGGCAGAGGGAGGCGACATTAGCACTACAACTGCCGCAGTCGGCGGCGACGCCGCCTCCTCGGCTGGCGAGCATCGATCGGTTGCCGGCGGCGAGGGCGGCGAGGGCGGCGAGGGCGGCGAGGGCGGCGAGGGCGGGGCTGGAGGAGGCAGCGCCGGTCCGCCTGTCGGCGGGACGGCGGCGGGGCTCGGCGCGGCGGGCTTCGACGCCGAGCGGTTGCGGCGGCACATCGCCAGCTTCGACCCGGGGCTGAGCGTCGCCGGGGACGCGCCGGCGATGATGGCGGCGGTGCTCGAGACGGTGCGTCACGGGCGTGTGTGTTCGGAAGGTTGGCGGTAAGTACACGTCGGTGGTGATTGGTGCCTCCTCTGCCCCCTTGAAGGTGGCTGCCAAGCTGCTGCGCACTGCCGGCGACGCGGCGCGCGGCAGCCAGGTGGGCCGCATCGAGCCGCAGCACATCGAGCAGGCGGCCCCCAAGATTGGGTGTGGGGGGGGGGGGGGGAGTAGCCGCCCGCAAGTCAAGAGGCCGACGACGGACACGTCCTGGAGTTCGTTGATCTGTTGGGGCCGTGTCTTTCCTGCCCAGGAGTGCCGTGTCGCCTCACCAGAGATCCGCCCGCTGACCTATGCTGGGGTGTGCGTGCTCGCAGGCGTTCCGCGAGGACGACGAGCTCTGCGAGATGGCGACCAAGCACGGGCTGGCGGCAGTAGTCGCCCCCGATGCGTCTAGCATGTAGCAAGGTCGACCTTCGAAGGAGGTTTTGGGAGGGGAGGCGGGGGGGGGGCTGGACAGCGCGGTATATTGTGTATACGCGTTCGTGCGTGTGTACGTTCAACTTCAAGCACGAGCAGTACGGGCTTGCACTGGCCTCGAGGAAACTGTGAAAATAAAGTGTTTATACCTAAGCCGAAGCCTGCTACTATACACATCACTCATGCTCGGAGAGCGAGCCCATCTCCCGCACGAAAACCTGCGCGTGCTCCTCGGACATGCCGACCGCCCACGCCACGCCGATCCGCTCATCACCGCTCATGCCGAGGAGAAACGAGAGGTCATCGTATCCTTCAGACTCGAATGCGGCGGCGTACGCAGACAGCCCGAAGCCCTCGAGCAGCCGCTGCACCCTGCCCATGCGTTCCTCTGCGGCCGTGTGCGCACGCGGCGCTAGGCCGTCCTGGTCTCCCGTGAGGTAGAGGTTCGACCGAGACTGATCGCCACCGCCGGCACCGCCGCCGCTTGGGCCAGTGCCGCTGCGGCTCTTGCTGCTGCCGCCGCTCTTGCCGCTGCTTTGGCTGCGGCCGCCGGGGCGCTCCAGCTCCCACGTCTCGGCTGGGTCGTCAAGGTTGTGGTACCTATCTCGCGACCGGCGTGTGAAGAGCCCCATCCCCGCGCGAGCAAAGGACCTTGGGAGCAAGTGCAGCACGCCTGACGTCCCCGTCGTCGTACTTGATGCAGTGGCCGCGCGCGGAGGAGCGGCCCTTGTAGACGCCGGCGAACCACTCGTCTCCCTCCCACAGCACCCGCACACGCACCCCCAGGGCGAGCGCCGACGTCGCGACGCGACTCGCCGACCCCGCCGCCTCTGTGGCGCTGCTCGCCACTGCCTGCGTCGCGGGCCGCGCTACCTTGGCCGCCGGCTCCCGCCACAGCTTTGGCCGAACGCGCTGCGTACGCTCCTCCACCTCCCCCTCGCTCGCCTCCTCCTCCGGCGCCGCGCACCGCCGCCGAGCCGGGTCGGGGTGCATCGAGCAGTACCACACGGCGGGCAGCTTCTTGGACACGTCGGGGGGCAGCCTCCGCCACTTGTCGCACCTGTCGCAAGCCACCCAAGTGCAACGCGTCGTCTCGCCCTCGCCACGCTTGCGCCCGCGACGCTGGCCGGACAACACCTTGCCGCCCGCGCCACCGATGACGCTGCCGCCGCCGCCCTTGCCGCCGCCGCCGCCCTTGCCTGCGCTGCTGCCGCCGCCCTTGCCGCCGCCCTTGCTGCCGCCCTTGCCGCCGCCCTTGCCGCCACCGCCGCCACCACACTCCTCCTCCTCCGCCTCCTCCTCGCTGTCCGACCCCCGCGATGCCGACCGCTCCGCCTCGCGCTGCGCCACGAGTTCCTTCGCCCTCGTGAGCAGTGCCGCCGGCAGCTCGCTCTCTCCCACCCACTCGTCGGCCTTTGGGCCACGGAAGCTGCGCCCTTCCCCCTGCTCGCGCAAGACCAGCAGCTCGTGACCACCACCCTCGCTCCGGCGCGCGTCGAGCACATCGCTGATCCTCCCCCGCGGGCGAGGAGGGCCCGACGAAACCGCCGGCGCCACGCTCGCCGCCGGCTCCGCCTCGTCGTCGCCGTCGGGTGGCAACGCCACCTGAGCGCCCGGCCCGAGCAGCGGCGCGATTATAGCGTGCGTCGTCGGGTAGCAACAGACGGCATGCGGCGGCTGGCAGTCCACCGCCGCAACTGGCTGCGGTGGGTGCTGCGCCTTGTCGGCCTCCGAGTACGGGATGGCGAAGGCGGCGAGCCCGATCGGCGGGTTCATCGCATGCCGCTGCACCGCCTCGCTTGCCCGTGCCAGCCGCGCCTTGCCAGGCCACCGAGTCCCGCAGAGAATCCCATGGTGCTGCTGCACGGCGGCAGCGGAGCGGCCAGTGCCCAGCCGGGTTGCAATCTCAAACCAATCGCTGGTCCGGCTCCTGACGAGGGCTACGAGGAGCTCCTCCTCTGCTGCATTCCAGCGCGGCTGCGATGAGGCCTTGCGCTCCCTGGTGCGCCCGCCCCCCGGCTGTTCCGGTTTCGGCGCTCCCTGGTTCGCCGCCGGGCGGGGCCACTCCCCCAGCTGCTGCTGCCCTCCAAGAGTGCTCGCAGCGTGCATTAGCGGTGGCGGAGCGCTCTCGGCGACCGGGTGAAGCCGCGCCTTCTTGCCGCTAGCAACGCCGCCGCCAGCGGGCATGCTGTTGTCGGCGTCTAGCAGCCGCATGCGACCAGGCAGCAGCTCCTTCCTCTTCCCGCAGCCGGCCGCCGCCTTGAGGACCCTGAGCTGCTCAAAGCGGCGCTGCGCCTCGCCGTGCAGCTCGCCGCTCGCGTCGCGCTGGTCGTACAGCTCGAGCAGCTCGTCCTTCATCGCGAGCGTAAACTCGGGCGGCGCAACCACCGCTGGGAAGGCCGCCTCGCCAAAGACCGCGCGGAGCTGGCTCAGCGAGGGCGCCGCCGGGGCGGCTCGGTCAGCGCCCGCCGTGTGCACCACCGCCCGCGCCCTCTCAGCTGTCCCCGGCGCCTCCGTCGGCAACGGCGCTGACGCCGGCTGGAGCGTCTGCGCAGTCAGCTGGGTCATCAGCAGAGGAGCCTCCGCACACGGCACGCCGGCTACGGGGCCCTCCACAGGGACCGCGAACCCTGTTGCGAGGTGGCTGACGACAGCAGCGGCAAGCGGCACAACTGCGGCGGGATAGGCGGCCTCGCCAAAGATCGTTCGTAGATCATCAACGGACGCCGCAGCGGGCTGCATCATGGTGGATGCGAGGGGGGAGGGTGCTCCGGCGACGGCCCGTGCGTAGGCCACCGCCCCCGCGATCGCCGTGTCGAAGGTGCCCAAGTGGACCTGCCTTCCGTTCACCCTATCCCGCGCGAAGAAGCGGCCAGAGCCTGTCTGCCCGACGTTCTTGTAGCCGGTGCTACTGCCGCTCGAGAGGTGCAGCTGCCAGCCCTCCGCCTCGGTCGCAACCGCAGGAGCTGGCTCCGGCACCCGCGACGTCGATGCCGGCACGTCGATATCCTCCACCAGAGCACCCGCCGCGGGCGCGGCCGCCATACTGGTAGACGCGGCCGAGGCGCAGCCCCGCTGCCGCTGGATCTCCCAGTGCTGGCAGACAGCCTGAGACGTGCGGCCCGTGCCCAGCTGGGAGGCCACCTCCTTCCAGCTCGGCCTGGCCGCCGTGCCGCTCTCTACGATCGCGCGCAGCTTCGCCTCCTCATCCTTCGACCACCGTTGACAGTGATTGCCCGCACTCTGGCGACGAGCCAGCGGCACTTGCTGCTGCCCTACGGCGGGCTTTCCGCCTTCGCCATCGCCAGTTTGGGGCACCTCTCCGCCCCCCGCCACTGATTCGTCCTCGTCAAGGTCGATGTCCTCAACGCGGCTCCAGTCCGGGGTCAGCGCGAGTGCACCGCCCTCCAGCGGTGCCTCGCTCGACGGCTGTTCGGGTTCGGCGCCACACTTTCGGCACTGGGAACGACTGAGCTTATTCTTGGTGCCGCCCGAGTCGCGCTTGCCACACTCGCCCGCTCGACAGAGCCACCGCTGACCCCTATGACAACTGACCATTTTTTGCCTTTGCCGCGTGCACGGAAGATCCGGCGGAAAAAGACGAAAAAATTTGTCGAAGGACGCTGGCTGTTCTTCACCTTCCTACCTCCAGTGGTCCTTTGCGTGTGCGCCTCTTCGCTTTCTTTTATTTGCGGTGTGCCGGTGTGAGTGCCACAAAAAGGGCTGAGAGAGAGGCTTTTCTAAGAATTCTTTTATCTGGTACCTCTGTAATTCGCCGAGACCTAATCCCTCTGCCCACCCCCTCTGCCCCCCGAGTCGGGCGTAGGCCCCGACCCTCCCGCTCCCACCCCGCCTCCCCTCTTTCACCGCGACACACCGGGCCAGCAAGCAGGAGCACACACACGCATGCGCGTCGCCGCAACGTGCCGCCTCCAGCGCGCTGGAGCAGCGGCGTGCTCAGCCGCCCTGCACTGCACGGAGGCCTGCTCCACAGCCTCGCGTGCTATGCGAGCAGCTCCATGCACTCCTGCACCTCGTCCTCCCTCTTGGCCGCGAGGATGCACAGCTCCAGCGGCGTGGGCGGGTCTCCCCCGCCCTGCAGCGCGTCAAATCGCTCCATGCATTCGCGGACCCCGTCCTCCCCGTCCGCGTGCACAATGCACTCCTCCAGAGGGCTTGCACCGCTCAGGCTTGCACCGCTCAGCTCCTGAGTCCCGTCCTCCGCTGCTGCTGCGTCGTACTGCTCAATGCAAAGGGCCACACCGCCTTCGCCATCGGCATCGATGATACAACGCTCGAGCGCCGTGAGCGGCTCATCCCCGCCCGACTCAAGGTCAAATAGCTCAATACACTCCCTTACGCCGTCCTCGCCGTCAGCCTGCACGATACAATGCTCGAGCGACTCGAGGTCGGAGGAGACCGCGCCGGCAAAAGAGCCAGCGAGCGCGGTCATGCTGGGAGCAGCCGGCCTCCAGGCGAGGCGGGCCACCGCCCCGAAGGGCGCACGGGGAAGGAGCGCGGCTGTCATATACGTGTATCTGCGGCGGATACGGGGGCACCGAAATTCGGCGGGCACTCACAAAAGAATTGACCACTTCCCCCGCCCGCACGACACTCACTAGCACTCACTAGCACTTCTCCCATTTAGGCTGAATATACTTTTCCTCTCGCACCCCGTCTCTCTACAGCACCCTCTCTTTTCCTCTCTCTTTTCCCGGGGAAACCATCAAATTTTCCGGGCTCTGAGCCGAGACCCGAGTCTGAGGCTCGTTTGGGGCCGGCCCAAAATCAGCCAAATCGGCGAAATACCGGGTATTTTGCGGGTATACCTGGAAACCCCCGGTATACCTGAAAAATACCCTGGTCCCTGCGACCGCCTGGGTATCGTGCCGATTTCCTCAATTTTGCCTCAGATTTTGCCCCAGACCAGCTCTCAGACTCAGGGAAACTCGCGAGTTTCCAGAATGGAGCACCAAACACCCTCTGTTTTCCCTGGAAATTTCCGGAAACGCAAAGTGCTGGGGACCCTCTGTTTTCCTTTTTGTTTGCCGGAAAAGTATATGCAGGCCAATCTCCCATCCCTCCCTTGGGTTGTCTGTTTTCTTTCTTTCTTTACTCACAAGCACTAACACTGGTACAGTACACCAAAAAGAACAAAGCTAAAACCTAAAAAACTCGGAGTCACTTCTCATCGCAAACCCCGTCAAACAGCTGCATACATCACTGAAAAACTAACCCCGAGAAACCCTTCGGGTCACTCCTCATCGCAAACCCTGTCAGCACCTTCGGGTGGACCACCTTCGGGTGTGTTCGTAAGAGCTACATACACTGAAAAAAAACGGACGACCTAGGGCTGCAGGGCTGGCTGGGGGAGGAAGGACAGGCGCGTCCCCACCTTTGGAGTATCTTTGGCTCACGCCAGGGCGCTCGTTGCTCCGTCTTTTGTATTCTTCCATACTGCGATTTTCAGAAGACTTGCAGGATTTCGATGCAGGATTGTGCTGGCCGCGGGCTGTGTTGGTGTTGCAATCCGCTTTGTAACTGTCGCTCTCGCAGCCGACGGGCACGCGATATGAGCACCGAGGGTCGTCGCTTCAGTGGCGACGCTGCGGATGCTCGCGCGTTTGATCATTGCAGACATGGGTTGGGCAAACGACACAGCACACACCACCTCCAGCCTCCCTCGCCAGAGCGGGCCGCTCGCATTGCTCTCTCTGCTAATAGCGGCTGGTTTGAGGACGCGAGCTGGTGGTTGCCTGCGCCTGAAGGTCAGCACGCACCGCACCTTGCCCGCGCCTCAGCACGCTCCATGCCGACACTGCTGGACGGAGAGCAGATGGAAGCCGCGCTGCAGGCGGCCCACATCGGAGCAATGGACGCGCTAAGGCGTCGTGCTGATGCGGCACTGCGCCGCTTTTCTCAGCAGAGACCGGAACCGGCGGACACGAGAGGCTCTCGTCCCGGTACCTCCTACTGCGACGATGCCACCGCCACGGAGGTTGCAAGCTGCTCTCGCATCTCCACCCCTAGCCCTAGCCCGAGCCATTCAGCAGATCAATCTCGAGGCATCAGCCCAAGCCGGTCAGCTCGAGGTTTCAGCTCAGGCCCGTCGGGCTCAGCGCACTCGTGCAGCTCTCCAGTGAGAGAGAGTCAACCGCCCAGCGACCACCTTCGGGGCTATCGGCTTTTGCGCCGCGCGCAAGAAAAGCTGGATGAGGCGCGGGTCGCCCTGAGACTGTCGCAGCAGTGCGGATACATCGACCCGAGCACCGACCCGTTTTGGTGCGAGCGGGAGGAGGAGGACTGGTCGGCTGGGCTCGTGTCTCCATGCCTGTCTACGCCCTGCATGGTCTACGCTGGAGGCGTATGGGGGGCCTGACGCCAGGTCGTCGGGCGTCGGGTGTTTCGCTCCGACGTGCCCCCCAGCCGCCCAGCGCCTAGGGCGGGCACGCCAAGGGGCAGGGCGGGCTTGCCTTGGCGCCCCGTGCCAGGGGACGACACGACCGAGCTTGTCTATGTGACTCTGTCTGACACATGCAACACCTCGATGCGCTTCTCGCTCTGAGACCCAAGCGGCACAAGCCAATATGCTGTGATTGTATGTGAATAAAAATTGGGATACATTTTAGTCTCACATCGGCATCAAAAACACATCGAACATCGCGCTCCCCCCCCCCCCACCCACCCACCCACCCACGCGCGCTGCGCGCCCCAGAACGACACACAAATTTGAAAGCGCACAGAGACAGCTCGAGCATCATCCCGAGCGGCACCGAGCACGCGCACCACATCCAAACGATTACTCTGACGACTAGTCGGCCTCCGCGGACGGTACCCGTTTGTAGCCGGCTCCACCGCAGGCGCGCAAACCACCGAGCAACGCCAACCGCGCGTGCAAATATGCGGCGCCGGCGAAGCGCGACGCAGCGGCAGCCACACCACGCACCGCGTCGGCGGTGTCGCGCGGCCGCGAGAGCGCAACCTGCAGCGCGAGCGCCAAGCCGACATACGCGACAAAGAGCGCGGCGGCGGCGGCGGCGGTGCCGAGCGCTGCGAGGGGGCCAGTGGTGGCGGACTCCCACGAGGCCGCCGCCGCCTGCTTCCACTCGGAGTAGGTCCCTCCGACGTGGCGCGAGCCGCCCGAGAGGAGGAGCCAACCGAGCGAGAAGACGGCGTCGTGCAGCAAATAGGCGAGCAGCTGAGAGCGGCCGGCGTCGGTCAGCGCCGTGCGGCGGCGAGGGAGCAGCGAGAAGAGCGCGGCCAGCCGCAAGCCCGCGCGGCAGTACGTGTAGAGCGGCTCCTCGGCTCGCCGGCGCGAGGCTTGCGGGAAGAGGCCGAAGAGCAGCGGGTCCGCGACGAAGGTCAGCAAGCAGAGGGTCGCCGTGACGGCCCAGTGGCGCGGCGCGGCGAGGGGAACGAGCGTGTCGCGGCGGCAAGCGTAGCCCAGCAGGACGAGCGGCAAATTGTGCACGACCTGCGCAAAGTTCTTGTCTCCAAAGGCGGCGTAGAAGGCGAAGCGGCGCAGCGCCGGCCAGCCCTGCAGCCCGATGTGCGCGCGCTCGCCGCGAAAGTAGAAGAGGCGCAGCGCGAGCGCGGCGGCGGCGGCGGCGGCGGGGGCGCGGCGGCGAGCGGCGGAGCCGCGCGGGAGGCGCGAGAGGGGGAGGGCGAGCGCCTGCAGGGCGGTTCGGAGACGGTTCAGAGCAGGCTCCAGGGGAGCGCGCGAAGGGGGGTGGTCGCGGCTGCCCGGCCGAGGGCGACGGTGAGGATGAACCAGAGGTGCGCCGTGCCGATGTCGACTCGATTCGACGCGAGGAGCTCGAGGGCAGGGTGCATGCCGTGCCGGAAGGCAGTCAGCAGCAGCAGAGGCGCGACCACCTGTGGGGCGGCAGGACGGGCCCTCCTCTCAGCGGAGCAGTCCTCATCCACCTCGTGCATGAGGTGCAGCCCGCCGCATGAGCTGCAGTGCATGAGGTGCAGCCCGCCTGCCACGCGTCCAAGCGCGCGCCCGCGACGGCGGCGCCCGAGAGGAAGGCGAGCCCTTCCGCGGCGCCGGTCTGAGCGACGTTGTTGAAGGCGCACGTGGGCACCGCCACCGCCGAGGTTCGCTCCCAGGCGTGGCAGGTGCGGATGGTGAAGCGCTGGAGGTGGCGCAGCAGCACCGGCAGCAGCAGCGCGACCTTGACGTGCAGCAGCACGGCGTCGTACCCCTCCACCGCCACTCCGCCTCCCCCGCCCGCCAGCGCCGCCAGCCCGAGCGAGTCCATCGCGCCGCCCTCGCCGCCCCCGTCGCCCTCGCCCCGCCCTTTGCCGCCCCTCGCCGCCGCCGCGTCGGCGAAGGCGGCGTCGAGCCAGCGCCCGAACCGCGCCTCGACGCCGCGCCTCACGATGCCGCCCTTGGCGGTCCGCGCGAGCGGCGCCGAGTCGCCGGAGGGGCAGCGCGAGGCGCCCGCCACGAAGAGGTACAGCAGCGGCGGAGGGACGGCCGCGTAGCTCGGCACCGCTCCGTTCGCCGCCTCGAGAGCGCGCATCGCGGCGGCATGCGCCTCCTCCTGCCACGCGCCTTGCGCAGCGGCAGACGTGTCCCGCAAGTGCCGCCCTGTGAGCAGCTCCCGCCGAGACGGCCGGCCCTCGCCTCGCCCTCCGCCTCCTCCTGGCCGACCCCCGCCTCGCCCTCCGCCTCCTGCTCCCCCGGGAGGCGCGATTTCCAAGACGGCGGCGGGGCACGGGCGGGAGGAGCCGAAGGCGACGCAGCCGGTGGCCCTCCAGCCGCCGGACGCCATCTGCGCCTCGTCCGCCATGGCTGCCATCATCGCCCGCTCGAAGGAGGTTGGGTCAGCGAGCTCGCCTGCGGGCCGGCCGACGGCTGTGGGCAGAGACGGCAAGGGGGCGGGGGGTGGAGCTGGGCATGTGCAGGGGGGGCGGGGGGGCTACTGGAGCTGGGCATGGGGAGGGGGCGGGTGTGTGTGCGAGAGCTGGCATGGGGAGGGGGCGGGTGTGTGCGAGAGCTCGCCCGACGACAGCACCAGCTGCTCGTCGCGACGGCACACGTGGCGAAACCAGCTCTCGCCGCCGCCCTCCTCGCCGCCGCCGCCGCCCTCCCCCTCCCCCTCCGGCGCGACGAGCTCGAAGAGGTCCCCCGTCGCCCAGTCGCCCGCCTCGCCGTGCCCCTCCTCCCGGCCCCCCCTCCCCGCCCCCTCCCCAGCCTCCTCCGCGACCGCCACCCCACATCCCGCGAGAGGGAGGTAGCCCGAGGTCAGCCCGCCCGCACCGCAAAGCAGCAGCTCGCCGCACACCGCACCGGCGCCGCCCTCGCCCGCCCGACCATCCGCGGCCGAGAGGCGCGCGCGGATGCCGGGCACCGGCCGCAGAGCCCCGGCCGGCCCGCGAGGCGTGCCAATCATCGCCATGCCTCCCAGCTCGGTCTGGCCGTACTGCGAGGCTGGCCACACGCCCAGCTGGCGCCACGCGGCGAGGGCGGAGGGGCCCATCGGCGCCCCTCCGTACAGCACCGCGTCGCAGGAGCGCAGCGGCGCCGCCTCCGCGCGTGAGAGCGGTAGCAGCGACTCGAGCAGCACGGGCACCTGGTTGGGGTTGGGGCTGGGGCTGGGGTCGGGGTCGGGGTGGGGTTGGGCAGTGGTCAGGGTGAGCAGCGGTGCCACCGTGTCGAGGAGGGACGGCCTCAGCTCGGCCGTAGCAGCGAGGAGCAGCCGGCCGGTGAGCGGCGTCGAGTGCGCCTCTGCGAAAGCGGTGGCGCGCGTGCCCGTGAGGAGGTTGTAGACGAAGTTGTTGACGATGCCGATGACGTGGAAGGCGGGCAGCAGCGCGAGGGTGCCGCGGTGGGCGGGAGCCTTGCCGATGGAGGAGGAGGAGGGGAGGCCGAGGAAGCGCTCCTCCGCCGCCGCCTTTGCGCGGCTCGACCAGAGCAGCGCGGAGTGGGAGAGGGGCACCGGCTTTGGCGTGCCGGAGGTGCCAGAGGTGAAGAGGATCAGCGCCGTGTCTCGAGGAGCGACGCCGCCGCCCGCCTCGAGCTCGTCGAGCCCGGCGGGCGCGGCGCGGCTGCTGTGCCGGCCGGCCGCGGCGGATGCGCACGTCAGCGGAGCCTCGCGGGCGGCGTGGAGCGGAGGGGAGAGCTCCGACTCTGCGCCAGAGAGGAGGAAGAGCAGCGGGGCCCCGCCTCCGCCGACCACCGCGCCGCAGACCACCTCGCGGGCCAGGGCGGCGAGGCCGCGGCCGGCGGTGACGACCTCGCATCCGAGGCCGCGCGTCAGCAGAGCCAGCGTCGCGGCCGGCTGCTTCCAGTTCAGAGACACGACCGTGACTCCGAGCGCCGGAGCGGAGAGGGTGAGGGCGAGCGAGTCGGCGCACGCGTGGCAGAGCAGCGCCAGCCGAGCGCCCTTTGGTCGCACGCCGTGCGACGCGAGCAGCGCCGCCAGCGCCGCGCGGAACCGGCACTCCAGCTCGTTAAAGGCGTGGAACGACAGCGTGGCGTCGAGGCCGCGGTGTGCGGACCAGGTCTGCAGAAAGGGAGCATCGCCGTACCGAGACGCCGCCCAGCCGGCTAGGTCCGCGAGGGTGGTGGGCGTCGCCATCTTCAGCCCACCTCGCCCCACCGCCGCGTCGCCTCCCGCAAAGCCGGCTAGGGCCTCCCTCAAGAGCGCTTGTGGCGTGGCAGTGTGAAACAAAGAATTTTGACGTCGCAGACTGGCGCGACACACCGTGCCGTCCTCCCATCCCTCCCTTGGGTTGTCTGTTTTCTTTCTTTCTTTCTTTACACCTCTCCTTAAAATCCCTGTGTCGTGGCGGCGTGCCGTCCTCCCATCCCTCCCTTGGCTTGTCTGTTTTCTTTCTTTCTTTCTTTCTGACTGGCGCGGACTGGCACAACCGGCACACCACCGGAGCCGAAACTTTGATGCTGTCTGTTGGTCCCGGGTAGCCTCGGGCGCCAGGGGCGAGCTCAGGCGCGACACACAGCTCGGAACGTCGACTGACGCGAAAGTTTCGCGGCAAGAGATTGCAGCTACGTTAAGCTTTGTCCAGCTTTGTAGTTCTTGCGACCAGCTGACACGTGCAAGTTTCGCCTCAGTGCCCGCAGTCTCTCCGTCATGCAGCCGCGGCACACGCCGACCTGCCACTATGGCCCTCCGATCGATGAGGAGAAGGGACAGCAAAAGGTGCTGGTGAGCAGCAAGAAGCTGCGCGCGTGTGAGGAGGAGGTGAATGCGCGGCTGCGCTACCTCGGCTACCAGCTGGTTTTTGGTTCCGGCACCGGCGGTGCCGACGACGACCCGTGTCAATCGCGGTACGGGACGTTGGCCGCCGCGCAGCGGGCTTGCGGGCAGATGCCGTCCTGCAGGCGCGTCCTTACGCTGCGGACCGCTACTCCTTGCGTCGTTGGAATGGATGCGACGGACGACGCAGGCAATATCGAGGGCTGGCTTGCAAAGGAGCGGCCTGCGATGCAGTCCAGCGAGCCAGTCACCCGCGGTGAGGTGGCCGAGGCTGCAGAGGGGATGTTTCCCGACGTCGCTGGCTACAGCCGCATCGAGCAAGAGGCGCGCGCGCTGCACGCGACGTGGCCAGCGGACAGGCCGCGAGCTGTCGTGCTCACCTTGGCCTTTCCGTTACATCTGGGCGAATACTCTATTCGTGGCAGGAGACTAGCACAGAGCTACAGCAAGCGGACTGGCGGCGAGTGCACCCAGCTGCAGTCGATTCTGCAGTCGACGCGCAATCTTCGACGTGAGATGGGCCGCTGGCCAGGCGGCGCTTATCCCCTCGCCGTGTGGAACCCCGACATGGACGAAAAGGACATGGCAGAGATCCGCGCGGCTGGCAGCGGCCTGCCTGCCGTGTGGTTCCCTCGGATCGCATTTGACGAGCGCGCGCTGGCCCGTTACCACAGGCACGAGGAAGTGCTGCGGCTCTTCCGCGCCATGCACCCCTTCGACAACGGTGCGCAGCCTCCCCCTTCACACACATACTCTAGTACTCGCAGGCAACTTTCATCTGCACACTAGTCCACACGCAGCTGTCCAACCCCTCCCTCACCTTCTCCTGACAGCGTGTCACGTTGCGTCGCTGTGCGCAGTCTCGATTCCGACGGCGTGGCACGGCTTCGGCTACCGGCAGATGTGCCGCTTCTTTGCAGGGATTATCTTCCACGCGCCGGTGATGCGCGAGTTCGACTTTTACCTCCGCATCGACGGCGGCGACTCTCGCCTCACGTCCCTCGCGCCAACCGACCTGTTTGCCATGTTCCAGCAGCGCCAGCTCGCGTACGGCTATCTCGCGGTGCATGCCGACCGCGGCTGGATTGACGTCGGCCTCGGCTCGCTCGTAAGCGCCTTCGCCGCGCTACCCGGCGTCAACTTTGACGAGCAGCTGGTCGCGCCCTTTGTCGCGGGAGGAGGGGCGCAGCTCCCACTGCTCTACAACGGAAGCTATTACTACAACAACTTTGAAATGGTCGACATGCGTCCCTTTCGCGCGCGGCGCCTTTGGAGCTTCTTTCGATTCGTGGACCGCTCCCACGCGTTCCTGTGCGGCGGCGGGCTCGGCCCCGGCCCACACGAGGAAGTATCGTCGCGCCACAGCCGCGCGGGGGCGCCGCCCCCGTGGAGGTGCCGCTTCAGCCACAATGCGATTGGCGACGCGGACTTTCGAAGCCTCGCCGTGGCTCTCATCCTGCAGCCAAAGAACGTGCACCGGCTCTCGACAAAGGAGGCGGGCTACTACCACCCATTGCCCTGGTGCTTCACGGGCAGGCCGCCCCCACTCATGCTCCAGGGATCGGACCGCCAGGGGGGCTTCCGTGTAGAGGTGGCAGCAACGTGCACAGGCCGCAGGCACGTGCCATAGAGAGGCTCGGCGAGCCGCGACGGGATTTGTTTGAGCTAGTTCGGGAGAGTTCTTAGAGTGTGTGTAGATCGAGGCGTGTCATGACGCGGATACCAGCCTCGAGACCTCGAGGTTTGTTGTCGCTCGCGCGATGCTCGCGTGCCACCCGGCGGAGCCTCCTGACCCCCTTACAGCGTCAAGGTTGGCGCCATCATCATCGCAGCCACTGCACTCGGCGCGATTCCGCAGCTGCACAAGCTCGCGAGCAGCGGCTCCAGCGCGGGCGTGAGTGCTGCCACGTCCGGCCTCACACTCAGTATCTCACTCCACCTTCACGTGTGCCCCCCCTCGGAACAACCTTTCGCTTCATCACCTTCTGCTTAGTTCTCGGGCATGTCACCTCTTCTTCTCCCTCGACATACAGCCAACAACAGCCAAGCTGCTCTTGACAGCACCGCTACAATTTCTTTTTTCTCCGTGCGGTTGTAAAATTCTTTGTGCCAGTGCGCGCCAGTCCCGTGCCCAGTGTTGTGCGAGGGAGTTTTCTTGTAAAATTCTTTGCTCCAGTGGTGTACCTGTGTTAGTGCCAGTGCGCGCCAGTCCCGTGCCCAGTCTTGTGCGAGGGGGTGGGCAAATTCTTTCTTTTCCAACAGATCAGGTACACACAGGGTTCCGGCTCCTACCCAGATAGGGGGTCTGTCGGCACCCGTTGGACCCTATGCAATAGGTAGGTAGGTCCGGTTTTGACCGCCCCAGAGGGCCCCGCAATAGGTATGTAGGTGGCGGTGGTGTGGGGGGTTGGGGGGGTGGGGGTAAAAAAACCGCTTCGCTCGCGCGGGAGACGGCGCGTTTAGCCGCGAAACGGGGCCATGCCAGACGAGTCGCCTGCGGCCGGGACGCCAGCCGAGACGGGTGCCGCACCGCGGTACAAGCCGGCGCGGCGGGCGCTGGGAGCCTATTCACAGAGGGCTAACGGGTATTTTTTCGCTTCGCTGCGCGGCCTGGGAATAGGTAGGTAGGTGGGGCACGGAGCCTGGCGGTCGGCGCCCGCAATAGGTAGGTAGGTAGGGCGTTTTGGCGCGACTCAGTGCCGCAGACCCCCTATCTGGGTAGGAGCCGGAACCCCGCGGAGCCGAAGATCTAACAGGAGCTGGCCCGACGCCTTTGCCCTCGATCCGCTCACCTCCGAGCATGCGGCTATTAAGTCTTCTGCAGCTGGCCTCTGCGTCCGGCTACGCCCTCCGAGGCGCCGCTCCGCAGCCCGCCGCCAGTGCGCCGCTTCGGCGGGCTCGCTCTCTCGCGATGATGCCAAACTCGATCCTCGAGGAGGCGGCGGAGGCGGCGGTGCTGACGGACCCTCGCTCCTCCACAACGCCGGCGGCGGCGGCTGAGTGCGCGCACGGCGGCGGCGACACAGGCCGGAGCGCGCTGATCCTCGGCTGGTTCTTCGCCAAGGACCGAGAGCTGGAGTACGTGCGGCGGATGTGCGCCGCCGTCGAATCCCGCCTTGCGCCGAACCTCCGCGCTCACGCTCTGGCGCCCCGGGCAGGTACGCCAAGAATGGCTTTGACGAGGTCGTGATCCGGCCCTCAAAGGTCGGCCTCATCTCAAAGCCGCGCGGCTGGCACACCCGCCCTCCGCAACCCAGCTGCAGCCCGGCGGTACAGGCCCGCAACGCGTCCACACCACGCCTCAGGTACCGCACCCTCCGCCGCCAGCTGCAGCCCGGCCGGCGCCGCGCCGAGCCGCGCAGCCAGAGCGTCGACAGCCAGAGCCTCGACAGCCTCGACCGGCACTTTGACGTGGTGCACTGCATGAGCGGCGGCTTCCTCGCGCTGTACGTGCTGCTCCGCTCCAAGGTCGGCCTCCGCTTCTCCACCCTGCTCTGCGACTCAACGCCGATCCTGCCAAAGGCGCGCCTCCACTCTGCTGCACCCTCGGCCGCACCTCGGCCGCGCCTCGCCGCACCTGGCCGCTCTGCAAGCCTCGGCCGCTACCTCAGCTGCAACCTCGGGGATGCCCCCCCCCCCCCCCCCCCTCAGCCGGCCGCCTTCACGCGATTCGCGCGCGCGTACCTCGCCTCGATCGGGCTGCGGCTGCCGCTCAAGCTGCTGCCCGAGCGGCTGCACCAGTGGCTGGTCGAGGGGCGCTGGTGGCTCTCCATCTTTTACATCAAGATGAAGCACCGGCTGCTCACGCTGCTCGGCCGGCTGCAGGGCGTGGAGCTGAACCGGTGGATGTCCGGGCCGGTGGACTGGGGCCTGAGCGGCGACTACGACCGCGTCGCGACGCACGCGCTCGGCACGATCTACGAGGGCGCAGCGCAGTGCGCCGGGTCGGAGATCATCTTTCTGTACAACAAGGCGGACCCCTTCATCGACCCTGCGGACGTGGCCAACGCCGCGGAGCTGGCGCGTGGCGTGGCGGGCGCGAGTCGAGGTGCGGGCGACGCCTCCTCACGCCGCGAGCTGTGAGCAGGCGCGCGAGGTCGGCCTGGCCGTGCGCGAGGTCGAGACAAGCACAGACCACATCAAGGCGCTCTGAGCTGGGAAGGAGGGAAGAGCGGCTGATGAAGGGATTCACTAATACACACACGGACCACGTCAAGGCGCTCTTCTCGTCGCCGCGCACGGTCTTCAGCCTGCTGCGGCGGGGAGGTGAGGGGGGCGAGGAGGCAGCGGCCGGCGATGCGGCGCGCGAGGGCGGCGGCGCGGCCGGCGGCGCGGCGGGGGCGGCGGCGCCACCGGCGTCGGCTCTGCTCGCGACGGCTCAAAAGGCGGCGACGACGATGACGGCGAGGGATCGCCGAGTTGAGCCGAGATCTAGTCCAGTCGAGGAGTCGCCGAGATGTCACGGGGGCGCGGAGATGAGCAAGGCTCGGGAAAGCAGGGGCAGCCGAGATTAGCCGAGGTAGCAGACGCGAGGATGAGGGCGCAGCAGCCATACGCCCTCCTGCCAACCCCAAGGCCGGGGGCACCGCCGTGAGCGCGCACCGTGCGAATAGGAGCGGATCGACTCGCTCGTCTTCCACGGCTTGCGGCTCGCCCTCGTCTGAGTGCTGGCACGGGCGCGCCGCCCTCGAGGCGTGAGGGCTTGGCGCGCAGCAGCCGGGCGGGGGGAAGGAGGAGGAGGCGTCGCAAGGGAGCTCGGGCTGGTAGTCTCTGCCCCCCCACGCCCGGGGCGGTGTCGAGAGAGCAGCGTCGTGGAGAGCAGGGGAGGGGGTTTGCGATCCTCCGTGTGCGGCGCGCATCAGGCGTTATAGCACACACGTGAGTTTCGGGCTGCGAGTCGCGCGGGGATTAGCTCTTAGCGCCACGCACAGTGAGCACACGCGACAGCGCTCTGCGAGGCAAAAGAGGTATGAGACACACACCACGCTACTCTACGTCGCGCAGTGCGCGCACAGCTCTGGCGCACAGCTGGTGATGACTGCGGTTTGCACCCGCTGCCTCCGTCTCTCAGGCCGACCGCGAGAGGTGCTCAGAACGGCCACGGGACATAGTCCGCCATCCACCCGATTGGGTTTGGGATGTTCATGTGCCAGACGCCCGCTCCCCCCAGGCCGATGATTTCGTTCTCCCCCAATCCCATCGGGAACATCGCGTTCATCACGGGCGTGCCGACAACGCCGGCCGCCTTGAAGTCGCCGTCGACGCCGGTGACACACATGTGGTCGATACGTAGGTGCATCCTGCGGGCGCCGGGGAGGGGGTGGGTTGCGCCCCGGCAGGAATGATGTGCGCGGCCGGCCCCTCACTCGTCGCTATCGGCGCCAAAGGGCTGCCACTCCACCGTGACTTGGACGTCGGCGATCGCCGTCGTGAACTCGGTCGCGCTCGCGACTGGGATGCAGGGGCTGCAAGGGCCATACTTGACGCCCATCTGGAGGCTCTTCTGGGTGATGAAGGCCACCTGAGACCGCCGTGGGGTGTGCTGTCTGAGACCTCGCGCCTCCCGGCCCACTAGCCACGGTGCCCGACAGGGCCCGGCGACGCCGCGCGCGATGGGGTCGTGGGCGGGGGTCGGCTTGCATTGCTCATCGAGATGCCGAGTTGGAGCGGCCCGTGCATAGTCATCATCGAAATCACGCTCTCGAGGTTGATGTTGACGCCTGCCGCGGAGGAGAGGCGCGGGGGATCGGCAGCTGACACTCGGTTGCTCCACGTCGGTTCGCTCGAGTATCGCCCTGGATAGACTAAGCCAGCATTGATCTCGGCTAGATCGCGTGCCAGAAATGTGCATCTCCTTGAGGTCCTCCACGATGCCAAATTTGTCCTGCCCCGCGTTCGTGGCGCTGATGCCCAGTTTACCGAGGGAGATCGCGACGACTGGGTCGCCTATCGCCGGGCGTCGTCACGGTGTCAGATGAGCCTCGCTTGTCGGGGAAAAAGGCAGCCGATGCTCACCAGTCGCCCACGTCTCGCCGAGCGCCTTGTTGCAAATTTCTTTTAGGATGCCAAGCTGGTTGGCGAATTTGAACACCTGCAAGAGGGCATGTTCTCCTTTCCCATGCGGCCTTTGGTCGCATCTCTGTGCCACATTTTGCCAATCTCGATTTCAGCTCACGTTGTTGATGTATTCCTCGAGAAGTGGAATGGCTTGCTCTGCCATACCTGTGGCCATGTCGCCGGCCCACCCCGATGCCCAGTCGGTGGCGCCTACGCAATTGCTCGGCGCATGAGACTGGCGCCTCCCGACAGCGCACGGGATGCGCACTCTCGCGCCATTCCAGGCGTCATCGATGACGCCTCGCTCGTGCTTGTTCTTGTCAAAACCCCGCCCCTTTACGCCTCCGCCCGACGCGAGGGCCTTGGGGAGCATCCCCCTGTGCACGAGAGTCGCCTACACCCAGCGCCTCCGGTATCAACAAGGGCATACTGCCCTCCTAGCCTCCTGCTCGGCGCGACTTGCCATCGTGGCTCTCTTGAAGGCCATGCGTTGGTGGAGGTAACATCCCATTACGTTGCCGCCGCCACGTGGTAGGTGGTCCTCGTGAGTGGTGAAGGCGTGCACCTATCAGAGCAGCCGAGGGATAGCCCACGACCGGTCGAGCCTCACCCATATGGATGCGCTGTGGTGGCGGCAGATTCTAGAATCTGTCTCGGCACACCTCGTAGCCACCGGTGCCCTCAGTACTGCTCAGTTTCTTCACGATGACCGGCCTTATCTACAGCACATTGTGACGGCGAGGGATTAATCGCACGAGCCAAGAGGGCTCTCTGCGAGGCGGACTGAACGCCTTTGCGAAGTCAGCAGGGGGCGGGTTATCCGGCCCCCAAGGTATGAGTGGGATCGCTGTACTCCTCGGCGCCGCAGCCACCTCCGCGCGACTCTTGTCCGAGCGGATCTTGTATGAGGTGATGCTGGCGAACCTGCCCTCCCCGCCTACCTCCCTGAGCATCCATTTTTCCACCATCGCTGAAGTTCCGACGGACGTGTGATGAATCTGCGTATTATCTCTCATTTATGCACCGCGTTCAACGAGAGAAGACCAGCGACACGAAACGGCTCGTGGGGTGACCCGGTGTCGTCAAGCGACGGAACGAACTCCGTACTCCCCCCCCCCCCCCCCCCCTGCCCGAACTCAGCAGCGAGGCCCTGATTGCAATTTTGCAAAACGGTAGAGCCCCCCCCCCCCCACACACACCACCACCACACACACCAACAAGAAGAAATAAAAAATCACCCGTCCGTAAGGCGCGCGACTGCCACAGACTACTACAGAGTACTCTGGAGTTCCCCATATACGTAAGTCAATCCTCAGCCTGGTTTTGCCTCGTTTTACGAATCGATTGCGCACCGAAATACTAAACGAAAATTGTTACGCGGTCAATGGCGATGCCGGGGTCGGCCACTCCCTCTTCCGCGGCAGCGCACGAGTCGACGGCTCGGCCGGGTCCACGAGGCGTCTGCGTCGGGTACTACAAGACCGGCACCTCCTCCTGTGGTGCTGCCCTCGACATGCTCCTTGGAGGCCGTGCTGCTGGCAACGACATGAAGGCCTTCGGTGCGCTTGCGAGGCAGCTGTGGCCAGACATTCCACTGGAGCAGACAATGTGGGCGTCGCCGCACTCGAACCCAAAGGCGCTCGCATGGCAGAACACAACTCCGCGCGTTGCACCCCTGCTCGAGGAGCACTTCCTCAAGTCGGCCGAGGGTTACACAACATTCCAGGTGCGCCACTCAGCTAACAGTAAGCCGGCCAGTCTCCGCCCACCGTAAAGCCACTTCGACCTCAGCAGTACCCTGTATGCTGCAGGACGCTCCGTGGCTCTTCATGCCGGAGGCAACCGCCCTCGTAGACGCCACCCCACGCCCCATGCTGCACCGAACTGGCTGCTATTGTGAGACGCATGGACTACACCCGATTTGCCTCGTATGAGCCGCGCTCGCTACCCCATTCAGGCGCTGCGCGATGCGTTCCCACACGCGCGCTTCGTCCTGACACTGCGCGACCCGCTGGACGGCCTACGGAGCAACATCCTCATGAAGCTGCGCCAGTGCGTCGGCGGTGAGTGGCGGAGTGCCGCCGGCTTCACGACTAGCGAGGAGACGCTGCGAGCAAGGCTCAACGACACCGAGTGGCAGATACAGGTACGGACTCCGCTCGGCTCGTACTCCTCCCTTTATCGGCTCCCCTCAGCTCCTTGCGTGTCACGCGCAGGCGGCTCGCAACTCTCAAGCAGCGTTGCATCCTAAACGCGTCCGCGCTGCCTTCGCTACCCAGCCTGAGCGGCGAGAGTTAGTGGAGATCTAGGCGAAACCAATCCGCGATACAGCCACTTGGCATTGCGGATATCACGGAGGCCCTGCCCATGCGGCGAAGCCACGCACGCCTCAGAGACCCCGCCGCAGGCTCCTCGAACTCGATCTCTTTGACGGCGCCTCCGAACAGGATCACTGGCGAGCCCTCGCGCGCCACTTCTCACTGCAACCACCGGCCGCCAACGTCGCCTTCCCGCGTATCACGCACGGGTCGAATCTTCATCACCGTGCGCTCATGCAGCCAACAGCCAGGCGGAAAGGCCTCGAGAGATGAGGACGGGGTCATTAGTGCTTACGAGCCAGCACTGCTGCGCTGGTCCTGGTGCGCCCAGGTGAGCATCAGGTAGGTGCGGCCGCGAGTCGCGCGGAAGTAAATAAAAAGCGGGGCCGCGCCGGAGTCTCGAGGCTGGAGTAGGTGTATACCTCCTCGAGGAGGTAGGCTTGCAGGGATTCTTATTTTTTACAAATTTCGGGCCCGCGATATAACCGATATTCTTGTGCCTCTCTATCCGCGAACAGGAGCGAGAATGAGCATCGTCGCTCTGAGAATGAGCATCGTCGCTCTAAAAGAAAGAAAGAAAACAGACAACCCAAGGGAGGGATGGGAGGACGGCACGCCGCCACCACACAGGGATTTTAAGGAGAGGAGTGTGGTGCTCGCCGTCGCCCACCCTCGGGCGTCTACCACTTCCTATCTCTCTTCGCAGTTTCTCACCAATTCTCGGCTCGCAGCGACCTTCATGCCACCTCTCGTTCTTCTCACTCTCGTCCTCGTTCTCTCCCCTGCTGTTTCATCCTCTGACTCATCGCTCTCCTCGGCCTCGTTCTGAGACGCCGCTGCCGTCTGCCTTGCTCTCGCTGCTTCTCTCGCCGCTCTGCGTAACTCCGCCCTGCTCGCGGCATAATTTGGCCCCTCGAGTTTATCGAGCTCCCCTCGCGCAAGGACCACATTTCTGACTCCCACTCCGATCATTTGCCTCCAAGTCATGTCGTTGCTCAGGTCCACTCTCTCTTCGAACACTTGTATCTTGTACCTCAAGAGAGAGAGAGAGATTTGTTTTACCTCTTGTTTTACCTCAACGGTCGGTGTTGGCACTGTGGGGTTCCCTTCGGGTATATCGTGACAGCTGATGGCGGGATTACCACTGGTGTTTCGTCCTCCTCGGAGTCGTCTTCCCCGGCTTCCTCTCGTTCGGCTCTACGTTCATTACGTGCATCGTCGCTCTGTTAAAAACATCTTAACGGCAGATTTTTCTAAAGATATAAGGGCCTCGCGTTGTCCGCCGTTTATCCCCGTGACCTGCGCAATTCGTGATACCGAGGAGTCTCGAGCTTCAGCTGGTCCTACCATCATGCCGCTCTCGGAACCGCAGCGGCGCGAGCGCCGCGCCGCGCAGCGCGCTGCCGAGGCTCAGGACGCGGCTCGCGGGCAGCGCAACCGCCCGGCGCCGAGCCGGTGCTAGGCCGCCTCCGCTGCGCCTGCTTCCTTGCGCGCCGCTGGACGTCGGCCGAGAAGACCGCTTCCCTCTGGGGACCCGACTCCGCGAAGATCGCGCGCGCGTCGTGAGTGGCGGCGCGCGCGCGATCTCCGTTCCCGGCCACGCCGGTCGCAGTGGCATGGGCTCACAGGCTCAAAAGCGCTCCCGTCAACAGCGAGCGAGCGCCGCCGCTGCTCCTCCTCCCGCCGCCGCTCCGCTCACCGAGACAAACTCGGTGCCGCCGTTCTCGCCGCCGCCGCCACCGCCGCCGCCTCGCCCCTCGCCTCCGTCACCGCCGCCCTCCATCTCGCGGCGGCGTCCCTCTGATGGCGCGGGCGCCTCGCTCACCGGCGCCTCGCCGCCGCCCCCCCCCTTCTCGCGCCGCTCCGCTCGAGCGTGGCCGCCGCCTCCCCTGTCAATCCCGCCGCCTCCCCTGTCATCCCGCCGCCCGCACCACCGCCGCCACCGCCTCGCGCCTCGCCGCCGCCGCCACCGACCGCCCTCTCCCCTACGCCGCTGAGCGCGCCGCGGTGCAGGGGGCGAGCCCCCGCTGCGCAGCCTCACCGCAGTGCACTGCGCTCTCCGCGCCCCTGACGATTAGTTGGTGTTGCACAGCATGGAGCTCGGCGAGCGTTTAGCGAGCCCCTCAGCTAGTCTTCCAAAAATAAAACCCTTGCGGCGGGCGCTGCGCCGACGGTGAGGCTACAGCGTGACCGCGACGCATGGCCGGCCTCGCGGGCGAGCTGCCGCCCGGCGCCGGCGGCTGCCTATCTGCGTGGCGCGAGGCGATGTGTGAGGCTGGCGGGCGTGGCAATGCCTATGACACCAGGTCGCAGGAGAGGCTGCTCCGCACCGCCGGAGAGGCGCTCGAGGAGCCTCTCTCTGTCGACGAGTGCCTCGAGAGGGCGGGCGGCTGGGGCGCCTACCAGCGCTCGCTCATGCTCACCCTCGGCACGTCGACCGCCGCGTGCGCCGTGCACATGCTGCAGCCCATCTTCCTCGCGCCGCTGCTGGACTGGCCGCTCACGCCGGTGCAGCGCGGGCTCGTCTCGTCCGCCTTCTTCGCGGGATACGCCGTCGGCGTCTTCGGCTGGGCGTGGCTCTCCGACCGGCGAGGCCGGAGGCGCGGGAGACAATATGCACACCTCTCCTTCCCGCCCCGCCACGTCCGTGACCGGTCCACGACCCGTCCGCGACCCGTCTGCGGCCAGGCCCGCCATCCTGCTCTCCTTCCTCGTCGGCAACCTCGGAGGCGTCGCCTCCTTCTTCGCCCCCTCCTTCGGACCCTTCCTCGCCCTACGGCTGCTCTGCGGCGTCGGCGTCGCCGGCGCAAAGAGCGCCGTGCTCCTCGGAACACAGGCAACACAGAGGTTGAGCTCCTCAACTCCACCTGGTAGGCGCGAAGAACGCCCTCTTCCTGCTCGGCACCGAGTTCGCCCCGCCCGGGTCGCGGGCACACGTCGGCGCGCAAGCCCCGCCCAGTGTCCAAAGGGGCGCTCCCCCCCCCCCCTCCCCCTCCCCTCCCCCCACGTCCCTCCGATGCGAGCAGGCGCCCACCTCGCCTACTGGTGGGTGATGGGGCTGCTGCTGCTCGTCGCGTCCGCCTACGCGCTGCGCTCCTTCTCGTGGCGCTGCCTCGTCCTCGCGCACGCCCCCGGCCTGCTCGTTCACCTCCAGCTTGCCCGCAGCCTGCCAGAGTCGCCTCGGTTCCTGCTCGTCGCAAGCCAGACGGAGCGAGCCGGCGTCGTGCTGCGGCGCGTCTTCGCGGCGAACCGCGCCGCACCGCCCGAGCCCCTCTGCCTGCAGCAGCCGCCCGCGCACGACGGAGGCCGCTCCACCATCTCGCAGCTCTGGCGGCGCGACTTGCGCCGCTCGACGGTGGTCATCGGGCTGACGCAGGGTGTCTGCACGATGACCTTCTACGCAATCACATTCGACGACCGGCTCAACCGGCTCGCAGGCTCGCTGTACACCGGGGCGCTGCTCGGCGCCCTGGTCGAGCTCCCCGCCCTCGTCGCCCTCGCCCCCGCCACCGACTCGCTCGGCCGCAGAGCAGCCTACACCGCCTTCCTCCTCTCCGCCGCCGCCGCACTGCTCTCCCTCCACCTCTGCGTCGCCGCGGGCGGAGGCGCGAGGCGGGCACGGCGGCGGGCGCCACGGCGGCCCGCTCACCCCGCTCACCCCTCTCGCGCGTGAGCAGGCGCCCCGCTCGCCATCACTGCCGTGCTGGCGGGTCGCTTTGCGTCCGTGGCCGCCGTCAACGTCGCGTACATCGTCGCCGCCGAGATCTTCCCCACTCTGTGCCGCAACTCTGGAATCGGCTGGGGGTCGGGCTGCGGCCGGCTCGGCGCCATCCTCGCGCCGCTCATCATGACCTCGGCCGGCGCGCCGCTCCTCCTCTTCGCCGCCCTCTGCCTCGTCGCCGCGGCGAGCGTGTGGGCCTCCCCGGAGTCGCGAGGCAGGCGCACGGCTCTGGAGGAGGTAGCACGAACGGGCGTCGCGCCACTGAATAGGCGCTGCCCGAGTCGGGCGGCCGGGTCATGCCGGACGTGCCCTGCTCCGAGCGCGTCTCGGGCTGCAAGCAGGCGCCCTCCCCTCTCGAGAGCCCGCGGAGCACCCGCTGCGTCAGCCCCATCAGCGCAGCCACGGCGCCTCGCACCACAGCGCACCGCACGCCGCCGAGGCTGGCGCCGGCGCCCCTGGAGCCGCCCGCCGCGGAGAGCGGCGACAGCTGCTGAGAGGACGAGCAGGCCGCGCGCTGCCGGCGGCAACCACCGCCCGCCCTTTCGTGCTTGGCGACTCTCACAAAACCTCAGCGCGACGGCAGGGGGCAGGAGGGCCCCCGGGCTCCATCGCTACAGTATTGCTTTGTGATCTTCAGATGTGCACACCCTGAGCTGTGAAGTGTGATCACGACTCGTCCGACACGTCAGATATATCGGTTACGGCTTACGGCTTACGCGCCCAACTCTCGTCAGATCTCCCGCTTCAAGATTATTCCCTCTCTATTGGTTAGTCTATTCATTTTTGTATATTGTGCACGACCTGTGAAAGTATGATGTATTTTGTATTTACCGGATGGCACAAGGCCCTTCTCAAGGCGCACCGCGAAACTCGAAAGAGCGGCGGTGTCGATGACCAAGCCCCAGCAATACAGCCCCAGAGCGCATACACCAACGCGGCGCGCCCGCTTCTTCGACTGACGACTTTGTACGACTCCCGGTAATTCCGCTGCCCCTTTCAGTGTAGGCTGCCATGTTCTTAGCTGTCCACCAATCCAACACGCCGCTCGTCCTGCAGCACACCGTCTCCGCCCCGCAGCGCGTCGAGCCGGAAAGAGTAGAAGATGCCTCGCTCCGTGAGCACCAGCATCGTCATCTCGTTGGCGTCGGAAATGGACGGGCGCAGCGCGGCCACGGCGCGGGTGAGCGGCGGCAGCTTGGCCTGCGCAAAACCGGGAAGGGGTGCGAGCTGAGGGAGGGAGAGGGAGAGGGAGAGGGAGAGGGAAGGAGCGAGGGAGGACAGCAGCTCGCCTGCGCGAAGGCTCGCTCGCCCGCCAGCAGCGAAGACGGCGACAGCAGTGAGAAGCTTCCTCCTGTCAGGCCGCCACCGCCGCCAACTGCCCGCCCGCCGACCGCGCCTGTTCACTTCATCGAGGCGGTGCGGAGAGACGCTCTTCACAGCCTCCGCCAACAGGCCGAGAACGGCGCCTCTCTGTGCGTCGAGGCTCCAGACGTGCACCGTGCCTGGAGGGAAGAAGCTCCCCGTCACCACGACAGCTTCACGTGCCGGGCTCCGCAGGCGTGCTCCGTCGCCCGAGGAGGAGACGGCGCAAAGCATCGCAGAGCTCGAGAGCAGCGCCGCGGCCGCCTGGTGAGCCATCAACCTCCGCTTGCTAAAGCCCGGATATCGGCATCGCAGCTCGAGAGCAGCGCCAGACCTGCGCCGTCGCCGCCGCCGCGCCCGCGCCCGAGGCGGCGCCGTCGTGGGGCGGGAGGCAGGAGGAGAAAGCGAGGTGGTAGATGGAGGCGGGGATGGCTCCTCGGCGGAAGGCGTGGAGCAGCTCGCCCTGCGGGAAGGAGTGCACCGAGACGGTGGTGCCTAGTTGGTCCTCGACGCGGGTCGGAATCACCGTCCCGGCGCGGGGAGGAGCGTGCTGGGCCGGGCGGGCGGCGCCCTTCTCCGAGGCGGACGCGACACGCGAGCCGCAAGGGGAGATGGCGAGGGCGGCGAGGGCCGACTTGCGCGCGTGCAGCGTCGAGAGGGCGTGCAGCTGCAGCGCGTCGAAGAAGAGGATTTGGCCGGGCGCGGCGGCGGGCAGCACGGCGTGGCAGCGGCCGACGGCGACGCACATGTCCGCGAGCCCGAGACGGTTAGGCGCCTGTGCGATGTCGTGACCACGTATTCTTCGATGCTGCGGTTGCAAAGGGGCGAGGCGGGGCGTGCCGTCTCGAGGGTGTGCAGCAGCTTCATCGACGAGAGCTCAAAGATGTGCGTCCGAGTCTCGAGCACAACCAGCAGCCGCGAGGCGTTCATCCGCACGCGCAGCACGGACGAAGAAAAGTTCAGCTCGCAGATGGAGGTGTTTGTCCGGGTGTTGAGCATCACGAGCCGCCGCGTCGACTCTCCCGGGCGGGTGCCGGCGCCGACCAGTGCGACGAGCGACGAGGAGTGGAGGAGCTCGACCACGCCGACTCCACCCTGGCAAACGAGGCGGAGGGAACTCGTGGCGGCCGTCCTGGACGGCGCTGCGGGGCGATTGGGGTGGTGCTACCTCGGAGCATGAGTGCGCGGACGCCCACGGCTCACAAGTGAAGATCTGGTAGCCGCGGTCGGTGCCAATGGCGAGGCAGGTCGCGTCTTGATTGAACGTGTATGCCAGCAGCGAGGCGGTAATGGTCGGGGAAGCGGTAATGGGGAGAGGGCGGCCGAAGCGGCCTCGAGGGGGCGTGAGGGAGAGGACGGGGAGGGCGGTGGGGGCTGGGGGCGGAGGGGGTCTGATCGGCTGCTCCACTACTGCGCAAGGCCGCGTCTGCAATCGGCGGTCAACGGGGGAGCGCCACCGGGCGGGAGGGGGAGGGGGGGGGGGGCACGTGGCCTAGGGCCCGGGTTCGCTCCTCGGCTCGGCTTCTCCAACAAAGCCACCGCTCGGGCCTCTTTCGAAAGCAGAGGTGGAGAGCGGGTCGGCTGGAGCGGGGGCTTGTTGTCTTGGGCGCGGGCACAGTGGTCGGTGCAAGTGACACATTCACACTCATTGGTCGTTCAATCTTCATACCAATATACGGCTACCGTCTACCGAGGTCTCGAGAAGTAGTCTGGACTCTGGTGACAACAAGCTGACAAGATGTAGTTGTAGAAGCAAGAACCAAGATGTCGGGACTCGGGTCAGTCTCGCTCTCGGAGACTGTGGAGTAAATAAATAAGCGGGCACCTCCAGGAGAGATTGGCTTGTGCTCTTTTCTTTTCCAGCGGCTTTTGGTCCAGCTTTTTAGAGCGCTCCAGCGAGAGCCGCAGCCGCTTCTGCGCCTCGGCGCGGTCCGCCTTGCTGAGCTTGGACGGCGGTCGCGCCGTCGCCGCGCGCCGCTTGCGCTCCGCTGCCGCCGCCGCCGCCTTGCTTGCCTCCTCCCCGAGCGCCGTCCGCAGCTCCGCGTGATGCGATCGAAGCAGGTCGCGGCAGCGCCCGGCGACGGCGAGCGTGAGCTTCAGCAAGCTGGCGATCGATGCGTTTGGATACCTGAGGAAGAGGAGGCGTTGGCGATGGAGAGGCTACTACTTTGCGTATAACGACAGCCACCAAATTGCCAGCCCGCACTTCTCTTGATCCGATCGGCGGCCGTCTCGCTGTGCATCGCCTCGATGCGCGCAACGTAGGAGTCGCGCTCACGCGAGAGCTCATCCCACTCGCGGCGCATCCGATTGATCTCGATCGCAGTCTCGTCGAGGGCTGGCGCGCTCGCCGTGCTCGTCATGCCGCCGTCGTTTCCTCTTCCAACCGCCCAGCCCGACTTTCGACGGCCGCCGAGTTTGATCGAGAACTCTTTTTCAGTGTATGTAGCTCTTACGAACATACCCGAGGGTGAACTGCTGACAGGGTTTGCGATGAGAAGCGATCCGAACGTGGCATTCGGGTGATTAGATCACTACCGCCGTAACGCAAGAGCACTGCGACGGATCGGGCTCATGCTAGCATCCACCTCGCGGGCCCGATGTTCTGGCCCAGCGAGGCTTTTTCGGAAACCTTTTGCGAACCCAAAAGAACGAGCGAATTTGGGGAGAAAGAAACAATTGAACGATATCGGTGTCGAAACACCGCTCTGACAGCGCTCACAGCAGCGAAAAGCGAAATTTCGGGTAATCACATCACCGCTTTCGAAAGCTCAGCTGGCCACGTCACGGTGAGCCCTGCCTTGCTCTGTCTCTCACCCTCCACTCTCTTTCTCTCTCTCTCTCTCTCGCTCACTCACTCTCTCCCTCCCTCCCTCCCTCCCTCCCTCCCTCCCTCCCTCCCTCTTTCTCTCTCTCCCTCTCTCTTTCTCGCTCTCCAGCGTGGTCTGCACCTTCGCTCGTGATACGGCCTCGCTGCAGTCTCGACGTGTCGGCTGCCTCTAACTTCGAGGGTGCCTCTCTGTCGGCTGCCTCTAACTTCGAGGGTGCCTCTCTCTAGGCTGCTCCGCTGTATTCTGACCGCCGCTCGCTCACGCGTTTCGCGCCGATAGGTGATTGCTCGTGTATGCCTCCGCTTGGCGTGCAGCTGCTTGTATAACCCACCGCCGATCGGTGATTAGATGCGACCAGAGAGTATACTGCCGCGGGTAGTCACCTCGGTCAGGCCCCCCTGCCTGGTGCGTGGTCGAGCCCCGCGGCAGGTTCCTTATAATGACTCGACCACGCACCGGTGTGGGGGGCCCTCGTTTTTGTCTGAGATCAGGCACCGCCGAGAAGAGATCACACGAGATGCCGATGCAGATGTGTCATGCAGATGTGGTGCGTGCGCTCTCACTTCCCACGTGGCTCCCCTCGCCCAAGCCGCAGGTGTGATGGACAAATCACCACGCATGGTTCCGGAAGCAGGTTTGGCGCCGTGCCCTACCCGGTAGTGATCCTGTCCGGTCACGGTGGGTCACAAAGTCGCACATCATTGCCTGTTCGTCCTCTCCTCCCTTTCCCAGTCCTGGGCGGTGCCCCCCTGGCTTGCGCCCTGCTGCGACCTCGGCTGCCCTCGCAGCAGCCTCCCTCGCCGCTGTCGCCACGCGACCTTCGCCGCAGCTGCGCGAGTGCCGCCGCCTCTTCCACCGTCGCCAACTCCTCCCTCGCCCTCGCCGCTGCTGCCGCCCTCTCCGCTTCTGCCGGCCTCTGCTCCTCCGCCACCCTCTCCTCCGCCAGCCGTGCCACCTCCCGGATGACCCTCTCCACTGCGCGGCTCCTCCTCCTACCGCTGCTGCTCCTACCCGCGGCGCTTCCCTGGCGGGCCCTCCTCCGCGACCGCCTTTCGCTTCGCCGCATTCTTCTGCGTCCGCGCGGTGGTGGGGCGCGGCGCTGGAGCGGTCTCGTCGTCGCTGGAGCCCGCCGGAGTCTCGTCGGCGAGGGAGCTCGAAGCGCGCTTCTTGGCTCCCGCCGTGCGCTTGGCTCCCGCCGCCGGCTTCCGCTCGATGAGTACGTACGCGGCCGCCTTGAGCAGCGGCGGCAGCGTCGGCAGCGGCGTCGGCGGTGGCGGCGGGCTCGGCGGCGGCGGGCTCGGCGGCGGCGGGCTCGGCGGCGACGGCGTCGGTGGTGACGGTGGAGGAGGCTTCGGGGTTGGAGGGGACGGAGGCGGCGGGCTGCGGCGATGGCGATGGCGGCTTCACTTCGACCCGGGCGCCAGGCAGGAGCGGCGCCTCCGCCCCCCGCGGCAGGTGCACGCCGTCCACGTAGACGTGGTCGCCCTCTGCCGCAACGAGGATGCCGCGCGAGCCGTCGAGGCGGATCGAGGAGCTGCACAATTTGACGGGTCCAGCCCCGAGAGGGACGGATGCGGGCTGGCCGGGCGTCGCCGTGTGCTCCTCCGCGAGGACGAGCATGAGGGTGCCGGAGCCGGAGCCGGCGGAGCGCTTGCCTGCACGGACCATCGCGTCACGCACTGTTTTCAGCTGCACTGCACTTTTGCCGGCCAGGCAGCGGATGTTGCGGGCGGCGGCCCGGATGGCCATCTCCTCCCAGTCAGAAATCCGCATGGTTGCGCCGTTTGGTCGCAGCTCGTCGCAGAGCAGCTGGAGCCAGCGGCGCTGCTCGGCCAGGTTCGACTCGAAGGCAAGTGCGTAGCGGTCGCTCAGGCCGGAAAGGGCGATCGAGCGGCAAGCATGCTGGCGCAGGGAATCAGCCGCGAACTTCCACGTCACCAGTTGCTGGATCTCGGGGTCCTGTACGAGGGCGGCCCAGTGGACCCCTCCACGCGGGTTCATCCACGCCAGCCGGCCGGTGGTAGGGTGACGCTGCGAGAGCTTGCGCCCGAGGAGCTGGTTGAGCCGCGAGACGGGCTTCGCGGCGGCCAAGGTGAGCCTCGTCTTCTCCGTGGCGAACTGGCGCCGCGTGAACTCGCGCTTCATGCCGAGCAGGAGCGGCAGCCGGTCCTCCTCCGGCACGGTGTTGTTGTACTCGGCGAGGAGCTTGTCGAGGGCGGCGAGGTCGGCGTGCGAGACGGGCTTCGCGGCGGCGAGGGTGAGCTCGCCCTTCGCCCTCGTGAGCACTGAGATCTTGACCGTGCCCGACGTGGGGAGCATCGCCACCACCAGCTTCGCCTCGTCCTCGGGCAGCTCCGACTTGGCCTTGCGGATGAAGGCGACGACGTCCTCGGCCTTCGCGTCCAGGAGCGCGCTCGTGCGGCGGGCGACGTCGCCTCGGCGGATCACGCGCTCGAAGGCATCGAGTACCTCGATCGAGCCGCCGCGCTTGACAAACAGGTCGATCTCCTCCTGCGTCGCGGGTCGCCCGAGCGAGTTGCGGCCGCCGGTCTTGCACGCCGTAAGACTCCAGCCGCCAGAGCCGAGCCCCTTCAGCGTGACGATCGCCGCGAGCGTCTCGATCGTGACCGAGTCGAGGACGCGTCCCTCGCCGTCGCACAGCTCCATCCCGACGAGGAGCGCGAGGGACTTCTTCCAGCTGGTCTCAGAGAAGGTGGCGCGGTGGGCGACGAGCACCGAGACGATGACGGTCGCCACCGTCTCAAGCACCCCGTCGACGATCCCCTCGAGATCGACCTGCTCCTCAACGGCGGACCCGGCCGCGCCGTCCAGCTTCTCGGCGACCGCGCTGAGCAGCGAGACGGAGAAGGCCGACGTGGCGAGGTTGGTCGAGTTGTGCTGCAGCGGCGCGAGCGTCTCGGACGGGTCGAACGCGAAGAGGTTGCACAGGTGCGGCAGCCGCGTGAACACGACGGTGGCGCCCTGGAACTCGTGCACCCAGACGCCGCTCCGGCCGACGGGGCGCGACAAGTGGGCGGTCTCCCCAAGCAGCATGGCGCTGCCGCTGCCGCCGCCCACCACGCAGACCGAGGCGGCGAAGGCGACGTGGCGGATGATGGGCCGGGGAGCGATGCTGCTGCTGCCGGCGGCGCCACCGCCACCGTCGCCGCCGCCGGGAGAGGTGAAGGCACGAAGGACTGGAGAGAGAAGGTACGCGGCAAACGAGAGCTGCAGCTCCTGCTGTCCGTCCGTGTACTCGTCGCTCTCGCGGCAGTGCGGCCGGAACGAGAACACGACGCCGTCGCCGCCCTCCTCGCCGCCCTCCTCGCCGCCCTCCTCGTCGCCCTCCTCGTCGCCGGCGGAGCGCACGACCCGAAGCGACGCGTCAAAGCGGCATCGGCAGTGTGTGAAGTTTGAGTTGAGGTGCACGATCACCACCAGCTTGCCGTCGTAGGCGCTGGGCACCAGAAGGTCGTAGTTCGAAGACGTCTGCGTGCCCTCCAGCCAAAACGGCGCCGTCCTCGAGGAGTCGCCGGGTACGTCGCGATTGCAGACCCCCTGGATGATCCAGAGCTCGGCGCCCCGCGCCACCGCCTCGTCGATCTGCTCCTGCGTCACGGCGTGCATCACCTCTCCCTCTGCGGTCCGGATCGAAACGACACACATGACCTCGCCGTGGCGAGGTTCGAGCTGCTGCTGGATGCACTGCCGCCGCTCCTCGTACTTGTTCAGGTCCGAGTCGAGTTGGAGTGGCGGGTAGGGGGGCACTGGGTTGAGCACCAGTTTCCACCACACGGGCGCGAGAGAGGAGAGGGGTATCGAGTCGGCGAGAATCGGGTTGTCGCGCAGAAGCTGCAGTGAATCCTCGGGGAGAGAGAAGCAGGCTTGGCTGGAATCGATGGCCGGGTCGGTCGTTTCACACAGCTTCTCCAAAAGTGCAACGACTGGTGGCAGATTCGGCTCGGCTGTGCGTCGTTCTGCAGCATACGCCTCCATGTCTGTTTTGATGCGGTCCAGCTCTCGGCGCCCGACCTGCGTGTCGCACTCTTGACAGCACCTCGTGAGGCTGCTCCACTCCGAACCAGCCCGCTCGACATCGTACTCCTCGCGGCAAACGACGCACACTGCGGGCACGCACGAGACGCGTCGGCACAGCGCCAGTGGCGGGCGGGAGTGGGTGTGGGGCTGCAGGCCTGAATCCGGCTCTGAATACGGCTCGCTCACATCCTCGGCCATGCCGACGCTGTCCGGGCGCGTCGAGACCTGTACCGGGCGGAGATGAGCGTCGTCATCGCGCAGACATCGCCACTTCAAGCGGAAATCGCGTGTGAGCGTGCGCATCGCGGTGAGCTGAGGGTGATGCGGCAAATCGAGGCTGGCGCTGCTTTCCGACGCTGCGGCGCAAGACAGGGCGCGCAAAAGTGGGCTGCCGGTAGCTTCCGCTGCGCACCTTGCTTGCACTGTCCGCCGGGTTCGTGCGAGCCACCGGCGAACGGCGGTTTGAGCCGGGAACGGGCCGCGCAGTGTGCCGAGCGTCACAGCGATTGAGGAGGAGTCCAAGCCTCAATGAAAAGAATTTGCGCGAGGCACAATGAAAAGAAATTCTGCCACGCAGAGCCCGAAACACTACACGCGTTGGTTTAGAAATAATACGGCACCGGCCTTGCGCGAACACCACGCCGACGTGCATGCGATCGCAACCGGCGGGCGCGCGCGCCCGCCCATTGAGTGCGGTCCTCATCAGATGTGCGAGGGCGTGCTGGCGTGAGCGCCGCGGGCGGGCGGGCGGGCGGGCGCGCGGGCGCGCGGGCGTGAGGGGGGGGGGTGGGTCGCACCCACGTCAAGTCGGGCAACAGCCGGCAAGTCGGGGCGACAACCGTACCGTACACGACCGCGACAAGCTGTGTCGCTAACCCCCTCGGGTGCGGCGCTGGTGCCTCTCTGGGTTTGCCTGTCACGATCGGACGGGTTTTCGGTCACGGCAAAGAAGTTCACCTGCAGGTGCGATGAAGAGAGGGGAGTGAGGAGAGGCGTCGCGACGGGACGGGCAGGGTGATCGCCGCTTGGGACCGCGCGGGCGGGCGCGCGGGCAATCTCGTCCGCCGTCGCACGCGCACACACAACAAGTGCCACGGCGAGGCGCCTTGTGAGAGAGGTGCAAACCATCCCTCAGACGGTCCTCGCGCAAACGGCGGTGTGGCGCGGGAGACCGCAGGAGCGAGAGGGGCGGGCCGGGGCCGGAGGGAGGCGGACGCGCGGGCGGGCACGCGGGCGTCGAGGGTGGGGCACGGACGCGCCTGGCGCCAACCGCCTCGGCTCCGCACAGCAGCAGCTTGCCCGGCGGGCTGTGAAAAGAAAGTTGGGTGGGTCTCATGCCCCCGGATCGATAACGTTCCCCCCCTCAGCGCACTCCTCCCCCCTAGGGCCATCACTGGCACACGTTGAGGGCTGGGCCCCCTGCACAGCCCGCAGTGCCACTGCAGCGGAGGCCATGGGCGAACCGGGAGGTGTGTCGACTGGGCGTCAGGCGCGCACGGAGGACAGGGTCCACACCTGCACGAGCAGGATTTTGGAAGGACGATCAGGGGGACAGGTGCCATGCTGTGACTGTAGGGCTGCTGGTTCCGGCTCCCCCCAGCCGGATAAAAAGGCTCTGCTGGTTCGCCCCTCCAGATAGGTAGGTAGGTTGACCTTGTTTCGCCCAAAAGGCCCTGCAATAGGTAGGTACCCCCTATTTTCATCTTTTTTCGCTTCGCTGCGCGACCTGGGGATAGGTAGGTAGGTAGGTAGGGCGTTTTGGCGCGAGTCAGTGGCAACAGACCCCCTATCCGGCTAGGAGCCGGAACCCTGTCGGCACTGTAACTGTATGGCGTCGCGCCTTGAAGAATTCTTAAAACACAACTCTCACAGCACACTGGCACGACAAGGGCGCGGACTGGCGCGGACTGGCACACACACCGGCTCACCACCGGAGCCGCCTAAGTTACCCCTAAGCGACTCCGTCCGTGAAGAACGGCAATGCACTCCGCACCATGCACAAGAATTACCAGAGGGCACCGACCGTGGCGAGTACCGGCGAGAGAAGCCGAGAGACAAGGGGTCGGCACAGGCAGCGGCGGCGTCGCAGAACGAGGCCGAGGAGAGCGATGAGTCCGCAGAGGACGACGGGGCAGGAGAGAGAGAGAGAGAAACGTGAACGACGAGAGTGGGACGACCGCGAGGTGGCATGAAGGTTGCAGCGAGAATCAGCCGGATAGGGGGTCTGTTGCCACTGGCTGGCCCCTTCCCAGATAGGTAGGTAGGTTGGTCTTGTTTCGCCCAAAAGGGCCCTGCAATAGCCCCGCTATTTTCATCTTTTACCAGGCCGGCCCGCTCGAAACTTATCCTGAGGAGGCCCGCGGACGCTGCCGCTCGCGCCAGGAGCTCGTGCGGGTCGGGTGGGCCATGCTGCTCGACGCACGTGCAGTGGCAGCGGCAACAATTCCGACACCGACACCAGCGCCAATTCCTCTGCTGCCACGCCGTGCGTTTGCATTGACGGCGTCCGCCGCGACGGCTTTTGCAGCGGGTGGCTCTCTGGCTCATCGACGGTGGAGGGCGTGCCACAAGTGCGGCATCCATCTCGGGGTCGAGGTAGCTGCCCAAGCATGCACCGCGTTTGGCTGGTGCAGCCCACACTGCCCACAGGCGCCGTTGGCCTGGGAGTGGTGGGAGAAGAGACCGCCGGAAGCCGAGTGCGAGCTCCCTTTTCACAGCGTGAACCGCAGCCTATCGCCCGGACGTGAGCGGCTGGTGTGGAGCTTTCGCACCGCAAATGAGATGATGGTGTCGGGTTATCTTTACCACAAGGGCGGGGCAGAGTATTGGCCGCATCGCCCCATGGACAAGCCCCCGATCGCGCATTGCAAAGGCGACCCGAAGCTGTGCCCGCACCCGATCGACAAGACGATGTCGAATCAGGGCTGCGGCAACCTCAGTAGGTTCATCGCCCTCTCGCGCAGGAGCGGTCCAGCCGGCGGCGTGCCGCTGGTCCCAGTTGCGCCCAATGAGACCTGGGTGGAGTATCTCGGCCGGCAGTCACTGCGCTCTGGCCTGTTGGCGCATATGGTTCTCTTCAATTTCACGGTCGGCACATCGACCAAGCACTGGAAGGCGTGCACACGCGATCAAACAGCCTGCAAAGCGGTCTGCCTGGACTGGTTTAGCAAGGCCGAGTCGGATAGAAAGCGCGACGCGCTATGGGCTGACATTGCACGCTTCTGGGAGTATGCGCCGACCCAGCAAGAGCAGTTTGTCAACGCTGTGCGCAAGGGCTACGCGAAGCAGGCTCAGGTCAACGCGGCCACTTCGCACGCGACGGCGCACGGGACCCCGGAGAGGGATGAGCTGCTGCGCCACTTTGACGAGCTCGACGCGACCTATTTCCAGGGGCGCCACCGCGCGAGCGACGTCCATCAGTACTGCAGACAGGCTCCGGACTGCAATCCGGCCAGGCCATTGTTCCACGGCGGGCCCGCGGTCTGCCACGCGCGTCGTAGACCAAGACTACTGCGCACGGACCCGCCAGGGTGAGACCAGACACGCTGAAAAAAATCTCTCTCTCTCTCTCTCTCACGCTGTGTGGTTGTGCTGAACACATGGACATGCTGCATGGGAGTCGGGCGGTACATGCCGTAAGCATGCCGTAAGCATACTGCTGCTGCTGCTGCTGTTACCTCCGGTCCACACGGGTACTCCCGTGCTAGGACAACAAGGCCCCACGGTACACGGCGTCTCCACACTAGGCGAGTCACACACACATGTCTCATGTGTCGTGATTGGGATCAAAGCGCTACGAATAAAAGGAAATCGGTGAGGAGAAATACCGCGAAAAAGAAACAACCCGCCGGTAACCGACGCTCGTCGCCTCCACACCCACCCCGACAACCCAGCCGCAGCGATGAGCAAGCTCTGGGGCGGCCGCTTCACCGGCAAGACGGATCCGATCATGGAACGGTTTAACAACTCCCTGGACGTCGACCGCGTGATGTGGTCGGCCGACATTGCCGGCAGCGTCGCGTATGCCACGTCCCTCGAGGCAGCGGGTGTCCTCTCTGCGGCAGAGGCGGGCCAGATCCGCGAGGGGCTGGGCAAGGTGCGCGAGGAGTGGGCCTCGGGCGCCTTTGTCGTCAAGGAGGGCGACGAGGACATCCACACCGCCAACGAGCGCCGGCTGACGGAGCTGATCGGCGCGGTGGGCGGGAAGGTGCACACGGGCCGCTCGCGCAACGACCAGGTGGTCACCGACCTGCGGCTGCACCTGCGCTCCGTCTGCGCCGAGCTCGCCACGGAGCTGGCCGGCCTCGTCACACTCGCCGCCAAGCGCGCCACCGCAGAGGCGACGCCGCCGACGCATAGCCGAGACGTGGCCGAGACGATGCCGAGATGTGGCTGAGATGTGGCGCGGCCGAGATGTGGCGGAGGAAGGCCGAGATGGAGGTAGTCAATGAGTGAGCTCGTCTCGGCAGGTGGACCTGCTCATGCCGGGGTACACGCACCTCCAGTCGGCGCAGCCGGTGCGCTGGTCGCACTGGATGCTCGCCCACGCGCAGGCGGGCTCTCGGCTCGCGGCCGGTGCTGCCAATGACTGGCACCGACAGCAGAGCAGCACGCATGCCGCTAGGCGTGGCGGCGGGACCACGGCAGGCTGGTGCAGGCGGCGGAGAGGATGAACGAGTGCCCGCTCGGCTCGGGCGCCCTCGCCGGCAACCCGTTCGGGGTGGAGCGGGAGAGCCTCGCTTCGGCGCTCGGCTTCGCGCGGCCGACGGCGAGCGGCGACGGACGCGGTGTCAATGCGTCCTCACTGGTATCACACTGCCGTGAGTATGGCTGCAGGCAAACTCGATGGACGCGGTGTCGGACCGCGACTTCGTGGTCGAGCTCTCCGGCTGGGCGACGCTGCTGATGGCGCACCTGTCTCGCTTCGCCGAGGAGCAAGAGTCGTCTCGGCGCGGGAGCCGCGAGGCCGTGATGCAGTGAGACGACGGCACTCTGACGATAGGACATCATCGTCTTCTCCACGCAGGAGTTCGGCTTCGTCAAGTGCGGAGACTCGTACTCGACCGGCTCGTCGCTGATGCCGCAAAAGAAGAACCCGGACGCGGCGGAGCTGCTGCGCGGAAAGGCGTGCGCCTAATTAATTAATAGTTAATAATTAATTAATTAGGAGCTGCTGCGCGGAAAGGCGTGCGCCGGAGGGGCGGGGGCCGCGAGCCTGGTCACCGGGCTCCACCCGCCCCGTGCCGCGGCCAGGCGAACCGCGTGCTTGGCCACCACACGGCCCTGCTGGCGATGATCAAGGGCTTGCCGCTCACCTACAACAAGGACCTGCAGGAGGACAAGCAGGCGCTCGGCGCAGCCTCGACGCCGCGCAGCCAGTGCACTGTCGGAACCACATCGTCCGTGACTCGCGCAGGCGCTCTTCGATTCGCTCGACACGGTGCAAGCCGCCCTCAAGATCACCTCCGGCGTGCTAGCGACGCTGCAGCCAGCGGCGGCGCGCATGCGCGGCGCGCAACAGCTTCCTCTCCCGCTCCTGCCAGCCGTGAGGGGTGCGAGGTCACCCCTCGAGCTGCGGACAGGCGCGCTCAACTCGTTCATGCTCGCCACCGACCTCTCCGAGTGAGCGCGGCACTCGTAGCCGCACCAGCGCACCAGCGCACCAGCGCACCAGCGCACCAGCGCACCAGCGCACCAGCGCACCAGCGCACCAGCGCACCAGCGCACCAGCGCACCAGCGCACCAGCGCACCAGCGCACCAGCGCACCAGCGCACCAGCGCACCAGCGCACCAGCGCACCAGCGCACCAGCGCGCCAGCGCACCAGCGCACCAGCGCACCAGCGCACCAGCGCACCAGCGCACCAGCGCACCAGCGCCTCCCGTGCGCAGGGGCGTGCCCCGTGAGGGCAGCCGCTCACAGCTCCACCCGCGGGCAGGTACCTCGTGCGCAAGGGCGTGCCCTTCCGCGAGACGCACCACGTCGCCGGCCGGGCGGTGCAGCCCGCCGAGAGGAGCTGCAAAGGCAGGAGAGTGGCCGCGGTACATGAGACGCAGCACGGTGCACACCAGGTGCAGCTCGCCGAGGAGAGGAGCTGCGCGTTGACCGAGCTCTCGGTCGCCGACCTGCAGTCCCTCCACCCGCTCTTTGGCGACGACGTGAGCCGCAGCCGTAGCAGGGAGGAGGGAGAGACGCGCGCGCGCGCGCGCGCAGGGGGAAGGGGGGAGGGGGGGGGGGGGCAAGAGAGAAATGGCAGAGCGATGCAGCGCTGAGGTGCACGAGACATCTCGGCTGCACCTCGGCTGTGTCTTTGGCGTGCAGCTGCGCGCGGTGCGGGACTTCTTTGCCGTGCTCACGACTGGCCCGTGACCTGTCGTCTCGTGAGGAGCAGGTGCTCGCCGTGTGGGACTTCGACGCCTCTGTCGAGCGGCGCGACTCGATCGGCGGGGTGAGCAAGCGGCGCGTTCTCGAGCAGGCCGACGCACTCGCGGCGTGGGCCGACGCCGCGGCTTGAAGGGCTGAGTGCGAGCGGCGCGGCGAGGGCGACACCCGGCACCCAGTAGTGGCGGTGCGGGGCGGTCCTCAGCGCTGACTCGGCGCTCCAGACCGATGTGCATGTGCAGTTAGGGAGAGCGGGCGGACTCGAGTAAGGTATTGTGATGAGTATATGCAAGGGCGAAGGTCTGCGATTAGCACGACAGAGTGTTCGCGTTCGGCGCGCACTCCATCCACGTGTCCTCCGGAGCGGCTCGTCTAGCCACAGAGCCGGGGCACTTGGAGCACTTGGAGTGCAGTCGGTATACGGTAACCTCATATCCAGGGCCGGGGAGCTAAGAAGCGCACCCAGCGGGCCAGATGATCGGTATCGGTTTCTGAGCCCTGGCTGTCAGGCTGTCAGGTGCTGTCAGGTGATCTGTCGGGCTGTCGGGCAGCTGTCAGGCACTGTCAGGTGCCTCTGTCAGACCAGCTGTCAGGTGCTGTCAGTGCTGTCGGGTGCTGTCGGGTGCGTGTCTGACAGGCGAGGTGCTCTGTAGCTGTCGGGTGCTGTCGGAGCTGTCGGGTGTTGCTGTCAGACGCTGTCGGAGCTGTCAGAGCTGTCAGGCTGCTGCTGCTGTCAGACGTTGGGCTGTTGCTGTCAGGTGCTGTCGGGTGGTCCGCTGTCGGGGTGCTGTCAGAGCCTGAACACACCAGCCACACTTATGACACTATCAAGAGGAGCCGGGCGGTGGCGGGGGCGCTGACGCCGATGACGCCGGCGGCGGCTACCCAGCTGCCCCCCTCCGCCCTCCTACGGCGTGATCACGCCGGCGGCGGCCGCCGCCTGGGGAGCGCAGATGGCGGCGCAGGTTCAGGCGGCGGCGGCGGCACAGACGGCGGCGGCCACCCCCACCCAGATGCCCTAGGCATATGACTAGGGCCCCAGAAGGCTAGCTGTGGTAGCTTCATTTGTAGTAGCACAGCCGCCGGTGCTAGAGAGGGGTCCGCAGAGCGGTGGGGAGGGAGGGTTGAGAGAGAGACCCATGACCATCCCATGACTACATGGACATGGACCACACTCACATGTCTTTGCATGTAATAGTTTTGTTATACCCTCATGGGGCACAAGAAAGAGGCTCTACGGGGTCTGACTGTGTAGGACGGTCTGTGCTGCTGTCGGGCTGTCAGAGCTGCTGTCAGGCCACTGTGTGTGCTGTCGGGCTGTCAGGCAGCAGTCAGGCTGTCACGTTACACCCGGGTAGGGCCTGAGACAGCGACGGAGCACCTCGCCTGTCAGACTCTGCTGTCAGGCTGTCAGATACGTGCTGTCTGACTGTCAGAGAAAGTGCTGTCAGCGCTGTCAGGCTGTCGGGCACTGTCAGGCGCTGTCCGGGGCTTGCTGTCAGGCTGTCAGACCAGGGCTCAGATCGGGTTGCGGGCTAGAGAGCCCTAGCCCTGGGGGGTGCGCGTTCCCCGCGTTCGCAGAGCGGGAAAGGGCCGTAAAGTAAACACGGTTCTCCGAGGGTTGGTTCTGCGCGCTTTGGGTGTCCCCTAGCGCGCTAGCGGCGGAACGCCCCCTCTACTCGGAGCTAGTAAACACCTCCAGACACAAGCATGACGTAGACTCTCACCCGACATCGCCACTCAGGGCCCCTCCGCCCGGTCTCCCCACTCCCCAGCCCCCCCATCCGAAGGGGCTCCCCTCTCTCCACCCGGTCCTCCCTCCTGTTCGCTTTCCGATGGTCAGGCGTCGGCTGCGGAGCCCGCCTCCCCCTCTTCTGCTTCTTCGGCCGTGGCCCCGCCGCCGTCTCGTCTTCTCTGCCTGATCCCGTTGACTCCGCGGGCGGCCGATCCCGTGCCCGACTCCCCGGGCGAAGGCGGCGGCATTGGATCGCGTCGCCTCCCCTCCCAGATCCTCCCCGGGGGGTCGGGCCGGCTCTCCTTGGTCGACGAATCGCGCCCGCATCCGCGGTCTCTCTATCGTCCTCGGCTCGCCCACAGACAACCCAAGGGAGGGATGGGAGCCGGCTCCTCGTCGGGCAGGCGCGGGTTTCTTTCACGCCTCTGAACGCGGCGACCCGCGACTCCTCCATCACGCAGCGCATCGCTCGCTCTCGCGGCATCGCTCGGTTACATGTCGCTCAATCCGTTCACTCGGCAGCGCGAGAAGCGCGAGGAGAAGCTCGAGGCGAAGCTCGAGGAGCTCAAGGCCGCGCAGGCCGCTCCGCCGCTGTCGGCGCCTATGGCAGATCCGGCCCCGGCCAGCGCCTGGACGCCTGGCCGCGAGGTGGACTACGAGGCGGAGGACATGAACAAGTACCTGCCGGCCTCGGCGCAGGTCGAGCAGGCCGCGCCCACGTGGCAGTCGCGGCCGACAAACTACTACGAGCCTCCGGTGGCTGTCGCCCGCTCACTCGGCTCTGCCCTCCGCCCTCTCCGCCCACTCTACCTCTCTCGCCTCGCTAGCACCTCCGACATATCTGCCGCTGCCACCCGCCCGGTCCTTGCACGGCACGGCAATCGCACCTTCATCGCAGCCGCACGCCGCCTCGCCAGCCCTCCTCACGAGAGCCTCACCAGCAGCCGCCCTTCCCCCGTCCCGGACGGCCGTCGCGCCGCAGTCGCGCGCGTGGCAGTGCGTCAGCAAGCTCCAGTCTGGCTTCATGATCGGCGGTGCCTTGGGCGGCGCCTTTGGCTTCCTGTACGGCGAGAGCAGAGCCGAGAGAGAGAGAGAGAGAGAGAGAGAGAGCGAGAGCGAGAGCGAGAGCGAGAGCGAGAGCGAGAGCGAGAGCGAGAGCGAGAGCGAGAGCGAGAGCGAGAGCGAGAGCGAGAGCGAGAGCGAGAGCGAGAGCGAGAGCGAGAGCGAGAGCGAGAGCGAGAGCGAGAGCGAGAGCGAGAGCGAGAGAGAGAGAGAGAGAGAGAGAGAGAGAGAGAGAGAGAGAGAGAGAGAGAGAGAGAGCGAGAGAGAGAGAGAGAGGGAGAGAGAGCCGAGAGAGAGAGAGAGAGAGCCGAGAGAGAGAGAGAGAGAGGGAGAGAGAGCCGAGAGAGAGAGAGAGAGAGAGAGCCGAGAGAGAGAGAGAGAGAGAGAGAGAGAGAGAGAGCCGAGAGAGAGAGAGAGAGAGAGAGAGAGAGAGGCGATTCCCCGTGTGGGCGCCCGCCGAGAGGGGGAGGGGCGAGGGAGCATACGAGGGAGGGGTGGGCGTCGCCTCACAGCGGGCACAGCTCCTCGGCAGGCACCTTCGCCGCAATCAAGTACAAGCACGTCCTCTACCTGCCGATCGCCGTCCTGCAGGACTCCACACGCAGACAGACTCCACGCAGACAGACACGCGTGCCTCGCCTCGCACCACTCCTCCGAGCCACCCGGCCTCGCAGCCCTCCTCCCTCCCCCCCTCCCCCCCTCCACCCCTCGCCGCCCCGCCACCCCTCACCTCTCCTCACCGCCCCACCACCCCTCGCCCTGCAGGCGGGAGGCGCCTTCGGCTTCTTCCTCGCCTGCGGCACAGCCAGCCGCCGCGAGCAGGTCGAGGCCGCGAGCAGCGCCTCTTCACAGCTGCAGCTGTGAACAGGCACAGTCATCCGCTGCGAGGAGCCGCCTCTCGCGCTGCACCCGCCGGCCGCCGGTGAGGAGCGGCCGAGAACGGCGTGACGCGGCGGCGCGGGGGGTATTGGTTGCGGTATTGGTGGTGGTGGTGGTGGTGGTGGTGGTGGGGTGGTAGCTCGTTGCCGGAGGCGGCGGGGGAGGGCGGGAGGGGCGTAGCTTCGTAGGGGCGGCGGCGGCGGCAACGGCCCAGGCGGAGCGCTGGCCGTCCAGCGGCCGGGCACGTGTGTGGGCAAGGCGGCTTGCGCTTGCGGCGGAGAGTGCAGTGAGAGCGGAGAGGTATAGGTGCTGCTTGGGGGTGCGTGATGCGCGCCGCCCCGCGGTCCCAGGAGTTGGCGATGAGAATACGCTCTAAACATGAAAGCGAGAGAGAGATTTCAACAAAAAACTTATCTCTGAGTGTACTTCTCTCCGCTTGCGCCGCGCACACCCCGCGCTCACGGACTAACCTCAATGCTCAAACGAGAAACGACGCAGGGCGCGGGACACTGGCACGCACCGTCTGCTCTCTGGCATAAAAACCCGCTCCCTCTCGAACAGGCCCCTAGAGAGCGACATAGGGACACGTGACGCGGCGTTCCTCCTTAAACTTTTTTTTGCCGACACACATGTTCATGTAAGGCCGTACATGTGTCGCAAAACTTGAGAATGACTTGTGTGTGTGAAACATAGATAGAGGAATGGCAAGATGCACATACACCCTTTGTATAAGGCGTTTTTGCCCGGAGACTAAAAATGACTGACCGAGCCGGGCGGGCCGTCGACCTCGCTCGCGACACCCACCGCGCCCCACAGCCCACACCGCCTCGCGCGCACCACAAACCACATGCGAAAATGAAGCCACAAGTTCCACGCCGCCTCACCCAGCGGGGGCCGCCTCTGAGTGCGGAAAGGCTGGCAGCGGGGCCCAGGAAGGGTCTGCATCGTCGCGACGTCTGCTCTCGTCCAGGCACACGAGGGCTGCACCGGGTCAGCAGAGGACGCACTCCCCCCCTCCTCCCTTGAGCATCTTTCCGAACTTCTGCACGTTGAACCATGGCTGGGCGGACCCCTTGATCGGGTGGAAGACAGCCGGCACCTCGGCCTGCGCGCGAGTCAGCGCGGCGAGGAAGGCCTCCGGGTCCGCCTCGGGCTCGGGCAGCGGGCCGCATCCGAGGATCAGCTCGGCGAGGTCCTTGGCCTGCAGGCGGAGAGGAGGAGAGGAGAGGAGAGGAGAGAGGAGGAGAGAGGAGGAGGAGAGAGGAGGAGGTGAGAGGAGGAGAGGAGGAGAGGAGAGGAGAGGAGAGGAGAGGCCTGCGATGGCAGCAGCCTCGTCTCGTCGAGCAGGTCGAAGAGCTTGTTGCGGCAGCCGAACTCGCGCGCGGCGTGCAGCGGCGGGCCGTACCTGCTCACGGCGGGGGGAGTGGAGAGACGCGCCCGCTGCCTGGCGCGCGTGTGCGGCGGGGGGCGGCACGTGATCCAGGGAGACACCTTCGCGATCTCCTCCGCCTCGCCCTTGAGGTCGTCGAGCACCTGTCAACCGATCGATCGATCAGTCACCCTTTCCTCAACAGCAGCTCCGCCCCTTCCCAAGTCGTCGAGCTCACCTCGAGCGGCGCCTCGAGGGAGCGGTCGAGGTTCGACCAGTAGTCGACGACGGAGTCCTCGTCCGTGCACAGCCGCACCACCATCCAGACGGGCAGCCGCTGCAGCCGCTGCAGCGCGGCGAGGAAGGAGCTGGCGTCGTTGGGCAGGCCGTCGGTCGCCAGCACGACAACCACTTGCTGGCCGTGCGCTCGCAGCTTGTCCGCGGCGGGCGAGAGGTTGGCCAGGATCTTCTCGACCGCCTCGGTGAGCGGCGTGGTGCCGCGCGGAGAGTCGCCCATCACCTGCTTGAGCCTCGGGACGTCGCAAGCCACGCCCGCGGGGACGGGCAGGTGGCTGCCTCCGCCCGCGCAGACGCTGAAGGTCTGGCCGGCGGGCGTGGGGTTGAGGAGCTGAAAGTCAGTCCGTGCGCCCAGCGTCTCGCTCACGGTGGCGGCCATCACCACGGCGTCTCCGAGCTCCTGCCAGCGGGTGGCGCCGACGCGGGCGAGCTTGCCACCGCTCTTGACGATGCGCGAGCCGCCGCCCGCATTCATCGAGCCACTGTTGTCCACCACCCAGATGCGCAGCGGGAAGGCTTGCGACGACTTGTGCATCTCAAACGCCAAGCCAGGCGGGAAGCCGTCCCGCTGCAGCCGGGCCATGTCGGGCTCGGGAGCAGCGGCGACAGCGTCGACCGCTGTCGCCGCGACTACGGAAGGGCCCGCCACCGGCATGCCCATCGCAACGATGGGATCCGACATGTGCTCCTTTGGTCGCGCCGAGGCGAGTGCGGCCGTCTTGCGTGCGGCGGAGGTTTTCTTTTGCGATTGAACTTTTTTTTAGTGTATGTAGCTCTTACGAACATACCCGTAGGTGAACTGCTGACAGGGTTTGCGATGAGGATTTTCCTTTTTCGCCACAATTTCTTCCCCGCGCGCCAAGTACACCAGGCCTGCCGACAGCAAGAGGAGTACACCCAGGCAAGTGAGGCGGAGACGGCGAGCAGCACCAACACGGCCAAGGATATCTACCTTCATGGGACGGCGTACCTTCGAGCTCGTCCTCGCCTTTGCTCTGGGCGCTTGCGTCACCCAGCTTGTCGGCTTCTTCCGTGCGACGGGTGGCGGCAAAATGCTGTCTGCTGCAAAGGTCCGCTTGCCGAGTGCTCAGGATGCTGCTCTACCGAGTGCGGGCCGCCATCATCAGGAAGCTACTCCTCCTGTACGCTCGCCACCGCCTCCTCTCCCGGTGCCAACGACCAGCGAGATCGAGCAGCAGTTTGCGGCCTCGCGCACGGTCCAGCGGCAGATGGCCGCCTTCAACGCCGAGTGCCAGTGCACGCAGCGCCTGATGGCCCGGCAGGCGGCGCTGCACGCCAACCTCGAGCGCGTGCTGGTGCTGGACGGCTCCGCCTTCCGCTGGGAGGGGCTGGGGAACTCGGGCGTCCGCTGGCTGGGCCTGCTCCGCTTCGGGTTCGCCCTCGAGCGAGCCACGTTCCTCCGGATCAGCCGAGACGAAGACTGCAAGGCGGGCGCGCCAAGCGACAGGACGTGCCACCTCGACCCGGGCAGCTACTTCACGGGCTACGGCGGCGTCGACTGGCACTGGGGCACGCGGGAGGCGGACACCAGGCGGCGGCTGCAGGAGAGAGGCGTACACGAAGAGGTTTACACGATCTCGGGGAAGTGCGTGACGCCAGCGCCGGGACTCCCGGGATGCAGCGTGAGCTCGATCCGCCTCGCCAACGGTTCCGACGTGAGGCTCGACGAGCCGCGCGGGCTGCTCGAGTGGATGCGCGCGCAGCAGGCGCCGTGGATCCGGCTGGTGCTCGAGCGGCAGGAGGCGCTCGAGTTCACCTACAAGGGGGAGAACCTCCGGGCGCCTGATATGCTGCCGCTGCAGCGCTGCCCAGCCTCGGGCGCGCCCGACTTCTCGAGCCGCGAGATGTCGCTCAAGTGCGAGGCCTTCGCGGCGCTCACGCCGCGCCCGGTGCTGATGGAGGCGCTCCTGCCAGTGCTGCGGCGCCTGGACGCGTATGACGTGGTGGTGGGGGTGCACGTGCGGACAGGCTACTCCGACTGGGCCTTCCGAAACTCGGACGCCTCCTTCACCAAGCAGCCCGCGTCAGCGCCGGCCAACCCGGCAGCGTCCGCTCTGCCAGCGAGCGGCTCGCCCACAAACGCCCCGCCGCACGTCCTCGAGCACTGGAGCAAGCTCGACGGCTTCCTGCGCAACTGCAAGACCGAGGCTCCAAAGGGGCGGCCGTGCTTTAACTGGGAGTCTCCGGGCAAGCAGCGGGCGCCGACCGTCGCCGATGCTGCAGCCTGCCGCGTCGGCGGGCGGCGGGGCAACTTTTCGCTCGCGCACACGCCCGACGGCACGCTCACGGCGCTGCTCTCGTGCGCGGCGCGGCTCGGCGAGTCGCTTCGGGGCGCCGAGGCGCAGCGGTGGGGGCTGCTGGTGCTGTCGGACGCGCCAGCCGTGCCGTCGCTCGCCGCCGCGCACCCGTCGCTCGCCGGCCGCGTGGTGACCACTCCTTCACCAAGAGCGGGACTGATGTCCGTGGGCCACTCCTTCACCACGCGGGACCTCTTGGTGACCACAGGTGACCACGGACGGCATCGGCCGGCTGGGCCACTCTTCCTTCACCAAGAGCTGCTCGGCGGCGGACGCGCGCTGCTTCTTCGGCGCGGACCCCGGGGGCGTGTGGACCCGCTCGGTCGTCGACTTCTACGTCGCTGGCTGCGTGGACGGCTTTGCGAAGGCGCTCTTCACCTCCTTCATCTGGACGACGATGCGCCGCAACTTGCTGTGCTGCCGGCCGGGCGCGTTCGTGCAGTGGATGGGCTGGTACGACCAGACCTACTCCCACCGCGATCTGCCCATGCTCGACGGCGAGTTCATGGAGGCGCTCTCCACGGTCCAGCAGGCCGCCGATGCCTCCGGCGCCGCGGCGGCCGGCCCCGCGGTTCCCGCCGCCGCCAGTGCCGGCGCGGAAGAAGGCGTGGAGGGGCTCGACAGCGGATGGCTGCAGCGTGCAGGTCCCAAATGACGTGTGAGCGTTAGAGTTGTTTGGTATTGCTCTAAAAACACGACACACACAGTGCAACGGGAGTGAGAAACGCATTTCTGTCTTCATTCTTTTTGCTGGGTCGACCTCCAACTGCTGGGGATCGAGAAGCGGGACGACCGCAAGGGTGACCTCACTGGCACTCGCCCCATTGGCATCCCCGCGGCTATCCGCCGCCTCGCCAACCGGGTCCTCATGAAGCACCTCAGCTCCGGCATGTGCGACCTCTTCACCGGCCGCACTGCCGACACGCGCCGCCTCATCGTGGTGCCGCAGGCACCTCGGGGGTCAGGGGCTGCGCAGATCAAAAAACAAAAAAGTTGTAGTTGATCAAGAACAAGATTGGGTGAGGGTATGTTCAGGGTTGGGTCACACAGGGAAAAACAATTACAGGGCAAGAGCGCGCGAGAGGCGAGGGCGGAGGGCGAGGGGACCCCAGCCGAATTTGAGTGACACTTCCTTGATGAGCGTTTCTTCAATACGCAAACGTCGTGTACTGATAGTTATCGGCCCTACCGCCCACAGCGAGGACCTGCAGCAGCGCCCGGCGCAGCGCCGGCCACGGCAGCCGCAAGTCCATGTTGTAGCCAACCCTGAGCCAACCTTGCCCTCGCCGGCCACCGCCATGCTCCTGTTCTTTGTTCTCAGCTGGTAGTGCAGCACGGCGGGAGGGCCTCCGCCCTCGGAGGAGAGGAGCTCCTTGTACATCTGGCACGGGCAGCCCGCCCGGTGGACGGGCATCACCTCGAGCACGCTGGTGGCTGGACCCGCGGTGCAGTGCAAAAGCGTTCACCATGTCGGCGCCGTGGGGGGTGACCATCACGTCGGAGTCCGCGATCACGGGCAGCGACGCCACTAGCCCGACTCCAAAGTTGTGCGACACGCAGCGCACGCGCACTGCCGCGTGCGGCGACGGCGGCCGCCAGCCGTCGCACTCCGCCATCAGCGCCTCCAGGTCTAGCAGCCGGCGACGGCCTGTCCGGTTGGCGAGGACGACGCGAAGAAGGCCTGGCGGCCCAGGGCTAAAGAAAGAAAGAAAGAAAGAAAACACACAACTCAAGAGAGCTAAATTCTTCTTTCAATTGAGTTCAAATTTTCTCCTTTCTGCGCGTGCTGCGTAACTTCTTCTGGTTTGCAATAGGCCGGAGAGGCCGCCTCAAAACGTCCGACGGGTGGACCCGGTGCGCTCTCACGCGCTACCCCTGCTACATTGGGAGCCTGCGGTGGTTGCAGGAATGGTCATTGACGCTTCCTCCTACCTGCGGGCTCACTCACGATCGCCCTCACCAGACCCCACGCTTGCGGTACATGCTGACCGCGGCCCGTCAACCTGCCTGCAGGAGGAATTGGCCGACTCAGTGAGTCTACCACCTGGCGTGTGCCCCACCGCACCCCGCGCCACTTCCCAGCTGAATCTGTCGGTGGTGCTCTCTTTTGAGCCACTGCCCTGTGACGGAATATCTCTCGTTTCTCTATCGCATTCGACACCTCGGCGGGACGCCGTGCACGCATGCTCACAGCCCCACCACCCCGCAGCCGCCCCGTCTCTCGGGCCGCGTCCCCTACCTCACTCAGGCCTTCTCCCACCTCGGCCCCCCGCAGGCTCTCGCGACCCTACCGCGCGACCCTGTCGCTCCTCCTCTCGAGTGCGTGCACCCCCCCCCAGCCGCGCCACACCGCGCGAATCCCAGCCCCCGCCACTCGTCGTCCGCGCGCGCTGCTCGCCTCGCAGTCGCCGCCGTTGGCGACCACGGAGCGGGCTCTCCCCAATGGGGGGGGCTACGAGATATCGGTTGGGTTCCGACGACCGTTACTTCGTGTCTCCGTTGGTCGCCGCGGCAGCGGCGGAGGCAGCTAGGCCGACTTTCTTTCCTCCCCACCGCCCCCCTTCTGGCCACTTTAGCCCCCTCCTCACTTTAGCCCCCCCCCCCCCCCCCCCCCCGGGATGCAACAGGTCCGAGCCGACCCACCCTCGTAGGAGGCGCGCGCCGCGCCCTGTTCTCTCCACTCCCATATGCGCCACCAGCGTTTCTTGACTGCTCCCACTACCTTCCCTGAGGAAGCTACCTGCTGTGACAAGAACAGTCTCGCTACGTGCTGTCTCCACACCACTGGCCCTCATCGCGACAGTGCACCAGAATTTAGCGTGACACTGGGGGGTACGGTGGTATGTCACGCACGCGAGATTGCAATCTCCCCAGGGTTCGGCTCCTGTGTGAGTAGGGACCTCGCACACTCCCTACCTCACCAACCCCACTCCCACCCCATGCAGGACCACTGCTCGCTTTCCTCGCTCTACCCTCTTCCTCACCCACTTCCTCTCCCCCCATGCCCCCTCCTTGTGTGGGATCGAGTTTGCCCCTCGTCCGAGGCGCGAGCTCGCCGTGCACCGCCTGATCTTTCCCCTCTCCCCTCCCATATGCCCTCCGCCTCGACACCATCGGCGTGCCCAACGCCGCCCCTCCTGCGCCTCGACCTCCTCCCTCCTCCCCTCTTCTGTCGCCTCACTACTTGCGAGACTGCAGGGCTGACCCCTCGTGGGGCTGACCTCCAGGCAGTGCAGTAGGGTTCCGCCTACTCCCCCCCCCTCTCCTCCCCTCCTTCCCCCTACCTCTCCCCGCATGCGCCCTCCCTCACCAACCCTTTGCCTGCCCCGTGCAGGGACCGTCACC